GGGGTGTGTCGGAATATAGAGGTTCCTTACCGAACAATACCAACTGATGCCTGATTGATGCCTTGCTGATATCATATGGCGAAAAGCAGCGTATTTACTCTGCTATTACTGCTTTTGAAACCGCACAATCGCTTAGTATACTCTATAAGGTATTTACGGTCGTATATAGGATCCTAGATAGCACACTTTTGCAAGAATCAGAGACCTCAACCATATACGCTTGATACGTACTTTCAACCCTGACTAAGCCACATTTCCGACAGAGGGTTGTAGATCACATGATATGGCCTTCTTTAAAGGACGGATTATCGGGTTAATCTCGGAGCAATTGATATTCACTTTTACATTTGACTGCTCACTGGTTAGTTAACCCATCGAAATGTCTACGGAAAAAGATAAGATGCTCTGAGGCGAGCTTTATCGTGCCTTTATATCTGATTTAATTGCGGGTCGTTCTTGTTGCAAGCAAGCCTGCAACCGGCTCAACAGGTCTTAAGATGTTTCTCTTCGCCATCAGGTTGAGCTCTGGAAAGAGTAGATATCTAGGCCTTGCTGAGGCAGGTTAGATTTCTTGCCATTTGCAGTCCTAGTGATTGACCTTGACTGGAACTCAGTATCGTCCAAGACATGACTGCCTCCGCACGAGGATTTCGCTGAAGATGAAGCCCTTCTCGGGGATGAACTTTGGAGCGAAGGACCCATCAAAATCAACTACGGATTTAGCGTGAATCTAGGTGAACATCTATCTTAACACTAATTGCATTTTCACTGATACCTGCTTGGTTACGATTGGCGCACGGACGCTACTGGACCCTAATGTCAGCTTGTTCAGTGCAACTCACATGTTGGATCCGGCTGTGCGCAATGGGATTAAAGAGCCTGAAGCAGGTAAAGATATCCACATCAGCGAGGATTGCTGGTTAGGAGGGAATATGGTTGTCTTGCCCCGGGTCGCTATTAGGAAGGGCGCAACGATTGGTGCTGGGAGTGTAGTGGCCAGGGTTTGTTCTTTTCTATTTAGAGATAAGGGCTGAGCAACTAATGCGTGGTGTTAGGATGTACCTGCATTTCACGTGGCTTTTAGGAACTCGGCGAGCGTTATTTGCAAAATGAAGACGTCCCTGACGAAGTAATGTTTCATTGTATATTGACCGGAGTAATGTGAAATAATTGATTTGCATGGCATTGGTGTCCATTACATCTAAAGCCATTTACAGCCTTACCCAATACTATACTTACATCAAAGACTAAGATGATGATTGTTTGCATTTCTCAGGTGGGTTGCTCAGCTCGTACTACCTGAGCTCAATAGCTTTGATATCACATATGATTCAACACAGCCAGATTTCATGTACAAGTAAATAGAAAGAGTGAACTGTAAGATGCACTTCCTTATGGTTACTTCCGATAACTATTTAGGTATTTCTCTCATGTATAGTAGTGCTTCATACAGAGTAGATGCGCCAATCTTGCAAGTCTCACCACTCAACTTATACATTGCCGTATAAAACCATATAAAGCCCCAATTTATTTATACCATTAAAAATACTTCTATTTCCAATCTATCATAAACAATTAGTGCTGGTGGTGTCTGGCACGATCTGTTATCGCCTATCGCGTTGTCCGCCCAAACAGGAAACTCTGCAAACTTGAGCTCCCTCTGCCACAACTTTTTTTCCAACCTCTGCTTCTTCCTTTCTCACCGTCATTTTTCCCTCCATCTTCATCGCAATCCCATCCTCTTTATCTATCACGCTTTATCTCTCTTTTTATCGTTCTTTTTATTCTCTTTTTCTCTCCGTTCGCCCTTTCTTAGTATCTTGGAGAAAGGGCCTGGAAAAATGTCATGGCAGCTGCCCCGCTAGATAGCTCTAGCTCCCCGCCTGGCGCTGTTGCTACTGCTGCTTCGTCCGATCAAACGCGTTCCCACGGCGATCCCATGGAAGATACTGACCCTCAGTCCACCCGTAAACGTCCCCGTCTCGACAGCGGCAGCCGTGCCTGCGAGTCCTTGTCGACTGACGAGATGTCCGGGCGGACTGATGCCGCGGCAGTCTCGCGTCCCTCTAGCAGAGTTGCCATTAATATGAAGTCGCCTACGACCGACTCTGAAGAACAACAGTCCGCACCCATCGATGAGCCTGCCCCGTCCTCTTCCTCTTCCTCCACCGTCCCAGACCAGTCTGCGCTCGGCGGTGATGGTGCTGTTCCGCCCGCGCAGCCCGCAGATACTATCGGCGGCCACTCCTCCAACGCCATTTCCCTGTCGTCTTCGCCAGCACGCAGCCCAGAGATTGAGGTGGCAGATGTGGAGGACGTACATCAGGATGCGAATATGTCGAACTGGAGACCCTTGGGGGAGGCATTGCGGGATCGTGCGACGCCGGAGGTTATGCAGATCCATGATCAACTGTCTCTGACGGACGCCTTTCCCAAGCTGCAGGAGCATCTATCATTACGGGAGAACTTGGATGAAATATGCGCGATTATTGAGAAAGGTAAAGATACCGGACTACATTCACGTCGTACCTGGGCTAAAAGCTATTTGATAGGAAACCCGCATGACATCACGGTTTTTCTGGCAGTCAAAAACTGGTTCGACGATGTCGCCAATAACTTGCACCAATTGAATTATGATACATTTACCGATGATCGTGACTTTTGGGAGGAGCTTCCGGTCATGGTGGAGTTCCTGCTTCGCAGAGTGTAAGAGGGACAATTCCGAATAGCTCCTGCCCTGGGTGTTGACATGTTGAATCTAGGCAAGATTTCCAACCGGATGAAGGCCACGGACCATGGATATGCCTTGAGGAATTTTTTATGAGCTTCGCTCGGCTGACTTTACATTTGGTTTGTTTGGATACGCTGGCATTGAGCCAAGTGGCTGAGGAGACGGACATGCCTGCACCGGAACTGCTATCAAGGACCTACTTGGTTTCGCTTGGGTGGTCCATGCAAATAAGCAACATTCCTTTCTTTCGCAATATGGAAAGGATTCATGGTGCCGAAGTGGTCAACCTGGTTTCCCGTGTCAACGATCAGCTTGCGGCTCCCCCGCTTGATGCCATGCGACGGTTATCAGAGCTCGCATCCTGTATCCTCCCCGTCATCCACCGACATTCTTACCTATCCCACGTGTTGATATCAATCTTAACTGTTGCGCATAATCTTGCGGAGTCGGGAATTGAGCGGAGAAGATATGGAGCAGATGATGCGCTCATTGCCTCGCCGGTGTGCGCGCGAGTCACACAAGCGGTCTACGGCCTTGTCCGGGCTGCAGACGAAAAGTATCAGATGCACATATCCAAAAAGACGCCCTGGGTCACCAGTGATACCAGTGAATCCATGATCCGTTTGATCTCGTTTACCTACCACGCCCTATCCGTGCCCGATCCCGATTTTCAATTGAGATTGGCAAATGATTTATCAATAAACTTGCCTGAAGATGCCAGTTCCGATGAATGTTCCCTCATTATTCATTATGGCTGGAAATTCGGTGTTCTGAAGAAGCACATAACGGATGGGAGGATGGAACTCAGGGTACACGGTATCGAAACGATGCAGTCGGATTTGGTCAGCATATGGCGGCAACACATCCAAAATGCTCCTTCCGGGCTCGAGCATCCGATTGTTCCATATCTGGTCAATTTCCTCAGGGATAGTAGGATCGTTGAATATGTCGTGGGCATCGACTCCCACCCGCAGCTAATCAGTAGAAGCGGTAACCTTGTCGGATTTTTGATTTTGACGTCTACCTACACCGACCTCGATACAGACATGATTTGGAAGACAGTGACCCAAAGCCAAGATTCTCGGACGGTATCTGAAATTCTAGGTATGCTCACAAAAACCTTCCCAATACACCCGTCCAACTCGTCAGTTCTACTCAACGTTTGTTCAAAACTACTTGAACTTCCACTGAACCGCTTCGATGGACGAATGGTCGAGTTTTGTGATCATTTATTCCACCAGATTCGGGAGAAACATGATCAACGGAACAGCGTCGACACTATGGATACTCTGCACGTTGACGCCATTCCTCTGCGTCTTTGCGTACGACTGATTCGTGAAAGTACTGCTGTTGAGGATGTTCCTGTGGAACACAAGGCTATCCTGCAGCAGTTCGCGGGCTCACAGTTAAGCAAGTTCAGCGTCGCTGGACTTGACGAGACAGATAAAATGGAGATGTATGAGCGCTGCATCCAAGACATTGCTGAAATGAACCAATTTGCTGTGGGCAGTGTGCAAGCTTTGGCTGCCTTGCTTATCGGCCAGGATCCTCAGGAAATGCGGAAGCTAGCCACAGAGTTCGATCTGACTCGCTTGGCAATAGACGAAATTGCTCATGCCGTGGATACGAACCAAACGGATTTCACAGACTCCTTTTCTCGGAATGGTTTCATTTCGCGCGTTCATATGCTTGCCCGTATCATCGACAAAGCCGCAGACAGCATTTCGACAAATCTCGGTGATACGTTATGGAAAAAGGTGTTCATGTCATCGGCACTCGTTCAACAAGGAAGACGCGTCTTGTGGGACATGCTGTGTGGACTGGCCAACCATGCTTTCAAGAGAAACCCATTCATAGAAAGGTGTATCCACGAATTCATTCCAGAACTGTCCCCGAGCGATTATACGCCAGAGGTTCTTGCATTCGCGAAGCAGACCATTATCTATGAAATTCGCTTTAACCCTCCTGCGATTGCCAAGGAAAATGAAGTGGTTTCTATTCCGGGGATGGACCGGATTTGGAATTTCATACTGACTGCTCCTCCGGGATCGATCGAGACGAATGCAACAAACTTTGCGATTGAGGTGTATCTCGACCACAATGTGATTAAAATGGCGCCACGTTCTGCTGTTGAAGCTACCCACGTTGGCCTAGTCGACCGCTGTGTAGAACAGCTAAAATCAGCTGCCACGAAGCTAAAATCATTCCACGGTTACACGCCTGATGGAAAGGCCGAAGCGATGTTGACACCAGCAGCCGAGGACGAGGTCCGTTCTGCAGAACTGAGTTTTAGTCGTTCGTTGCTTTTTCTCCGCCAATTGCTGCAAGGACTGAGGAACCGTCCTCAATACAGCCCACCACAAGGGCAACCACCAGATCTACCCGCGGCGCCTGTGAAAGGCGAGCCGATCGAATTCCGATATCAGTCGTTCGACGGTGGTGCTCAATCGATAGTCAATTCTTTGCGCATTGGAGATCTCTCTACTACTTCCGAACTCATTGACAAGATTACACAGCTTACGGGTTTTACCAAATTCAGAACAATTTACGGCGGACAGAAGATTGATCTATCTGAAAAATCCGACTTTACGCTTCGAGATTTGAAGCTTCGTTCAGGGATGCTACTTATTCGCAATGATGCGGACAGTCCTGTGGTGCCGTCTGAAAGGCGCCAATCTATGACACCTGTGGATTCTGAAGTCCTCAAACATTTTGATGACCTTTATGATCTTCTAAATCTTGACGACCACTTGGCTCGAGAGGTACGACTTCCTCTTGGTAGTAGCTTCTTTCAATCCATCATATGCTAACGATTATCTGCAGATATATAATTTCCTTGTGGTCTTCCCACCACAGGAGCGTGTCTTGGCGCTCGTGAAGTCCCCTGATAAAACAGAGCAGGATGTGCTCCCTATGGAAAAGCCGTACATCTTCCTTTACTCGATGAAGGCCCTTTCAACATTGCTCAGGGAAGCAGAATCTAAGGTAAGAGTCGATTCCATGCTCATATCCTGGTAGTACTGCTGACATGCAATCTCCTCTCCAGCCCTCGTTGGACCCGCAATTTGTCTCTCACAGTATTCGTGTCCTGGTTGCCGCTTCCATACGTCCTGAAATGTCCGAGTTACTTGCAGACAGTCCCACGAAGCTTTTGTTCGCAACAAGTCTTGTTGAGTCCATCGTTTTGGCCCTGCTTGGTAAGTGTATGCCCAGAAAATCTGTCGGAAATTGCTAACCAGATATTAGCGAGATCATCTTCTGTAGAAGATTTACCCGTGATCACTGATACCACACCTTTGGTGAAGCAGCTTCTCCACTTCATGGATGTTGGGCGTCACGTACCATCTACTTGTCTCACCGAAGTTGGTGTACAGAAATTAATTTGTAATTCATTTGCTGTTTTGATTGAAGGTTCCATGCGTGATCATGGCTTCTGGAACGCGGTCAAGCAACAAACCCAATTTGATCAGCTTCTCTTCTCGTTATTGTTGGGCGAGAGTCGCCAAGCCATTCGGAAAGAAATATCCGAGAATATTGCTTTGGTCTGCACTCCCATGAAGCTCCTTCAAAAAACTGAAGATCCTGGCGACCAGCAGTCAACAGCACCTGAGAACTCTTATAAAGTTGACATCATTGGAACGATTTGGGAGGCTTTCGTGCGAATCTTTCCAGAAACTCTGAATCATGCACATAAATCTCAGGAGTTCTTTCAAGTCGCCGTTCTAGTCTTTCACTCGGTTGCTGAGAACCCCTCGCGCGAGCTTAAGTATGATGAGTACCTCAAGCAATGGAGCACCATCATGCTGGGCCATCAGACTCAAGAGGTATGCCCCCTTTGGCGCTGATAAAATGCATTGCGCTGATAAAATGTCTAGTTTGTCGGACGAGAGCCTGTAGACTACCTTCTCTTAGGGTTCACTCGGCTCCTGTGGTCATGTCTAGATCGTGCGCACTCTACAAACATCCCGGTCGACACTTTTGATCTTACCGAGAAACTTTTTGACAGATACCTTTTCCCGGATTTGTCAACGTCTAATGAGACAGCTATTGTTCCTCGGGTTCCGGTCATGCACAATCAAACCCGTATAGAGCTCTACAAGGTACTGACGCTGCTCATCAGAGATGATCAGAATTATCTGAAGGTGGTGAATCTTTTGGAAGACATTATCCCACGGGACAATACGTACTCGCAAGCTTGGTTTTTTGATCGCCAAAAGATGATTCGATCCGCAGAAGGTTATGCAGGACTGAAGAACCTCTCGAACACCTGTTACCTGAACTCCCTGCTAACACAACTGTTCATGAACGTCGGGTTCCGTGACTTCATGCTTCAGCTTCAGGTCACCGAACCTGATTCTTCGCAAAAACTCCTGGATGAGACAAAGAAGCTTTTCGGGCACATGCAAGAAACATGGCTTAAAAGTGTCGATCCTCAGGGATTGGTCGACAGCATCCGCACCTATGATAATGAGCCGATCGATGTCACAATCCAGATGGACGTCGATGAGTTTTATAATCTCCTATTTGATAGATGGGAAGCGCAAATCGTCGACGCAGAAGAAAAGAAGAAATTTCGGACGTTCTACGGCGGTCAATTGGTCCAGCAGATCAAGTCCAAGGAGTGTACACATATCTCTGAGCGGCTGGAGCCTTTCTCTGCTATTCAGTGTGATATCAAGGGCAAGGCGAGTCTTGAAGAAAGTCTGCAGGCCTATGTTGAGGGAGAGATAATGCAAGGAGGTGAGTTTACTGTGTCCGTAAATGAACAATATGATCGTGTTCTAACAATTGAAGACAACAAATACTCGTGCACATCATGCGGACGCCATGTCGATGCTGTTAAGAGGTTAGCCGGCATCATCGTGTTTCCTGTTTTTATTAGCTAACTCCATTTAGGGCTTGTTTGAAAGATGTCCCGGACAATCTTATCTTTCATCTGAAACGATTTGATTTTGATATGGTCACAATGACGCGCAACAAAATCAACGATGAATTTCAGTTCCCTGAACATATTGACATGAGCCCATTCAATGTCGAATACCTCTCTGAACAAAACACCGAAGTTCAGCAGGATCTCTTTGAGCTTGTTGGTGTCCTAGTGCACAGCGGCACGGCTGAGTCTGGCCACTATTATTCGTACATCCGCCAAAGGCCTTCAGCTGGATCATCAGGGCCATGGGTTGAATTCAACGATTCGGATGTCACTAGGTTCGACCAATCGAAAATTCCGGATCAGTGCTTTGGAGGCCCCAACGGATCGTTTCAGTCTAATACGAACAACGTTCGGTACAACAAGGTCTGGAACGCTTACATGCTTTTCTACCAACGTGTTTCTAGCGCAGATACCGCCAGATCCACCTACAAGCCGGCCAGTAATGACATCCCCGTGAGCGTTCCAGTGCCGTTGGATCTGAAGAATCATATCGCAATGGACAATGAGCTCTTCATTCGGACATATTGCTTGCTAGATCCATACCACGCCCTTTTTGTCCAATACATTCTTGGCCGGCTTCACGAATTGGCAGATTTGAAAACAGATACAAACTTCAAGTTGGTCAGGTCCACTGCATTTATTGCCTTGGACACGATAGAGCAGTTGATATCGAGGTCCAAGGATTCCGTGGGCCTGGATGCAATTGTATCCGAAGTTTTCAAAATTATCACGGAGCTCCCGATGGGTGCATACCGGGTCCTTGAATGGGTTGTAGAACGTCCGGCTAGCATTCGCAATTTGGTTCTGAAGAGCCCTCATGCTGCTGTTCGCGGCAGCTCACTTAGGGTTATCGCGGCCGCTCTTGCGAAAATTAGAGACTTGCGAGATGAGGCAGAGTCTGCGGCCGAGAAAGAGAAATGGCAAGAACGATACATAGACGCCTTTGAAAGTGTTGTCTCCATGCTGGAGAACCTGTGGTCCATACTTCACACAGCTAGCCGCTCGTGGGATGACTATTTTGAATTCTTGGTATTGCTTGCCAGCTTCGGAACTTATGAGGTCGGGGTCCTACTCGACAACGGATTTTTGCTCAAATGTTTGGAAATAGTTTGGCTTGACCGGGAGGACCCCAAGAGGTTGAAGCGGCAGTACATGGGTTATTCCAGACTTATCGAGAAAGGCCGCCGGTTTTCGCACAAGAAACTTGCTGATCTCTTATTCACTTTGCTATCGCACATCGACCTTGCTGCCCCTGCGACGGTTGAGGACGAGCGGCAGCCTCTGCCAGATGGTAAATACCCGCTGAACGTGGTGGAAAATAGCTTTATTCGCCCACTTGGGAGGAACCGAGAGCTGGTAGTGATCAAGAAGATCCTCCAGCAGAACAACAACCCTCAGGCTACCATGAACATATTCGGTGTGTTCTTGGACGCGGAGCCCGAAGCTCGTCTTATGGATCCCATCTGCCAGGTTTTGGAAGACGGTCTCAGAGTTGAGCCTGCGGAGTTTTGTGCACCATTCTTGGAGGCTACCCTGCACCTCTGCCGTCGAAGTCCCGATGAGGAGCGCATTATCTACATGATAGATTATGTTGCTAAGGGCATTGAGTCGATCAATGGTAGTGGAGGGGCCGCTCACCTAAGTTTCTTCACGAACATGCTGAACATCCAAAATGACCGGCTTGGTCTCAATCAGGCTTGGTTTTTGTCACAATTGATCGATAAGGTTCCGGACTGGGCGCCGACATTGCTCGTTTACCCCGAGAGGGCGGTTAGGAATATGACTTTGGAAGTCTTGCGCCAGATATTGTTTACTGGAGAGAGCGAGGGGATGGGTGAAGACTGGCAGTCGCGTCATACTGAGGTTGCCAAAGAACTTGTGCAAGTTTCTGTTGACAGACTGAGGAAGACTTATCTGTCGACCCCGGGGCAGACGGTTGAAGCGAATGTTATTGAGGAAATCAAGGCCGTGATTGACCACTGCTTGGTCACGTACTATGATGATAGCGAGGAGGACCAGGAGTTGGTTCACCAGGTGCAGAGTAAGCTACCCATCATCTAATCAAGCATTCGATCCTCCGGTCACTAACACATCACAGCGGTTACTACAGCCATCGAAGAACTCGCCGCCGATCTCCCCGAAGAGTTGGTTTCCGGTACGTATCCTTTTCGTATGTCATCTCATTCACCGTCTAACTTGGGGCCCCCAGAGTCTGATATGCCTTCTCCAGAGCCCAATGAGTGGGGGGATGACTTGGTGATGCCCAGCGATTCTGAGGATTCTCCATAATTGATTTCCATGGTGTTGTGGTGCTGTCTTGACATATGAGCGACGAATTTATGATAAGATTTTGCCATGGATTTTCATCTGCATGGACCGGCGTTTTCCGTTCAGTTGTGCCCCGTCTCGGGAAAATTCTGGTTCTTTTCTTCCTTCGGCATCCTTTCTTTTATTGTTTACGTCTATTTCGTCTCATGTGTTAATTAATCGGGAATTGTTTGTGTACTGCGCTTTCTAATTAGCTACGCTTGTTACTGGGGAATCGTTTGGGAATAGGGTAGGCACATGGATAGGGATAGAGGTTTGGAATGGATCGAAATCCCCAAGGGGATTGAATACACGAGGATTTGATAAGAATATCTTGGTATTATATTCGTAGAGTACATATTTCTATATCAGTTTAAATTACTTACGAATGCAATGCAGCTTAACCATCCATCCGGTCTATCATCATCTCTTACCTCGTCAGTCTCCTCTTGATCCGGCGGCCAGCGCCGTGATATTAACCCCATTTTCAGAATGCAATGTAGCTCCTATTTGCTCAAGGTCGCCTGCTAGACGTCCTCGAATTCCTCCTCATCATCCTCATCGGACTCTTCCTTCTTCACCTCCGATTCAGGTTCGGTCTTGACCTTCTTCGCCGCCGGGCCTTCATCGGCCGTGGCGGAAGTAACAGACTCTGTCTTAGGGACGCTAGAACCAGTATCTGTATCGAGTTCACGCTTGATACCAGTTGCATTGTTGGTAGGTGCCGGTGCAGCACCACCAACAGCAGGCGTCGCAGACCCACTGCCAGAGACGCCAACATCTTCGAACTCGTCGAATTCGTCCGAGTCTTCCTCTGCACTGCTGGCTTCTGCCTGTGCCTGGAGAGCCTGTTCGCGGGCCATTTCCGCATAGTACGCGGCAACTTTGTCGTCCAATGCATCGGCGGAGGGTTTCTCCTCTTCTCCTTTGATATCTGGTTTGATGTCGACGCCCTCCTCTGCCTTGACGCCCAGATTTCCGGCGCTAGTTGAGACGGTGGAGTGGGTATGCCAAACTGGGAGGGCGTTTTGTTGCTCGACTGCAGCCTTGCGGGCTGCTTCTTCGGCTTGTTCCGCTGCGCTCTTCTCTTCGGTTGAGGTGAGAGAGATTTCGAGGGCGGTTGTGTCGGTTTTGGCATTGCCACGAACAGTTTCTTGTTGTTTTGAGGGAACGGCGACTGCGGTGCGGGTTGGGTGCGTTGCTTGGTTCCGGATAATGTCGACTTTGTGGTCCCAGGCTGTGTCGAAGTCGTTAGGGGGGATTTCGACGGAGTCGATTTGCTTGAGCAGTTTCAACATTCCATCAAGCTGGGCCATGAGTTTGCTATTTTTTTCATGGCCTGTCCGGTCGATTCCATCGGCTCCTTTTACGTCTTCTGTTCTTTCGAGGATGGCTCCGCAGTTCTGACATTCAAATCCTTCTTCGCTCACGAGACTCAGCACGTCGAGTTCCGTCCACTCAGAACTGCATCGCAAGCAAACGTATTCCTTTCGTTCTTCGCTCGGCGTGTATTGTGCTTTGATTGTCGAGGTTAGTTTGGAGATTTTGTACTTGACCGCGTCGACGACTGGGTGGAGAGGGATAAAGTAGTATTCGCGGTTCACTGGACGAGTCGCGCCGTCTCGGATCTCAGCTCGTGTATTACTGCAGGTATCTTCCTATTAGCCTAGCTGTAACGGAATGAGCATGTCCGGTGGATAATAGCCATACACGGCGATCAGACGGTCTTCGCGTAATTTTGCGCAGAGCTTGCGGAGGTCTTTTTGCTGCATGCCTAGAAGGAAAGCGAGGTCTTCAGCGTGAAGACTGTCGCGATAACAATCAGTATTGGTTCCTTTGGATATAAGCCATGCGATCCCAGCACATACACAGAGTGAATGAAAAGCGCATCAACCACAAGAATGTGGCGAGTCTCGTAGAAAGTGCGGACGACGGTCCGGATGAGAGTGTTTGCGAGATCCATTGCGTAGATGTGATATGTCCGTGAATTTTAATTTCCTGATATCCGATGGTCCCGTTCAAGGTCTCAGTCTGTCAAGCGACCGAAAGTTCCTGGTAGCTGGTATACTCAGTCTGGAGCTTAGCGGAGGAAGAGCAACATCCTTCGATTCCGACAGCAGCGAAGCTGTAAAGAACGGGGTTCCGCCGCTATCCGGGAGCGTAAGTGAGTAACCTGCCGCAAACCAAGGATGGTCTGTCAGTTGCACAAGAGAATAAAGAGAGAAAGCAAAACGAAAGAAAGCAAAGCGAAGTCTGGAATCGAAGCCTGGAACGCCGATATGTAAGAAGTCACGGAACTGACACCTGAGGCATAAATACCCAGCCTAAAACGGTATAGCGCAGCCCGAATTGTCGACCAACGAGAACCGAAACGCAACGCCGTTTTTAGAGTCGCGGAATTTTTAGTCAATCTTCATGCGTATCTTTGCGATTCTGCGCCAGGGCCTATCTGGAATCTCTTCAATCTCGCGAGATTCTGCTATCTATAGTCAACCACTTTCTCAACTGAAGCCCATTGTTGCGACAGTCAACGCTCGCAGACATTTCGCAGATTTTCCCCGCAGAAACCGAGTCACTGAGGCAGAATGGACAATAACCCCGGAAGAGTGGAGGGAGGAGAAGATACTGGTGGAAAGCGTAAGAAGAGGAATATGGGCCGGAACGAATGGAGGTATACTACATCATCCCCAGAGAATTGAGGGGGCAAGTCATTGACTAACCAAGCAAGTCGGCAAAACCTAGACAAGAGAGCGCGGAATGATGAGATCAATGCAGTGAAGAAGCGCAAAGTTGAGCAGGGCGAGGAAGTTGATACCCCGATATATGCGACGAACTTCTCGCAGGAGGATATTGAGAATGAGCAACGGCGGCCGAAGAAGAAGGCTGCTGTGTTGCTTGGGTACTCGGGGACTGGGTATCACGGAATGCAGCTGTACGGTATCCTCTCCCATTGTGTACTCAATTGGAGAGAACTAATTTGAATCTTTTCTACAGGAGCGCCGAGCACAAGACAATCGAAGGAGAATTCTTCCCCGCCCTCGTCGCAGCGGGCGCAATCTCTAAAGCCAACGCCGCAGACCCCAAGAAATCCTCCTTCGTCCGCTGCGCACGCACAGACAAAGGCGTCCATGCCTCCGGCAACGTCATCTCGCTGAAAATGATCGTGGAAGACGAGGACATCGTGCAGAGAATCAACTCACATCTCAGCCCACAGATCCGGGTATGGGGCATCGAAGTTGCCAGTAAGAGCTTCAGCTGCTACCACATGTGCGACTCTCGAGTCTACGAGTTCTTGATCCCTAGCCATTGCTTTTTGCCACCGCATACGAGTACGTATTTGGGGAAGAAGGTGGTTGAGATTGCGGAGAAGGAGGGGGACCTTGAAAAGTACAAGGAGAGACAAGCCGAGGTCGAGGGCTTCTGGGAGGACGTTGATGAGAAGTACATCAAACCGATTCTCGAAAGTGTGCCTGAGGACATCCGAACAGTTGTCGAGAAAGCCCTCTATATCAACGAAAAGACCGAAGACAAACAGGACCAGGAACAGTCCGTTGAGCCTACAGAAGCCCAAGAACCCACAGAATCTACTCAACATCCCGATGTACATAAACCCCAACTCACGGAAGCCGAAGAATCCCGTCGCCGCCAAACTCTCGCCACGATCAAAGCCATCAAAGCCGCCTACCTCCGCGCAAAACGCGCCTACCGCATCCCTACCTCCCGCCTCGACCGCATCCAGTCCGCCCTAGACCAATACGTTGGTACAAAGAACTTCTTCAACTACACCATCCAAAAGCCGCACAGTGACCCGTCTGCGAAACGCTATATCAAGTCGTTCAACCTCAACCGCCAGCCCATCCTCATCAACAACACTGAATGGCTGAGTCTGAAGGTGCATGGACAGAGTTTCATGATGCACCAGATTCGAAAGATGGTTGCGATGGTAGCCATGGTTGTGCGGTGTGGTGCGGATCCGGAACGGATGAAGGAAACGTATGAGAATACGAAGATTGCAATTCCCAAGGCACCCGGGTTGGGTCTTTTGTTGGAACGCCCGGTGTTCGACTCGTATAATAAGAAAGCCGCGGATTTGGGTCGCGGGGCTATTGATTTCAGCAAGTATGAGGCTGAGATTAACGAGTTTAAGCAGCGAGAGATTTACGACCGTATTTTCCGTGAGGAAGAGGAAACTAATGCGTGAGTCCTACCACCTACTCTTACAAATATAAAACGCCACAAACTAACAAATTCAATAGATTCTCATCCTTCTTCAACCACATTGACCACTTCTCGCAGGAGGAATTCCTCTACGTGACATCCGGCGGCATTGCAGCTGCCAAACCCAGCTCGCAGCCTAATGCTGCTAGTGATACACAGGCCAAAACCGGAAGGATATCGCAGAGAGAAGCCCTAGCGGCGATTGAGTCAGAGAATGAGAGTGAGGGTGAGGAGGGTGGTTGATTGTCTTATTGTTATAGATTAAAAGTTGAATACATATTTACAGCGATAGTGGTTTTACAGTTCCGTTGTAGATATATACACGCGCAGCCGGATCCATTCCTAACCTCAATCATAAAACAAAGTTTAATAAGAACTTTTATTTGTATTCAAGGCTAAGGGAGAAAAAAAAAAAAAAAAAAAAAAAAAAAAGAAAGCTAACAAAAATAAACACTCAATTATCGACAAGGAAAGGCGTTAAATATCGTTAGCTGTACGTACAGACAGCGGGAACGAAGCATGGAAAATGTGTCGCTTGATGCTCCATCCTCGTCCGTTTCCAAAGCCCAGACAAAATAAAATAAGACAAAAAGGAGATCTAACACGAAGGCTAGACATGGACAAGATAAGAGAACGCAATATTCAAAACACCAGCACCAACGCATTGAAAAGATAAGAACCGACAAATTAAGAATGAAAGACCAATATGCTCGAGAGAAGAATAAACTGAGAAAAAACCGAGAAACGAAACGCTTATGGTGACACTGACAAAAAGATAGAAAAAAAAAAAAATAAAATAAACGAATAAACAGAAACCCGGAATGAAACTCACAACCGGAACATGCTATCCTCCATCAAAATAAACCTAAAAGATTAAAGAACGAGTCTTCGCTCGCCTCGCATCAAATCCTCTCGTCTCAGGCTGCGACTGCGTATGTTTATGTCTCGGCTTTGAAGGAACCGACGCCGGCGCCGGCACTCCCGCAGATGTAGAAGGCGGAGCGCCAACATCACTCTTCACCGGTGGAACGGGCGGAGCCTGAGTCGGCAGCGGCGGACCATGCGTACCACTGGGCTGCCGTCTGGCCTTCATGCTCCTTTCCCTCCGCAAAACAACGTCAGTCCAAGGCTTAGCCACACTGCCGCTGGATGAGGTGCCTTTTCCAACGGAATCGGCGAGGACCTTCATCCAGCCATCCTTCTCCGCTGCGCTGTCGGCATAAAAGTCGATGACTTCGCCGTTACCGAAGCGGATGCGGAAACCTTCTTCGACGAACATATAGCCTTCTTCTTCTTCAGCGAAGGCGGATTTACGGCGGCCACCGCCGCGTGTTGAGGTTTCGCGCTGGGTGAGGGAGGAGCGGTCGTCAATGAGTTTGACAGCCTTGGAGAGGTTGATCGTTGCGCGGGGTTGGCGGGTTGTTTCGTGGTAGGCGGTTAGCTTGGAGCCTACAACTTTGAAGAATCGGCGACGCCAGTACTACACGAAAGTTAGCCAAATATGTCGAATCACTACCAGAATAACGAGAACCTACCGGACAATCACCACCCTGCTGGGAAAGGAACCCTTCGAAAGTGCGAGTCGAGACGCTCTCCGCCTCCCGCATTTCCCGAATGCACGAGTTCATGCTCTTTGGCATGTCCTCATCCTTCGCACCCTTGGGTTTGGGCACGAACAGCAACTGCACCTCCAATTTACCAATCTTGTAAGGAGGACGGCGCTGAGAAGAATTACTGGAGGTACTCTTCTTGCTCTTTATACTGCTAGGTTGCTCTTCCACGGCCCACTCGTTGAAGCATGCAATGTCAACCGTGTAGGGGCGTCCGAAAGCGTGCTTCTCGTGGTCACTGAGCGCGACGTAGGCACGACCAAAGCTGCCATCCTGTGCGATCAATGTCCTCAGACGGTCCCAAACGCCGGCGTTGACGTCCTGGCTTTTGCGCTGCTGGGACACAAGCTGTTGTTTCATTTCGAGCTCCTTGCGCTTGCGGGGAGAGGCGAAGACACGGCTGAAGGTTGATGCCTTCTGTTTTGCTGGGGATGGAGGAGCGACTTCTGGTGCCTTCATTTTCTCTTCGTCTACCTTCATCTGGAGGGTCAGTTGGAATTCAAGGTCGTTGTGGACGATCAGCTCGAATTCCTGGCCAATTGGTGCCGACTTTCCGAGCTCCAACCAGGCGGTAGTAACGCAGTGGAGACCGTTGTCAAGAGTAAGGGCAAAGTACGACCTCTCGCCTACAGTATTGTCAGCTAACCCAATTAGTTACGCTTAGGTTAAAGAAACTAACCTCTGGGCATTGGAAGGTCCAAGTACTTAAGACCGACAACCTTCACAAACAAACGACCGCGCTCTTCACCTTCATCCAAGGCTTCGTTCAATCCAGGCTCATCTGCTGCAGCCGCATCAACGTTACTAGATTGACCAGGCAGAGGGGGCACAGCACCAGGAACAGGCTTCTTCTTAAGTCCGCTAGGCGTTCTAATGCTGGAGCGTCGGCGCTGGCTGTTCCAGGGGACCGTTGTCCATGTCTGCTGGCTGGGCTTGCGGTTCGAATTACCAGGGACCCTCGACAAGCGGGCTTCGGTCGCGGCTTCGCCGGGGGTGGTGGCTGTCTCTTCCTCGTTATGACTACTGGCAACGATGACCTTGGTGTTTTGGCGCATGAGGTAACCTCTCTGTTTGGGAGGATGGTTAGCAGTTGAGACTTCATAATGAACGTGACTTAGGGCTGCTGGGTCCTTGGGTTTGGGTCCATGGGTAGAAATGAAGGGGTCCTGGGTGTGGGGGATTGCTAAGGATCGAAATGAGGAACACTGGGAGAGGGCTTGCTCAAACGCAACCTTTTGGTTTTCCATAACACGATCAAATTCTCTGTTCAAACCAAACCCGAGGCTTTCTTCCTGGATGCTGAATGGGATATCCAATTTCACGAGACTGCTCTGTCTCTGGGTGTCTTTGCTCGGGGAGGGGGGTGCCAACTTGTTCGAGTCGTCTTCGGGCTCTTGCGCTTCGTCGTCATTATTTGAGTGCTGGGAGTCATTGGAAAAGTGCTTGCTCAGGGATGGCAAGCGGAACGCTTGAGGGCCGCTAACTTTGCGTCTAGTGGCTGCCATTTGTTCAAGGTCAGCCGGCGTCAAGGATGGCCGCGTCTTGAGACCAGTTCCTGGCGCTTTAATTGTAGCAATGGGATCAGGCACACTCTCGTCAGTCACACTCCCATCCGGAGAAAAGTCGCTCATGTCATCATCTTCAATAGGATGGCGGATGACTGAGTCTGGAGTCGAAGGCTCTGAGACCGGCGAGCCATTGGGCTCCGGAGTGCCCGGGCGTTGCAAGGTTTCACGAATAGAAGCCATGTCGAGTGCGGAAACTGGTCGGCTATCGAGTGCAGATTCAGGCCTAACATCAAGCGCAGAGGCAGGCCGTATATCAAATGCAGAAAAGGGTCGGGCCTTTTCACGCTCATTCTGAGCATCAACAGAAGATTCCTTCTCAGGGGCTTCTTGAGTTTCGTCAGTGGGCTCAGTGGGCTCAGTGGGCTCTGTAGGGTCACGGTGCTCATTGTGATCAAGGTGCCCTTGGTATTCCATTTGTTTGCCTGGCTCGGCGGGAGCTGGAACAGGGGTAGAGCTACGGTCTTCAGGTTCTTCAGCGGGTGGCGAGTGAGTATTGGCTGCTCCCGCTGAGTGGAGGGAGTAATTGCTCGATCCGTTGTGAGGTAGCTTGCCCTGAAGGTCTTTCATCGAGGGGTCCTTGGAGGAGGCGCTCTCGCAATGTTCGGGAATGTCAGAAAGTTCGCTGTTGTCCTCCTCCTTGATAATCACGCTGTCCGTGTCATACTCGCCATCATCATCGCCCTCAAGGGACGGGAGCGGTACGTCCGGATCATAATCTAGATACGAGTCGTCGTCATCGTCGTCATAAAAGTCATCGCCTTTTCGAAGGTCGCGCAAGATGGAATCTCTAGAGATACGAGGAGGGGTAAAGACATCAGGCTCCTTCGCTGCATCATCGGTTTCTTCTTTGGGTTCAACATTTTCCTGCTGCTTCAACTCGTCTTCGATACCATCGTGCTGGCCGTTGTCCGCTTTGGCGGGCTCCTGAACAGGCTCACTATGCTCTGGTTGCTTCTCATCCTTTTTCTCGTCCTGAATCATCATCAGGCGCAACCGGTCCTCCAGCGACATCGACGAGTTCTTGAAGCCAGTGATGTCTGATTTGCTATATGTTGCAGGGCCAGGAGGAGATGGCAGCGTTCGCTGGCCACCACTTCCAAGCTCGAGAGCAGTTGTGGTAAATTTGCCCGGAGAGGACTGGTTCGCCTGTGACCGCATCACCGAAGGAAGAGGTGGAAGGGGCCGAGGCTCCCCGTTTGAATCAAGCGATTCAACACGAGAGTGTGGCCGGGAAGGCTCTTGATGCGGAGAAGGACGAGGGTCAGGGCTGTGGCTTGCATCCTCATCCTCGTCCTCTGTAAAGGACTCATCCTCGTCTTCATGTCCGTATCGCCATTCCTCAGGCAGCACGACAGGAGTCTTTTCAGTGTCTTCCAGCGAAGCGTCGAAACTATCATCATGCTCTGCAGATGATTCGCGCTCGAAACTGACATCGCCCTCGTCTTCTTCTGCCTCTTCCTCCGAGTCATAGCTACCGTCACGAGAGTCCGATGCAGCAGAAACAGAGGGATCGGGAGTCGTCATCTCGTACTCGTTCACTTGGGGAGGAGCTGCATCGAAGGTCACGCTCTTCGCGTGTCGATGACCATCGGCGTCGGACCAAATCTCATATTCAGGGTCGAATCCACCTTTCACACCAAAACGGCTAGCTTTGGAGAGGGAGGATTTCGCGGGCGACGGAGGCCTAGGGCTTTCGATGGAATTGTTTGTTTGTGGCCCCGTCTGTTGTTTCTGGGGGGAGCTGTTTGTTGAAAGAGGTCGTTGTGGGACGTCTACCTGGGAGGCATCGTACTCGGAGTTGCGATCACGGAAGATGTGACTGTTCCTCACGCGCGCAACACGCTTCAGGTTCTCGACTGACGGGCGCTTTGATGGCTTGTTAGGAGCATCGGGGTCATAGGGAGCTTGGTTCTCCGATTTCTCCGACGAGTCGCGACCCTGCCAGTAGAGGCGCAGCGAGGCGGGCTTGTCTGGCGAATTGTTCTTCAACATTTGCTGCCCGAGTCAGTATCTGCCAACGAGAACCAAATATCACAGGCTATTTTTACCTTGGTATTTGGGTTCCAGCTAGGAGAGTTTCTTCTTTGAGCCACAGGACTCACTTCAGATAGCGGCCGCTGAACAGCACCATTGGGCATCCTGATATAACACTCAAATAACCTAGACAGGAAAGCCCACGAGGAAACAAAGAAGCACGCTGTGATGGGTGGATCTGTCAGCAAAGACCCTCGTTTGGTCTCCCTCGCAACGAGCGCGATATATAAAAATATCTCCGACTCAAGGGGGTGGGATTATGTCTCCTAGGAGATACATTGCTTTGTCCAACCCACCTTTGTTGTCCCAACTCAGCGATCCGAACCAGGCCGGAACAATATATGCAGTTATCGATAACTCGGAGGATTTCTTTATCTCTTCAACGGTCTTCTCTAGGTCATAAAATCGTAGAAATGAAGCAATACGTCACAAATGAGGAAAGATAGTGAAAATTTGTCAACAAAAAAGAAAGAAGAGAAAATCAAGCGAGGGAAAGAAGAGTAAAAGAGGAAATGCAATGAACAGAAAGAGAAGAATGAAGATGCAGGACAACAAACACCGAAAGCAGCAATATCAAGGTCTGGCCGGAGTAGTTGAAGCACGACGCGAGCTGGTGTTCTGTCACTCTTGCTGCTTGTCGGGAGTTGCCATGGCAACTGCTGCCTTGTTTCTGCCACATGTTTCAGGATATTTATGCCTTACGGGTCAGGTGTCTAAGATCCTGTACTAGTCCCGATCGGTCAGTGGCAATATTCGACCGCCTTATTTTTTCTTGATAGCCCGATAGACTTGGTTCTCGACTCATTGCTACCATTCTGCTTTTCTGTATAGACAGTTCTCGAGACCAACGGCAGTATGCCTCTGCCCCTCCGTCCCGTATGTCTGGCCTGCCAGACTCGCGCCACCACCTTCCCTCGATATGGATTGACCCCTCCGACAATAGGGCAATCTGCCCGCTCTATGGCCACAGCTCGCATGCGCCGTTCAGCAGCCCGGATGGCTCTCTCGCCCAATGTCGCCAAAGCTACGTTAAAGAAACCCCGCGCCGATGAACGACGGGGTCCGTTTTCCGGAATGAACCAGACCGAAGCTCGAATTCGTGGGACGCCCCGCTCCAGATCCCAGGCCGAGGTCAAGCGCTCTGGTAATCCTGGAGAGACGAGCAGCAACAAAGAGAGTCCGTTATACAAGGCATTGAAGATGCAAACTACCCTGTCACCGGTTCCATATGGGCGGAGAACGGCAATCAAAGCAAAGCTTGCGAATATCACCAGTTTCGACCAGTTTCCAATCCTGCCTGTCGTCCGGGAGTCAATCTTCTCACAGGCTCTTCCTGGCATGATGGATATCACTCCGACTCCGATCCAGCGTTTAGCGATTCCGAGATTGATGGAAGAGCCAAACCAAAAGCATAAAAAGATGGTTGATGAGTCTGAGGCAGACTACGATCAGTGCCTTCTTGCGGCAGAAACAGGCTCGGGGAAGACATTGGCGTATCTAATTCCATTAATCGACCACGTGAAGCGCGTAGAAGTTGAGGATAAAAAGGAGGAAAAGCGCATGGAGGCACTAAAAGCTAAAGAAAAAGAGGAGAGGATGAAAAACCAGGTTTTTGATGTTGAACCCGAAGTCGCTCCGTTGTCCAATGCCGGCCGACCTCGAGTGATCATTCTAGTTCCAACATCCGAGTTGGTGGCTCAGGTGGGCGCCAAGGTCAAAGCCCTCTCGCACACAGTTAAATTCCGTTCGGGAATGATTTCGTCCAAGTTCACACCTCGCCGGATCAAGAACGTACTGTTCAACCCTGCCGGCATTGACGTCCTTATCTCCACTCCTCATCTCCTCGCATCCATCGCCAAAACAGATCCGTACGTCCTCAGCCGTGTTAGCCATCTGGTACTTGATGAAGCCGACTCGTTGATGGATCGATCATTTTCCCCTACCACGACTGAAATCATCGACAAAGTCGCACCATCGCTCAAAAAGTTGATTTTCTGTTCTGCCACGATTCCGCGGAGTCTCGACTCCGTTCTCCGAAAGCGTTACCCAGATATTACCCGGTTAACGACCCCTAACCTGCACGCTATCCCCCGTCGCGTCCAACTCGGAGTGGTGGACATCCAAAAAGATCCCTACCGCGGCAACCGCAGTTTGGCCTGTGCCGATGTGATTTGGCATCTTGGTAAAGCTGGTGATGCGGAACCAACAGGGCCCTTTGAGTCGTATATGGATCCTAGCAGCAAGGTGAAGAAGATCCTTGTCTTCGTCAATGAGCGTGAGGAAGCAGACGAAGTTGCCCAGTTCCTCCGATCAAAGAGCATCGATGCTGTTTCTCTGTCTCGTGACTCAGATTCCCGGAAACAAGAGGAGATCCTGGCCGAGTTCACAGAAACCCCTCCTACACCAACATCGGATGAAATTCTGCAAGCCCAGAAAGACCGCAAAGAACAAGAAGCTATTCCCTTGATTGAGCCGGAATCAAAGCAGCCTGCCAACCAGAGCCCATACCGACTAGCAAATACCAAGGTGCTTGTCGTGACCGACATCGCATCCCGAGGTATTGATACTTTGGCCGTCAAGACGGTTATCCTGTATCACGTGCCACACACAACGATCGACTTTATTCATCGTCTAGGTCGTCTGGGTCGTATGGGTAAGCGCGGTCGTGGTATTGTGCTCGTTGGAAAGAAGGATCGCAAGGATGTTGTCAAGGAAGTTCGCGAGGGTATGTTCCGCGGACAGGCTTTGATCTAGTCTTGTACGTTGTACGATTATGTCTGTATTATTAGTATTAAAACATCATGATGCGGCGTTAGTGGTTGGGACATTGGACGTAAAATTTGAATACCTGTGTATATAGCCATGAAGCGAATCTCATAAAAAATCAATCAATCAACTCATTGTTATCTTTATCTACTTTCGAGCCCTAATTGGATTCCATCCTAGGCAACCAGGTAGGCTAACACATAATTAATGTATAGAGGCATGCAACATTATTTTCAATTCAACAGGCAGTCAACAATCCAACTACAACTACCAACACAAGACTACGACCTGACCACAAAAAGATACCCGACCTAAATAGAAATTTAACCCCCTCTTCCGCAAAATGACTACCCTAATCGACACCCACATCGCAGTAGCCCTATCCTCCGACTATGATTTCCCCTGCAACCTCTTCGTCGACGGCCTAATCTGGGCAAAATTGCTCAAAACCACACAAAAGGACTACGGCTTCGTCCTAAAGTCCCTCTAAAACAGGGCTGCTTTTCAAAATTTAACCTTGTACGCTTTTAAAGACTTTAAGAGACGAAGGGTATGTAACCGAGGATGTACTAAAGGATTATATCAACGTCACACTTTACAGTTATGATATAAACGACAATGTGCATAATATTACTTTACTGCTCCGCTGCTTCGACCTCTGGATATCGGCCGGTCAATGGAAGAGTGCGAACCGGGCTTTTCCTTTGATAGCCCGATTACTTGGCTTGCCGTCAATATACTTTGGAACCCCATCGACTACACCAAGCGCTTCGGATATTTCACCGACTTGAAATCCTCGGGACATTGAAATTCAAAAACTCACAGATCTAGAGCAGCACAACGAATGTATCTTTATAATCACTCGCGATCCCAAGGTGCCGGCTCAATGTGAGGGAATGGGAAGCGGACGCAAAAGCCAATTGTATGGGTATATGTTTCCGTCGGGTATTGAGGATGCGATTGATTTGACTGAGGCTTCCTTGGGGTTGGACTGATGGAGGGGTGGTGTTTAATATGGAATGTAGGAGAGGATTAGGGTTTATCTGAGATAAGAATCAAGCATTTCCTGAATAACGTTCGTTCCTTTCCCGTAGGTCTAGACAATCTGAATGCCTAGATTCTTTTTTACTAGATTCTTTATTTAAGTTAGGACAAAGCAGTAGATGCTAGGACTGGGTGCAGTCCAGAGACATGAGTGAAGCAATGCTGGAAACTGCTGAAATGAAGCTTTACAGCACGGTGAATGACCAGGACCACTTGCCAAGGTGTACAAAAGGATCCTTCTTCAGCCTCTCGGTCGAGTCGGTGGTGCTATCCCAGTCCGATTCCTACGACTAATTTGATGACCTTTTTAAATCCATTAATTTGTTAATGAGATTGATACAATTTCACCAAGCTAAAGCCACCAATTTGAAACACATCTCACTTTGGAAAAACACGAAACTGTTCGCACTAGAAGGCGACAACAAAACTATCCGATAAATAAAAACATTGTTCCTTTTAAAAATTATCTTGACAAGTTCTTCACCCATCCTGTGCTGCATCGGCCTTTGAGCCTCTATCCTCACGAGGTGTGTACTTCTTCCCTCATGGCGCATTATGTGGTTGGTAGCTCAACCCAGATTCTCTCAAGGAACATTAAAAATGATAGCAGCAATAAGTTGCAGCACCTCAAGTGACAGTAAGGGACAGAGCTGTAGTTTGCTTTGCTATTTCGAACGCACAATGGTTACAACTCAGTCCAACTTCATTATTGACCGGTCCATACATTCCAGGGCATATCTCCATGTCTCTCGCATGAGAGGTCGTCTTAACATACTTTCGAGGTCAATATCTTGCCCGTCTTCTACCATGTGGACCCTTTGAAAGTTCTGGGGGGTGCTAGCTAGCACTAGGCCTCACCACCTAGATAGCCTCTTTAAGGTTAGCATAGGAAAAAGCGCCAAACCCGAGCATCTATGCACATCGAATGCCCTCCACTCTATCAGCACTGGCTGGCCAACAACTGGCATATAGTGTTGGTTCCGCCACATCGGTGCTTATCTCGACCACGGCCAAAACTTTACTACCTGTCCGCTGGGCTTTAAGCCCCAGAGAGGAACCTGGCAGTTGACAGGTTCTCTTTTGGTTACTACAGGACCATTCCCAAAAGTGGTGACTGTAATATATTCCATAGAAATCATGGTCGAGAGTTCCTATACACTTACGCTTGTATTGCGATAGTGCTGGCAACTCAAGAGGCCACATAGCCTAACTAAACAGATTGTGGAATCAGTACTTCCATACACCAGTCATGCAACAATAGCTCGCGTTGACAACTAGGGCGTGATTGCAATGTCCAAGAATACGGAATATCATGCTCACACGAAGCATATCAACATCTATTATGATTCTCTGCACCGGAAGGGCTCATTCGTCTCCACTTGTGCATGAAAGCAGCCAATTTACCAAGCCTTTGAAGACACTGCTGTTCGTTCCGGCTCAGTTGCGGTGAGGTGAAAAATATTAGAGAAAACCACGCAGTGTCCTAGAGTGGTTTCTTGGGAGTCGCGCATGAAATTTTCTGGTGACAGACGACAGACAGTTGCCCCACGAAATTTAACACACACAGTCCTTAACCAAGATGTCAGAATCTGGAAGATTACCGACGAACCCCTGTTGACTCAAATTCTTTGGAACAAGTTACCCGACCGGAAACGGATCTTTGATACATCATGTCGGAGCACTTAAATGATCTAGCTAGAAATGGGTATTGCAGAGCGGGCTTTGGCCGTCTTTGTTGAAAGTTGCGTGGTCAACAAAGCAGGAAATGGGATATAGGGACTATATTACAACCAAAACATACAATCTTCGATAGCCACTGCGTTCATGTCTATCCTAGAGATGCAATGGAACCTCCAGAGAGTTGCAGCAATGTCGGGACCGGAGAGAAGGATGAGCAAGTTTCCATTCAACAGCAGAAACCCCACAGGATCAACGCTCTTGGCCTGTGAATATTTGATCAATTTTAACCTCGGTCTCAACCCAAGATTGACTACGGTCAATTGGTCAACAACAAATCCACTAGTGAGAGTGGCAATTAATGGTCATTTAAAAGGAATGAAGGCCCATGTTGCAAAGACAAGCCGTCTTGGTGCTCCGGGGGTGAGTTAGAATGTTCCTAGACTAGACACCGCAAACACCAACATGTTTCAAATTAAGAATGTGCAAGCTATAACCCAATGCGTTGTGGATGCAACTAAGCAATGGCAAGCAGCCGGACTCAGCTACTCATCATTCTTGCCAGGGTTATCAAAGAAAAAGCGTCGGCGATAGAGAAGTCAACTATACACGTAATATCAACTAAATACTTCTTTTGATTTTGCAAACAAAATCCTCAATGGAATCTATGTACCTTGGACATACGATTGATGAACACACGCAAAACATTTCTATGTTCGCCGGGTTTGGGATAAGCGAGCAGACGGGAGCTAGGTGCTAGGTCGAATCACTACGTCGATCAGTTCCGTTCGCCTACAGTATCCCTAACAGCCATCGTCAATGACCAATTTCCGAAAATAGTTATCGAATACCTTCTGGAAAGGGATCGGAAGGTAGTCAGTCGTTCATGGAGATAGGACGGGATTCTTATCTCTGGTAGGAGACAGCGTACTTCGGAGTACCCTCCAGAGTACTCTCCGGTACTGTTAGACTCTTTACTATGTGACCATGAACACACTAACGCAGATGACGATCAGAGAAGACTAATACAGAATATCAAAATTATGACTAACCTATAACATCCCCAGCCAGTACCAGATATACCGAAATATTTTTATTGAAACAAGACTGATATCGTGTACAAGACCGATCCAGGTGAAAACCCTAAAAACAAGACTAAATGCAAAAACATGACGAAAGCCAACCATCGTTTAAAAAGCGCCCAATTCCAGCCCTAAATGCGAGTTCCCAAATCAAGGTAGATAGAAGAAAAATGAAACAAGTAGATATAGAAATATATCCCAAACCCGCTAGAACTCCGGACCAACTAACCAATAAACAAACCAACCTAACCCGATAGATATCATCATATACTAATCCGTCTTCCACTGCTCTTACATAGTCATCCGCAGTCCACGAGTACTCCTCCTACTCGCCCGCGTGTTCCTTTTCTCCTCACTCACGTCGCTACTCTCCTCTGTCTCAGTCTTCGCGTCCGATAACTCTGGCGTAGGCGTAACCCCAGAACTAACACCCCGATCCTTTCGCGAAACCTGTGCCTCTTCGTCCCTGCACAAGAAACGGTGAATAGTCCTGTGATCCATAACGCGCTCTTCATCATCAGAGTTCCCCTCTCTGTCTGTTTTTGGCCAGCGGAAGCCGTACAGCATAGAGTGGCGCTCGCAGCGGGGACATTCGCGACGGGTCTGGTAGGAGTCTTTTTGAACGAACCAGGCATTGCAGGTGTGGCAGTCGACCCAGCGGTCGTAAGGCTGGGCGAGGAGGAGATGGGTTTTAGTATAGTCGCCTGGGGTTCGGGCGCGTGAGATGGCTTCGACGGAGGGGATGATCCATTTTCTTTTGGTGTATTTCCGTTTTCTGCGCTGCTCGGGGGCGGCGTCGTCTTGCTTTTCTTCTGTTTCTGGCTCAAGAGAGGTAGATAGTTCGGAAGACTCGTCTTTGATACCATTCAACAGGTGTCGTTCGATGTTATCCGCGGTGATCTCGAGGGCCGCGCTTCCTTTTGGTGTTGCTGTGCCGTCCTCGGTTTTTACGTGAACCGGAGCTTCGCATACCGAAGTTGCCGCTGTTGATGCTGAAGAGCGTTGAGAATCGTCTGCCACAAGGGAAGTAGGGGAGTCGCAGTCAGTAGTAGAAGACGATTGTGCGCCTAATTCTGTAGCCGGGTTGAGATTGGTGTTCTCAGTAACATTGCTAGTTTCTTCTTCGCACTTGGTAATCGTAACTTCAGGGTATGTTCCATTGACCAGTGGTTCACTAGGCATCTCGTTCGTAGAAGTCTCAATCGAATCTGCAGTTTCGGAGAGACACACTTCAGACCTCAGCTTGGAACATGGCCGGTTGAACTTGGCTCGTTTTCTAGGCGTGGAAACACCGGAAGTATCCGAATCAGTGTAAGGGTCATCCTTGCATGTTTTTGGTGAAAGCAAGCCATCAGCTGAGCCGTCATCATCGTTCAATGGCGGGATTGGTGCTTGGCTTTGCGCATCCGTGTCCACTTGCGGAGCCCATCCATTCCGAAGCGCCCGTTCACACGACATGCAAAGGCACTCGCAATTGTCCACGCCAAAATAGTCCTCCCCATACGAAACCGTAATCTCCTCTCCAACATCAATGTCCCGCGTAGCCATGACCTGCATTCCCTCCGTCCCGCGGGTCACCAACCGCCCATTGGCGTTGCAGTCATGGTTTGCAAAGCGCGCCGGCCCCAAGAAAAACGATGGGCTCTTCCTCCTACTCGACATCACAATGCTAAAATCCCTGCGCGTCAAGTCCAAGTCCCGTTCTTCTTCCGCAGTCATCGGCACGAGGGTCCCACTGAGGTATTTGACTTCCTGTCCCTTCTTTATGAATTTCCGAGCGCAAATCGCGGCTTCATGGACCTTAATAGTGTAGCGATTCGTCGTCATGACCTCGAATGGGGAGTCTGGGAGGTACATCTGGACGTATTTGCGCAGGTGTCGACGGAACCATTCCCGCTCGCGATCGTTCGGTAGCTTCGCCATAAACCTCTTCAGTCCCGTCATCGCTAGTATTTCCTTCTCAGCCTTGGGTGCGTTCTTGGCGACAATCACATCGTGGAGAAGGAGATGGCCGATGTCGTCGTCTTGGATGCCCCGCATGGGAATGTACTTGGCTCGGTTCTTTCGGGTGTTGGTCCAGAAATAGGCCTGTAATGATAAATAGAATCAGAATTGAACGTTATACAGCGTAAATACCTGGAGTATACCAACCCGGTCAACCAGCGCATCCGTTGCGACATCATCATAGCTGGCCAGTTTCGCAAGCGTAAGACGGTCGCGACGGCCCTCTGAAGGACTAGCTTTTGCTTTGGAATTCGGCATTACGAATGCCTGCGAAGCCAATTTCCATACAACCAAACACGATCTGAAGTCGAGGGCCGCCAATGGGTCAGGTAGAGTGGTTGGAATTGTCTCTGACAAAGGGGATGGGCGGACAACGGCTCGCGGGCGGAAGTCTAACGAAGAGATCTATTTAGTAGTGAAGGGTGAATTGTACAGAAAAGAGCGTCAATTCGGGAGCGCCAAATTAAGCAAAAGAGTGAATCTCCAATATAACCAACATAATGGACTGAAAAGAAAACAACCTCCCCAAGGGAAGTCGGGGCGCGACAGAAGGCAGAAACAGTGCGGCTAATGCGCCCGGCCGAAGTCGGGACTCGGCGAAACCTTCCGCCCGGAGGAACTGGAATCTTTTGTGAGGTTGGCTCCGAGGGTTCTCTTCCAGTGAGAGCGGTTTAACCCAGTTATGCAAACAAGATGATTCAACTAAAGGTGGGTGCTGATACCGGAGATACTGGGAACAGGGACTGCGAGGTAGTCAGGATGCTAATGGTGGTGATTTGCAGACGATGTTAAATTGCATCGACAACTCCGGTGCCGCAGTTGTCGAGTGCGTGAACGTCTTGAAGAAGAAGCGGCCCGCAACAGTTGGTGAGGACTCTTCGCCTTATCGCTATGATGTCCATGTCTAATATGTTCTTATAACTAGGTGATCGGATCGTGGTTGTCGTACAGAAGCAGCGAAACTTCGGCCCCGAGAGCGCAACGAGCAGTGGTATCGCGAACAAGGTCCGTCGAGGAGACATCCGGCACGCTGTGGTTGTTCGCGCAGCAAAGCAGATGCAGCGACCTGATGGATCGATTCTGAAGTTTGACGATAACGCCTGTGTCTTGATCAACAAGTCGGGTGATCCGATTGGCACCAGAATGAACGGTCAGTACTCGTCCACCGGTTATCTATGATTATACTGATGCAGTGCAGGTGTCGTGGCTACGGAATTACGAGGAAAGCAATGGTCGAAGATCCTGTCGTTGGCGCCCCTGCATGTGTAACATATACCAATGAAAAGCGTGTCGTGTTTAATATATGTCCACTTTATGTACCAATAGAATCAGAAATCTAACAAATCAACCCCATTTCACCCCCATTTCACCAAGACAAATATCCCAAACTCCGAACCATGCATATAGGATTATAAAAGGGTATCGTAAAAAGGCCGCGACGGCGAAAAAAGAAATCACATAAAGACGTTGGCGCAAGCGCAGCAGACGTAGTAGAGTTTCTGATTAATGATTAGACTGAGGGATCAATAAAAAAAAAAGAGAGCGAGAAGAAGAAACATACCATTCCCGTTTCAGCAGATCGCTGCTGAGACTGGAAAAACACCGCTTCGGTCTCACCGCAGTTCGGACAGAGCTTGTTGGATCGTGGAAGCTGGGAAGAGTAAACACCATGTTAGCCACGGGAGTTTCAAAATCTTCCATGACAACGACCCCAGGATTATTTTTCTCAGTAGAAATCACTGTACTCTTCCTCTGAGGATGCTTCATCCGGGAGCATCCCACACACAAAGCAAGTGATCTCCTCCCCACAGTGGGTACAGAAATCAGGGAGACAAACCGTCGGATCAGATCCCACATCCTGAGTCACGCCCGCAGTGTCTCCCACTTGACTGTTCAGCCTGTGTTGATAGACGCAATACGAGGAAGCCGGCTCTCCGACGTGGCATGTTCGGCACGTAAACATCAGGCGGTTGTTGACACGATCTTCTTTCGGATAGAGCAAGTTAGAGCTAATAAATATAAACCAGTTAGCTATCTATTATAGAAAGACAGCGCGAAAATAATCGAAGGAGAAGGGGATGTGCTTACCATTCGCGACAGAAACGGAAATGAATCTGATCGCTCTTGTTGTCGCCACTGGCGGAAGGAGACGGACTAGCGGACATGGTGGTGAAAGTATTCGAGGCGAATCGCTGGATATATAATGAACTAGAGAATTGTAGCGTTGAAGAAGGACCGAAAGCAAGGTATGTAGAGTCAACAGTCTTTAGGCGGCGAAGAAAAGAAGTCAGAAGAAGCGACTTGGCACTATTCCTGATCTGGAATGCACGGACGCAGCCTTATATGTTTGTTTCATTTGCTAGGTTTGTCTCATTTGCAGCCCCTCCCCCGCAGTTTGTTTTTGTTCCTTGCTCGAAAGAAGGCCAGTTCTATACCAAGACTCTGCAGCTACTTGTTCTCTGTTGCTAAAGGCTATTCCAGAGCTCAAACTGCTCCTTGTATTCTATACGTTCCATATCTCCGATATCAAATTTCACAATGGTCTGTTTATTTGCCTGGATCATCCTTTCGCAGAGAGCTCGAGAACTGACGTCGGTGTCTCTTTATAGGTCGAGACTGGTCTTCCAACAGGATGGGAAGTTCGTCACTCGAACTCCAAGAACCTCCCATACTACTTCAACCCCGCGACCAAGGAATCCCGCTGGGAACCGCCATCGGACACCGATACCGAAAAGCTCAAGATGTACATGGCACTCCATCACAGCGCCTCGGGAGGTCGTGTTGAGGGCTCCGGCCAGGGCGATGGCAAGATTCGTTGCAGCCATCTTCTCGTGAAGCACAGAGACAGCAGACGCCCGAGCAGCTGGAGGGAGGCAGAGATCACCCGGTCGAAGGAGGAAGCCCTCGAGAGACTCGACGGGTTTTACCAGCGCATCCAGGCTGGTGAGGATCTGGGAGACTTAGCGGTGTCTGAGTCTGATTGCAGCAGTTCCAGGAAGAAGGGAGATCTGTACGTATTCATCCTGGAGCTTACATTGTTGGCCAGAGGCTAATACTGCCAAGGGGTTTCTTCGGGCGCAGCGAGATGCAGAAGGAATTCGAGGATGCAGCCTTTGCTCTACAACCCGGACAGGTCAGTGGTATTGTCGACACGGCCTCGGGGGTTCACCTCATTCAACGGTATGTCTTTATATGTCACGAGTTCTGTGGGGGTGGCGTGGGATGTGAAAAGAAATAAATACTGACTGACTCGATGCAGCCACTCGTGATTCATTTAGAAGGATAATGTCTTGTCTTTAGTTGCATTAGAGCATTAATGAATATCTTAAATATCTTTGTTCTATCGTTTCAGCTTCCCCATGGGGCTATTTTTGCGTTGACTTGAGATACAACAAACTTAAAAAGGTCAACCCCAACTTATTTTCTTTCTAGATCTGGTTTAATGAAATAGTCCTTTTCACTATCCTTATGATCCATTGGTGATGTATGTCAAGCCTTCTTTCAGTGAAGCCTGTCTAGGCACAGGCAGCATTCACAGCATTTCTATCCTCTCACCATGCAATCCTTTCTTTCATCTCTCAACTTCACTGTTGGCTCTCAATCGATCACAGAACTGCTTATTCCGATTTATTACCATGACTCTATTCCACCCCTCTGTAACCAAGTTCATCTCAGCTTTCACCAAAATCGAAATGCCACAGACTGAGCTCTACCTCTTCGACAAGGACTGTCTAGTCCTCCCTCTTGCCCTAAAACAATCTCTTCCCTCAGATATCATCCAGGCCTTCAACAATGCCCGCTGGGCGGCCTCCCACGCCTTGCAATACATCAAAGTCGTCGAGAGAAACCACAACAAGCGATTCAACGCCATGTGTCCCCTCAACAACCCCGAGCAAGCTCTCAACCACATCAGCTCCGTCTCACGGCTCATGGCCCGTCGCACCCGAAACAACAACAACATCGCCAACTTCGACCCGACCCTAGCTCCCGCCGCCAAACTCGACCCTTCTACCATAAAACTCACTGTCGACCAACGCACCTACGACGAGTACGCGCAAAAGTACGTCGAGCTCCTCGAAGGATTTCTCGAAAATCCCTACAGACTTTGGTTGGAAGCAAAGGCTGAAGTTGAATCACGCGTTGCCAATGCCAACTTCGACGAAATGCAGTACAGTTACTGGTATCGCTTTTGGGATTTGACTTTTCTCGTCGAGATGCAGAAATGGGAGGGCCGTTTACAGGGACTTATTTTGCCGTCGTGGGAGGAAGTGATGGATGATTTGCGAAGACTTGTTGTAGAGTGTGTTGAGTCGCCTCATGCTGTACTTAAGGATATCTACGATCGGTCTGGGATTCTTTGGAAGGAGAAGTGATCTTGTTTACTGTGGACTGATCTGGAATTTCCTTCTTTCTCTTTTTTTCTTTTGAGAAGAGAGGGTTTTGTGTGTGCCATCTCTCCCTTGAATTGTTCTCACATTCCCCCATGCATGTGTGCGCTTGTCTTATTCCTCCCAGATTGTGACTGAAATCTATCATTTGGAAATTCCTCCAAATGTATCCTGGCGTTGCTTCTTTTTACTACGGGTTTCAAGTTTATATTTACTCAATCAATTTCCTTTACTGCTTTCACAATAATCCAAATAACCGACTGCAGCCTTGATTGTAAGGGCAATATCTATATCACATCATAACAAAATGACTGCCTACATAGATATGCATATTAGGTCTAACCCAGTAACTCCTGATAAGGTTTAGCGGCGCCTGTCACTTTTTGGGGAAGGGGCACGTGATATGACAACCCTACGGTGGTTCCCTTGTATTGTCTTAGGCTATGCTCTAGCAAAGATGTAAGATAATGGAGTTCCATTAGGTGAGCTCAGACACTGCAGGTAATTTCGTGGAGTTTATTATTTTGCCTCTTGTTGAATGATTCTTTGTTAGAAGCAAGGCAGGACATATATTTTCTCAGTGTACCAGACCATGGTGATTTATTCTCATAATAATCCAAGCTATCTACTTAAAACAATAATACATCTACTGTTCGACTTGTACCAATCTCTACATTCAAGAAGAACAAAAAGAATGTGCCACTACTGGACCACCAAATACACCCTCTGCGGCTGCATCTGCGACGACATATACCAGCTCTGCCCCTACCGCGAGTACTGCTCCGGCGCTGTGCTCACGCAGACCGAATACGAAGAGGATATGTGCTGGCAGTGTCGCGATGATGAGAATGAACGGATTAGATTGGTTGAGTTGGTGAGGGAGATGGAGGATTCGGCGGCAGAGGTATTGGCGGACACAGGTTTGCCAGTGGAATCTGACGGAGAGGGAGAGCGGGAAAAGAACGCTGAGAAGGGCGCTGAGGGACAAAACGAGAATAGTGGTGGAGAGGGTAAAGGCAAACGTATCCGTCGTCCAAAGTTGGTTACTTGCGATGTTTCTAGGGCTTGTGATCCGGAGGTTATCAAGAGAGGGCATGAGCGTGTCAGACGGGCTTGCTTTGACGAAATGAAGTGACGGAGTTTGCCTACGGGGGAATAATGGCAGTATAGAAGAATACATGTTATTTTATTACCTCGGAACATCACGTAAATTTGAATGCTGGATCATACGTCTCAATATCAGATTAAATTGCCAAAACCTAGACGCTCGTATTCAATCGTTCCAAACGCGCAGTGATCGACTCGATGACTGCAGATCTAAGTGACAAAACCGTCAGTAAATGGAGCAAGCAAACAAATGAAGTAAAGGGAACGTACTCTCGTTCAACCATCTTCATCGCATCAGCGATCTTTGCGCGCTGTAATCTCTGTGGGACCCTTGGCTGGGAGGCAGGCGGAGATGCTGGACTGCCAGGCTCAGTCGGTGAGGGTGCCTTGGCTACGATTCGTTTGCTATCAGCAACGAGATCGGTCGCAAGGTCCATGACCTATCCGACGTTAGTATTGTAATCATATCATGGATGGTTGGATTCGACCAAATGAAGAACTTACATCTTCCAGTCGTTCGTTCAGGTTGCGTTCCTTGCTTTCATCTTCCGGCTTGGCTTCCTCAACCAAACCCGACAAGGCTTGAACCTCCGAGACCCAAGACCTCTCTTTCTCACTTAATGGCCGACCGCCAGATCTCAAGACCTTGCTTCGCAGAGCCTCGTATCTTCCAATGAGCTGGTCTTGCCTATCTTTGGCGGCCTGGAGCCTTTCATCAAGAGCCTCGCCGCTCTTAGTGCCTTCTTTGCGCTGACCATCCTCGCCAATCTCACTGGACACTCCCTTGATGCGTTCAGATACATCGCAGAGCTGCTTTAGTTGATCTTGCATCTCCCCTTGCAGTCGCTCGCAGCGACGGAACAGATCGGAGGCCGCTCGTTCGAGGGAATTCGTGTGAGCAGACAAAATCCGGTGAGCGGCAGCAACCAAATCGAGCGTTGCCGGTGATAAGCGCACTTGCTCCTTAAGCGAGTGCCGTTGACGATGCGGGACGTGCTTGTCAATGAACGAGTCCAGAGGCGCATCGGTGTACAGAACAGCAGGGACCTGATATGGCGGTCGTCGAGGAGGCAAGATAGGGGATCCAGGAGCTTGGACACCCAAGTCGAAGGGGCGCAGGTCCGCCACTGACGGGAAGGAGATTTCAGGAGAATCCAGCACAGCAGCATACGGGTGAGATGCATGGTTCGTGAGCAAGAGATATCCGAGATCGTAGTCGTAGTAGACCAAGGCAGATGCAAGATGTTCCGGCTGGCCCTTGACAACAGCCTCATCCCCGTCAATCTGAAGGATACGATTCCTAATTGAGATAGACCCTTCACAGAGAATTTGAAGGCGGAAACTGGAGCCAGCAGTATCCTCGGACTGCAGCTCCGCTTCGAGTCGTTGGGCCCAGGATGTGAGAGAAATAAACTGGACATCGCTTGGAGTTGTCACAAAGAAACTATATCTGGACTGGACATCTTTGGTAAAGGTGGGCCAGTTCGGAGACTGAGATCCCTCCCGGACAGTGTCCAGAGATTCTACTAGAACCAGGTCAGAAGGTTCGGAAAAAGGAGTACTGAAAGCATTTTTTTTGGCTTTTGGAAGCCACTGTCCTTCCACACCGTCCAATTCCAGACAAACGTGAATTCTACCACTCGCTGTCGACAGACAGATAACAGTGGCCGATAGTTTGTCTTCAGTACTGTCCTCCACTGCCAACTCCTCATCCTCTCCCTTCATGAGATCCTCCGTATCGATCTTGGAGGCAACAACGAGAAGATCACAAAGGTCCAAATCATCGAGTTCATCACCAGTGTCGATACGGAACGGTCCCTGCAACCTCGGAATGGCGCTGGGATTGGCAGGGCGTGCGAAAATCTCGGATTCAGCAATATTTTCTGGGTCGGACATGATGGGCAAAGGCTCTTGATTATCAATTTCTGTCAGCCAGTCGTACTGCTGCCGACAGGCCGTCAACTGCTCCTCAAATTCCACCGGATCGTCCTCCAAGGCGGCCAATTTCGGAACAATTGAAGATGAAAGTGAAGGAATCGTAGTCGACGGTGCCCGCCATCTTGAGGGAAGCAAAGGACAGAGAGCATATAGATCGCCCGGTTTCATTGCAACCCACAGGGTCATTGGTGCCCAGGCATTTTCCCTTTCGCTTCCAGTGCCACCGAAGCAAGCGGATGCGACCTCCATATCGACATCATCAGCAGAGAATCCCTTACTCTTCCCAAACCCAGAGGGCGTGAAATCTTGGTCAGAAGATGTCCCATCCACCAGCTTCCGCAAATCGATAGCCAATGTAGGGCGGTCGAACGACCAGTGGTTGTTCCGATCTAGTTCCCAGACCCGAATCGCCGCGTCCGCGGTCACAGTCACGATGCAGCTTCCCAAGTTGCTGTGTAGGCCAAGCGGGTGCCATAGTGCGGAAACCACCGGGGATTCTGGGATAACGTGTGTCGTAGGACCAAGCTGGTAGGTCTTCACGCGAATGGGAGAATCATCGGTACCGGACAAATGCGACGAATCGGGGAGGACGGAGATATGAACGGTATGATCGGTTACAATCGCTAGGAAGGCGCCGTTTGGAGAGGGAATCAGTTGTCGGATTTGCGCATAGACAGGCACAGTCAAGACCTAGTTATGCCCACCAGCAGTCAGCATACAAGTGTTATTGCTCTATGAAATTCCCTTCGTACCCTGTAATACACACTGGAAGTACCATCCTGAGATTCTGCAGCCAGCCCTTTCTTCGCCTTCGAATGCTGCTGCCACCATTCATCCTTCAACCTGGTGAGGCTCGACCAGCGGATCTGATTGTCCACCACCGTAAACACTTCATTTCCTCTCTTCGCAAGTGTCCTCTTAGGGCCATTATACTCGACTTTGCCCTGAGTGCTCAAAGCAGTGCCCTTTGCAGATGTACTAGAAAAGAGACTGGCACCTGGGGAAGGGCGAGATAGCCAGGGAGGAGTATAACTGACGACGTTCGGCATGATGACGGCGCCCAATGAAGGAAGGTTGAAAGAAAGAGAAATAAAGAGAGGGAAGAAGAACTTCTCAGACTATTCCCATCCTATTTCGTCACCGAGAAATGGCTAAATAAATAGACTAGTTAAAAAAAGCGTCCCTGGCGGGAATGCGAAGCAACGGAGGTCGGAGCTTGAGCAAAATTGGAGGATGCTCGCGCCAAGAGCCTCAATTTCCTCTTTAAGCTCCGGAGCTCCCTTTCACTTCCACCGCAGAGCTCAACGACAACAACCAACATCGAGCACATTGTCTGAAAATGAGCACACTAACGCACAACACGGTAGACCGGCTTGACCGGCCTAGTGCCTACTATATCTCAAAGGTACGGCATGCTTCTCTTCCAAACTGTCGTCAGACCACGGTTGACTCGGAATCCGATACAGAACAAGAGGCGCAAGTTTCAGGATGAACTCGAATCGCAAGAAGAGGCCCCCGATCCGCTAGCGAATGCGACCACTCTTTATGTGGGAAACCTGTATGGTTACAATTCCGGCTGTATGGTGATGGTTGTCTAACCGATGGTTCCAGTTCCTTTTACACGACAGAGGAGCAGATCCACGAACTTTTCTCAAAGTCAGTGCTCTACAGTCCTTTCCTATGCTATAACTATATGACTAGTACTAATGCGAAAGAAATGATGCAGGTGCGGTGAGGTCAAACGCCTTGTTATGGGACTCGATCGGTTCAACAAAACACCATGTGGCTTTTGCTTCGTTGAATACTACACGCACCAAGATGCCCTTGACTGCTTGAAATATGTCGGTGGCACAAAACTCGATGAGCGAATTATCCGGACGGATCTGGATCCTGGCTTCGAGGAAGGACGACAGTATGGGTATGTTAAATGGCACTTCTTCTGATTGGCATATGGAATAAGAGTTTTTTTGGTGCTGACAAACACAGTCGGGGCAAGTCTGGTGGCCAAGTTCGAGATGAATACCGTGAAGAATTTGATCCCGGCCGTGGTGGTTACGGTCGAGCCTACGCTGACGACCAGCGCAGACGGGAGGAGGAAGAATATGGAAAGGGTAAGTAATCTTGGCTTGGAATTGGATCTATTGGCGCATATACGGAGTTTGTACAAGGGCAATTTCTATAATCAAAAGTCAGAAATGAAAGGAAGACAAACAAGAAAATGTCTATTGAATACCTCCAGGCCATGCGAATACTGTACAGATGAATTTCACATAGGATGTCAGAAACTCTATGCTTTGTTTTTCACAGACTCCTCTACTTGGCGCAACCACCATGCATGTATCCTCGCGTCATCGGTCAATTCAGGGTGGAAGCTCGTTCCAAAAACGTTACCCTGTCGGACCGCAACAATATCTCCGGTGTCCTTGTCTGCATTGACTTTGCCTTCGTTGGCCAACCTAGCGGCCCTACCAGGAAGACTCGCCAATATTTCCACCTCGCGCACTATTGTCTCAACCGCCGCCGGTTTCGACGGTGCCACAATGGTCTCCTGTCCAGTTTGAGCACCCTCCTGGTTGAACATGACCTTCTCGACGACGGGGGCGCGGATGAAGACAGCGGGGAATGGAGTCTGCTCCGACTCCAAGAATGGCAAATCTAGTGGCGCTTGGAAACTCTCGGTTTGGCGGCCGAAATAGTTACGATTCACCCGGACATCCAGACCACCGATAAGCTCCTGGCCTCCTTTCTTCGTTCGGTTTGCAGACTCGGAGAGTAGAATCAGGCCGGCGCAGGTACCCCATGCGGGCTTGCGATTTACCCTGACAAGGGCAATGGTCAATATACTACCCATCAAAGGGAATCTGACAAGGCAAATCAAAGGGGAGGGGCGCATACTTGACAAATTCCCTCAGCGGCTCCAGTATGTTAGATCGCTCCGCGACAAGCGACATCGTCGTGCTCTCGCCTCCGGGCAAGATGAGCGCATCGCATTTCTCTAATTCCTGCGGGGTCCGCACCTCGATGAATTCCCATTGCGAGCCTGAGGAGAACCCAGCAGCAGCTTTTTTCAGCAAGTAAACATGTTCGACGAATGCGCCTTGCAAGGCGAGAACTCCAACGGTAATTCTGGTCATGATATACCTTCTCTGAGCCAATTCAAGTGGTTAGCCACTCCGTGCCGTTATTTATATAATGGCGGAGAAAGATCGGGCCGGCCTTATCAACACGTGTTGCCCCTCACTGATAAGAGATTGCTGTACAGCAAAACAGTCGCTGTCAGCAACATGCGTTACGGCCATTGCTGTGTATTTAGGCTGATACCTAGGGTTCATACGGTTCTTATAACCAAGCACAATATACAATAATTATAATTGAATCTTTCCGTGGACATACAACACTTTTCGCATCACCACCATCAATCGCATTTGATATCTCATCTCTACAAACGCGACGATGGCAGCCAAACATCACAATGACAGACCATCACTTGTCCGGTGGTACATCGACACTCGGTCACTGACATCAAGTACCTCCACCCTCCCACTCCTCGAAACCCTCCAACCACCGGACCAAGAAACAGTCAAGAAATACTACCAATTACCGGACAAACACATGTCCCTGGCATCCTATCTATTGAAATACTTCTTCATCCACAGAACCTGTCGCATCCCATGGGAAGAAATTCACATAAGCCGCACACCAGCACCGCACCGTCGGCCTTGTTTCGTCACTACTAAATCCTCCCACCAGGCCATTCCCAATGTTGAATTCAATGTTAGCCACCAGGCGTCTCTTGTCGCGCTTGCGGGAACTATCTATTCGCCATCGAATTCTTCATCCGAGGTGGTTTACACACAGCCGGTTCCTTCTGGGGCCCCTTTATCGTCCGTACCACAAGTCGGGATCGATATTACATGTGCAGATGAAAAACGAGGGAGCAGAGCGTCCAATCCTCCAACAACACATGACGCACTGGCTGAATTTGTCGACATTTTTGCTGAAGTCTTCTCCCCGCGTGAACTGAAGACAATGAAGAACGCACGCGGGCCAACATTACCACCTGGACCACAAAGGAATGCGGCAGAGGTCCAGTACGGCCTATGGATGTTTTACACATACTGGGCGTTGAAAGAAGCTTATATAAAGATGACAGGCGAGGCACTCCTGGCTCCCTGGCTGAGGGAGTTGGAATTTACTGATGTTATTGTTCCGCAAGCATCTGATGTGACGAAGCAATGGGGCCGGCCGTATACGGGGGTTAAGACATTGCTGCATGGGAAGCTGGTGGAGGATGTGCGGGTTGAGATTGTGGCATTTGGGAGGGAGTATCTCATTGCGACGGCTGTGAGAGGCGCGGGGATTGGAGCCGGGAGTCATGTGTTGGATGGTGTAGAGGGTGCTGACCCGTGGGAGTCTTTGGAGAGTGTTGACATTGATAAGGACATCACTGCATGTGCGACAGGCTTGTGTCATTGCTTAGAGCAATAGAGTGATTCCCTACGGCGCTATTTCTGTGTACAAGAATATTCGGCATTCTCACATGGTTTCAATTTTAGGCCACACGCGGTTTACTTGTTATAAATAATAAAAGGCCAAAGTTATTCTTATCCTTCGTTATAAAATAAAAACATTCCATCATCTGCGCATGGAGCCTCCCGGACTAGCCATAGTGCGCCTGATTGATACGTCCATGCTGGGGGCCGAAGAGCGGATTCGGTGTGTTATGCTCGGAGGTTTGAGCGGCGTCCTTAAGAGTTCCTGCATTTTGTTAGTTTAGGAAGGTTGGAGTAATTATAGAGCAGGTGAGGCCACCTGATGTAGTGGGAACAGAGGATGGATTGTCCTTGGTCATGACGCATAGCAGAAGGGTTATCAGATAAGATCGTACCTGTCAATCAGTGCTTCCCAAAGTACCATTATGGCATCATTTCAATAAGCTCCGTATAGGATGAGACCCAGAACGAGTCATCTCAATAGGCTCCGAACCAACAAGGCTGACAAAATGTACATTGAGTAGTAAAGCCGGGGTGTCGTTAAGCAATGACACATAGACTATACATTGCTCTAAACAGCTGCGAAGAACACGAATCTCTCAAACCAAACATAAACATCATTTCATCACTCAGTCTCGAGGAAAGTATGAATAAACAAAAGGTATCATGCTAAGTGACAGCAGCCGATGTAAAACAAGAAAAAGATACATTTTCCAACTCTCCAACTCCTTTTTTTTTTTTTTTTCTTTTCTTTTCTTTTCTTTTCTGCTCCTCTTGAGGATTTCCCTCGTTTCCATGCCATGCGAATGCTCCTGACTGATTTTCATCTCGGTCTCATTTCGGGCATATACTCAATTAATCGTCGTAAGTACGGTAAAATATTCGAGGCACCTTACGTCTGTTCGGCAGGAAGCACGAACAGTCTATGCAACAGTTGACAGACGAGAATAACCAACGTTGACGGGATAATTATATCTCAACAGCAGTAGATTTGCCGTTGACATGGGAGGCCTCAGCCCGTTCTCCCTCCTTTTCGGACATACCGAGGAGGGTCTTCAGCATCGACTCCTGGGTCGACTTGGTCAATTGATCGACATCTGCGGAAGTCAAACCAGCAGTGCTAATCGGAGGCAGGACTAGGCATTGTCAGTATATTCACACAGAGAACAGAAGAATGTAAACCTACCCTTAACCTTAATATCGCCAGAATTGAACCGCAAGTTCTTAGGCGACAAAACATGCGAGTAATTCTCCGCCACGACAGGAACAATCGGCACACCAGCCTTAACCGCAAGATGGAACGCGCCCTTCTTAAACGGCAACAACTCCGGCTTGTCCGAATAACTCCTAGTCCCCTCGGGGAAAATAAACACGCTCTGGCGGTGATCCCGCATCTCCTCCGCCGCACTGTCAAACGCTTTAACAGCCGTCTCCTTATTCGCCCGGTCAATAAATACAGTCCGTGACAACGCCATAAACCACCCCAGGATCGGAATCTTAGCCAGAGACTTCTTAGCCGTGACACTGCAGTATGGTGGGAACATGGCACCCAGCAGGAGCACGTCGAGTTCGGACTGGTGGTTTCCAATGAACACCGCTGGTCGGGTAGAGAGGTGCTCGACGCCTTCGATAATGTCGAATCGCACGCCAGTCGTTAACCGCATCACCCATTTGAAGCTGCGTGCTGTGGCCCATTGGGAGACTCGGCCGTAGCCTACCAGTCGCAGGACGATCGAGGCAACTACACCATAGCACGCGCACAGTAGAAGCGAGCCGTAAGCTGCGAGACACCGGGCGACAAATGCGGCCCGGGGGACTTTTGTGCCCAGAGCGAAGAGGGACGCTGTCAGGACGACGAACGAGCTGATCCCCGAGGCGATATAGGAAAAAATGGACATGGTCCGGTCTGAAGTGGGTTTCTCCCGGTGGTCGGTTCTCGAATGCGGAGGTGTTGAGGCTATACTAAGTAGATTTCAATGTCAACCACTCCAACCCAATACCATTGGTGGGAATAAATCTTTACTACCGAAGAGTATGGACCAGGGGTATTTATGCTGAAAGCCGGACCGGGAAGCGGTATGAATTTTGTGGTTTATGAAGTATTCTATTAGAAATTGCCATAAGAAGAGAGGAACAGTAAGGATAGCACAATGAGGGACAAAATTGAAGTCGACGAAGATCATCACTGTCGCTCTTTTCGGCGGGCCGTTTTGTTGGGCCGATTCACCGCTTTCCACTTACGGCTACTATAGAACAACCGGTATTGACTTGATAGAATTGTAATAGTACTAACTGATAATAATGTGCATAATGATAGTAAAAACTACTAATTCAAGGCCCGGCACAACAGGCTCTGTCTATCAGCCCGTAGCCCACAAGTTCTTCGTTCTCATGCAGCAGCTCATCTCGTTTGAGCCACAAGCGACAGAGCATGAACCAATGCTAATATACAAGAAAAACAAGAACTTCAAGATAGTTCCGAAGAAGCCTGATGCAGGTATAATGTACTCTTTACCCAACCAGCCTGGTAAACGCCCGTTTAATGCTAATGATAGCGCCAAAACAAATTGGTATCCACAAAAACGCCAAACCGACACTCGTCAACAAATCAAAGTGAGGACCCGAAATCAGAAAGAAAGTAGGAAGCAAGTAGCACGCTAGATAGTAGATAAAGAGATCAACTCATGTCCTCGTCGTCTTCGTCCTCTAGCGATTCCATGGCATCCTTAATGTATTGTGCGGCCTGCCGTTGAAGGTTAGTACCGAACCGGAACGTATCAGGTTAGAGGATGCCATACCTTAGGATCCAAGTTCAAAGCAGTAGTAAAATGCTTGATTGCATGGGCCTTATCATGCAGCATCTTGTAAAGTTTGCCCAAGAGGTAGTGCACATTGGCCTCATCCGGCGCCATGTCCTTGAGGATCTTCAACTCTGCTAGGGCATGCTTAAGATCCTGCAATTTCATTAATACGCGAGCCTTGCGGAACCGAGCAAGCACAGAGTGTGGCGCTAAGGTGCAGGCACGGTTGTACTGGAGCACTGCACCCCTCGGGTTATTCATCTTCTCCTGCACAAGACCAATACAGCAAATGAGCACCGCATTTGTGGGGTTGATGCTAGCGGCATTGCGGAAATGTTGCTCTGCAAATTCGAGTTTGCCCATCTTGTCATACACAGTACCCAGACCGTACCAGGCGTTGTAGTGCCGGCTGTCAGCGCTAATTCCATGCCGGTATGCATCCAGTGCATTGTCGTATTCCTCATTGGCAACAAATTCATGGCCCTGCAGAGTAAAGGCATAGGCAAACATGGGGTCTAATTGCGTTGCTCGTTTGAAACACTTGATAGCCTGGTCGTGATCACGCTGATGAGAGAAGGAATTGCCAACTGCACACCATGCTTGAGGAGAGAGGCGATCAACTTCCATCAGTTCGTGGGCCAAGTAAGCTAGTTCGACATCGTTTTTCAGATGCCAGAGAACAGTGGAGTATATTTCCATATCCTCCAACCGTGACGGAGCCATTGACTTCACGCGGAAAAAGTACTTTTCAGCCTCAGAATACATCGCCTGCTCATAGTAGGCCCGTCCCAATTGAGAGAGAACCCATGGTGTCTCGCGTTGAGCTTGCGTAAGAGAATTGAGGATCTGGATGGAATCTGGACAGTGATAGCGATTCAGCGCGAAATAACCAGTAGCTAACTTGGAGAAGAGTTCCAACAGCCACCCCAGGGCCTCGATTTCTTTCGATTTTTCTGTGGCGGGATTCTTGGGGGGGGCTTGTTGATTCACGGGTTGTGACACAGCTCGAGTATCTTTGGTGTCACTCTCATGACTGTCATTCATGGCCCTCCGGCTGCCGCTTACCACGCGGGTCGGGTTGGTTATAGTACGCCCCTTTGTCCCAGTAGCTTTAACCCTTTTGAGATCTCTGCTATCCTTCATTCCCAGGCTTGTGCTGGACAGCTTGCTAGTAGTCGGCTTAATTTGGTTGAATAATCGAACACTCCGCCGTTGGGGTGCCCCTGGCTCTGTTGGTTGCGAAACGGAAGGATGGGCTACTTGGCCAGACACTGTTCGCTTGCGATCACCGATCCTAGACGCAGCGACTGATTCTTTGTCGGGTTGACTCGCAGTAGAGTCCTCTTGCTCAGGTCTCATCCTGGTCCTGGGCCGGATTCCTGTTGGTCTCATTTTAGGCGGTGGGTCCATTCCGTGATCTGTTCCCAAGGTATGTACTGGCCTGTTCTTCCTTGCAGGTGCTAATGGGGGCTCCATTGAAGACTCTGATGTGGCCGGTACACGGACATCGTCAGATTCACTGCCCTGAGTTCCGGGTGTCTCTATCCCTTCATATACGGGAGTTGCCTGCGCCCCATTGAATTTCTCCCATAGGGCCGAGCTACCATAAGGAGGACCCATATCGTTGCGAGGAGTGGAGGTGGTAAAGGGATCAAGGTTGGAATTCGCATTTGATTGTGATTGGAGTGGGCCAGAGGGTATCCTGTCTGTAGGGAGGTCTGCGTCTTCTTGTTGAACTGATGATACCATGGCAATCAACTCAGGTGTAAGTCGGTAGATATTGGGAACGCGTATGTTAACACCTTGCGGTAAGTTAGCAAACTGCGGCAGGATAGTAGATCGCGAACACTCAGCGCCTTACCTGTTTCGCACAAGCCCAGGAACGCATCCCACATGAAAGGATTTAGTTTGAGCGACTCCGTATAGCAATCGACAGCTCTGTTCAGGTCTTTGTGGGCGTGCCATAACTTTCCCAACAAGCAAAGTATGGCTGCCGCATCGGGTAAGTGTTGTCTCCGCGTTTCACTGTGTTTATCTGGAAGACGTCAGACCAGATCTATAGCAATAGCATATTCCATCAAAGGACTACAATGCTTACTCCAGTTATTCCTGGAAGCCCATAACCCTTTGCTTCGTTCCAGAGCCGTAACACCATCCAGATACTTTCCCAGATCTAAACATGCTTGGGCATGCACATATGAACAACCGATATGCGTTCCTCTCGGTCCAACATTCCGGCTGCAGTCCCATGCTGCCTTGACCTGGCCGTTGTGGAGATGACAAAGGGCGAGAAGGTAAACGGATTCTGACGAGCGGGGTTCGTATGCATGTAGGCGACCAGCGAGGAACAGCGCGTTGTGAACGAGGTTGTTATCGAGTTGGTAGTAAATAAGTTGCCTCAATTGGCTTGCTGTATGAGATGTTGACGGTGACATGGTAGGCGGGACAACGTCGGGGGCTAAGGGTTAGGAATAGGTAAACGGAGAATAAAGGATCGACGGCGCGGTTCGCAGTGAGGGGAAGGCCGACGAAATCGCGATACTCAGAATGAGTCGTTATAACACGGTATAGACATGGGATAAATATCGATCTCGGGGAAGTTTATATCCATGCGATGAAGACTAAGGAAGCAACGATGCGATTTTGGTGGGTACCGCGTAGAAAAAGGAACCACACCGGCGCGCAGGGCAAAGACGTCGCAATTATGTTTCTGATGGTATTCCTCCTGTTTCAAGCCCTTCAGATCAAGACCCAAAAAAAGCAATATGTCGCGGGTGAATCCAATTCAAAGTCGCGTCGTTGATGGTTTGGGTGAATGACGTCTAGGGCGACAGAAGCTCGAGACACGCCCTTTGAGGCTCAAGTAGGCGGTTAACAGAAACAAACACGCATATCGAGACGAACTCTGGGGATTTTTGTTTTCTCGTTCCGAAAGTCCTCCTCTTTCCCTTTTCGTAAACACGGACGAACACTGGAGAGCACGAGGCGGGGAGGCACTGCAGAAGGCGACGTCGTACGATGAGGACAAAATCGAGGGCGGAAGTGTTTGTGAGGCGCGGGCATGGCTAGTGGTGGCGCAGGCGCTGCGGCGTTGTGGTGGGCAACCATCTACAGTGAGATGTACATATGTACTGTCACCAACACGTAGTTTCTTAGATCTAGAGATCCGCACTATTTGATGTAGTATCATTTTATTTTCCATTCCCGAGCCTGGCTGCTGACGAAATAATGAAAGCAAAGACCTGCGTACTAACGCTCATTCTGTGTTATGCACCATGATGGACTTCCACAGTGCTCCAGTAACGTGCCGGAAATCTGCAGGAACTGAAACTTACGTTACGCTATAGAATCGATATACCAGCAAATCGAGTGGTCCAAACGTATACATCCCTTCAGTACCAATACAGGCTCACCTTGCACGAGCAATCTTGGACCTTTTTGTTATAATACTCATTATCGTCCCTGTTCTTGTATGCAATTCCCTAGCGAGTATAACGTCGAGGGTCATTGTTATTGGTGTTACAACAAGTATTTTTATTGCTATAATGTCGGGGTTCTTGAGGGTTAAGACAGTGGACCTTTTTGTCGCTGGAGCTGCGTATGTCGATCCCGTGGTAGGATTGAAGGCAGATTTGAGGAGCTGGCATGAGTATAGGTATGCAACTGTGTTGACCCTGTTCATTGGACAGGGTGGTCCAGGACGAAGGGAATGGCTATAATATTTGGAATTGTCCACCATATTTAACAAAAATAACTATCAAATGAAGTGGTATATATATTGGGGAGATGCGTTTAAAAGCGCTTTTACTGATTTACTTGATGCTATGATATAATCCTTCTTGTTGCAGCTACTGCAAATAAAAGACGTTCGCAGACTATACCCGCAAGTAAATCATCATTATAGACGAGGTAAGCATGGCTATGTTGAGGGCTATATCCATCCTGGTATCATCGGCTAGCCCCGGATAGGTAGCCGGCAGTATCCCAAAAGAGAAAGGCGGTAAGCCCTGATATTACAGACGTGGTTTCTTAGATCTAAGAATCTAGTTGCACTTATCAGCGCGATTGGTTTAATTGTGTTATTGGTGTCTCCGGTAAATCCTATACTGGAGCTCGTCTGGAGCTGCATTCGAAAATAAAATAGACACGTGACGATTGGACGATTAACTCTCCCGAGAGATTAATCCAAGATGGCTCAGGTACGTACATTCGGCATTCAAAAGCATCTCTTCTCTAGGTATTAATCCCTAACAACCCTCCAGAAAGCCGCCAAATCCCTCGCTGCCCGAAACGCCTCTACCCTAACCCGAACGCACCTCATCGCCCTCGCCCTCCACACCATCTATCTCGTCCTCCACTTCACCTTCAACCGCCCCCGCTCTCTGAAACCCTACCTCCTCCTCGCAGGCCCAACACTCGTCATCGAATTCTACCTCGAACGCCTCGGTCGACCGCGCTATACTGACGATGGTAACCTACGTACTCCCGGCGAGGATCTGGGCGCTACGGGCCTGACGGAGTACATGTGGGATGTCGTCTACTGGACCTGGGGGTGTATGGCCTCCGTATGTCTGTTCAATGACCGCGCATGGTGGTTGTGGATTGTTGTGCCTTTGTATTCAGTGTGGCTGGCATATACTACGTTTACGGGGATGAAGAGCGGGTTTGCTGGGATGGGGGGTGGTAGATCGGAGGAACCAGCAGTAGCTGGTGGGGAGAGTAAGAGGCAGAAGAAGTTGGAGAAGAGGGGTGGGCAGAAGATGCAGTATCGATGAACTCGGTAGAAGTACTGCGGTGCGCCAGATCTATGGATTCATAATGCTGGAATAGGCTTAGTGGAGTTACAGCTATGTTATATTCAATGCGTTCGTGCTCTAGATAATATGGAAAATGATATTTGTAGGATGTAAATATTCTTAACATGATACACGATTCACAAGCTAGAAACATGATAAAGGATAAGATTCAAAGTACGCAAGGCATTCAGTCATATCAAACTATATGGGGAATAATGCTTTGAAAACGAGCATAAGCCTCCGAATTATAGCATTCTGGGAACAAAGTCATGAAAAGTTCAGATGAAAGCGATTTGCAAGGCACGTGCATTAGAATCAACATGGAAAAGCAAATGTAAAGAAGGAAATGAAAGATTCAAGGGGAGATTTTTATTTATTTATAGTTCATCCTTAACGGATGGCGAGCTCTTCACGCTCTCGGTAAAAGCTTCCACCTGGGACGCGACTGTCTCAACTGCTTCGGAGCCCAAGTTGCTAGCACTGGAAGCAAGATTAATAAGTCGAGCCTGGGCGCTTTCAACAGCGATCCCAAGCTTACTGGTGGCGCTTTCAAGGGCCTCTTCCTGCGCTTTGACAGCAGAGGTGACAGAATCATATGCAGCTTCGACAGGCGAGCTGGGTGTTGGGGAAGCGTAGACGGCGTTGCTGATAGCTGAACCGGCAGAAGAATATGCCTCGTCAATTGCGCCGTGGGCGACATCAAGGTAGCCCGACTCTTGGCCATAAACCATACCGCTAACCTGGTTTGATGCGGATGCATACGCGCTGCCAGCTGCGGAGGTGGCTTGCTCCACGGTACCCTTGGGAGTTCCGTAAATTTGAACACTGGCAACCTCAACTGCATTGTCAAATTGCTTGTTGGCGGTTCCCAGAATATCTTCAACCGAAGGAAGATTTGTAACGGCTGACTTGTAGGCATCGTTGGCATAGCTGGATGCTGATGACAACGCGGAAGCTGGGTATGGCGTCTCATAAATAGAGTGCAATCTGTCAATAACTTTGTGCGTAAAGTCCGGCTCCCTGCCAATAAGTAGTTCAGAGACCAACTCCTCCACAGCTTGATACTTAGGAGTGATATGTTCCTGCACTTGCTGCGTATAAGGCGCTCCGATGCCATAGACCCGCTCGCTGGCTTTCGAAACAACACCCTCCCAATTTTCTGATGCTTTACTAGCTAGTGCCTCAACTTCGCCGGTTGATGTTCCGTATATAGCGGAACTGCCAGAAGCTGAAGCCAAGGATAGGGAAGCCGAAGCAGCAGAGATTGCCGCGTTATACCGCGAAGATGCATCGTCTACTATTCCCTGTGCTTTACCTGAATCCGTGGGACTGACTGCAGAGCTAGCAGAAGATACCACGGCAGCCAGGCTTGCAGAGGCCAAGGAGGATGCTTGGCTGTAGCCGGATCTCGCATCCTCAATAAGCCCGTGGAAGGTTCCAGGAGTTGGCGTAGGTGCCGGGGAGGCATAGACTGCGTCGGAAGCCGTGGAGACAAAAGCAGAATAATGATCATGTGCGAGTCCAACGGCTTCGTAGTAACGACGCTGTGCGTCAAGAATGATCGGATTTTGACCTGTAGTATCCTTTGGAGGCACCGTCGCCTGAACTTGTGCCAGCTGTTCTGAAGCCTTACTCAATCCTTCGCTCAACCTGGACGAGCCCACGGAAGAGATGTAATCAAGAGGGTGGTCGGTAAACCGTTCCTGGCTATCGTCGTCAGGGACGTCATGTTGCATGGGCGACCGCTCCGGGACTTCAGCTGCAGCTACACCCCAGCCCGAATTTGATCGAACCGGGCTCGATTCCGTGCGTATAGACTCATCCTGATCAACTGGCAATCCATCATCCACATAGGAGTCCTGGTCCATTGCTAGAGTCTGCTCGTCATCACCTAGTTCATGCTCGCCAGCATATACATTGACGCTCTCAGGGGATGGGGTGGGGTCCATAGCATCGTGAGCTTCATGAGATTCCAAAGAAGCGTCAGAGCCTTCCTCGTCCGCAGGCGAATCAGACATCTCCCCAGGCTTGGGTAGAACAGGTGGGGACCCAGACCGGGTGTCAAAGTTGTCACTCGACTCTCGAGCTGCAATTTTCCATTTTCCAACATCCTTAAGCCGAGCTAGTTCTTTCGCGGTAGTTTCAGCGATCTCCATTCCGTGGGTCAACAGTCCGTTCGCCATGTTTGTGGCTTCCTCGAGCTTTGGATGCTCCAATGCAACTCGACTGACGTCGCTCCTCCAGTCATCAAACTGCGCTTTCAGAGAACGGTATTTGGCCCAATCTTTGTAGGTAACACCGTCCATCCAAGCCCATCGCATCCCAATTTCCTGCAAGCCCAAGTCACGGACGTTGTCTAGAATATCTAGTGTGGAATTGATTGCAATCGAAACATGAAACACCAGTTCTTCGTCAAATGAATGGTGCCACTCTCTTATGGCTTGAGCACGTTCACGGATGCCGATTGCGGCACGTCTGATCTCTTTCAAAAGTTCATCATTCGCTTTACGTTCATCTTCGGGGAGGTCTTCATAGGGGAGCGACTCGGCTAGTCTGTTGATACGTGACTTAACCGTAGCCAGTTCATCCGCGACAACCGTATCGAGGGCAACTGCAAGACTTTCGCCATGACTCTTAGCCCCGCTTGCAATATGACTTTCAACTATGTCCTCCACATGATCCTTTAGTTCTTCAGCACCCCTTTCAGCCGCAATAGAAAACTTCTCTTGCCATACTTGAAGGTCTGATGCAACCTTCTCACGGGCATGTGCGATCTGTTCCGTAGGAGACAACGGAGTCTGTGCTGATGTTTCTGTGGTAGAAGTCGATGCGGCACCAGAAGTAGCGCTCGAGTCCGCTGAAGCAGGTGTAGTAGCGTGAGCTGCTTCCTCAAAAGTACTGATCGCAGGTCAGCCAATTGATCTCGCTTTCATCATCATACAGGTACTTACCTGTCGACATCGTCTACAGACGCTCGAAGAATTTTCCCCTCTCTATAGCTTGCCAATCTTTGACCAATTTTTACTAGCTGAGGCTCGACGTTCTCCGAGTAAAGGCCGGTGACCTTGGGCCACAACTCGCTGTTGACAAAGTAAACCACGGTCGACCACGAATCCCGAGCATGCGGTATCACAGTCGTCGTGAGAATCTCCTGTCCAGAAGCATAGGTTTTGCCAATGATCGGACGGGTCTGCGTATAGAGTGGCGCGACATACTCCTTATACGTCGAGATGGCTACAGTGCTGGCCTTCTCGTAGTAGGGCGACATCACTAGCATGGCGCGTTGAACATATGGGTCTACTTCCGACTTATAGACTCCGCTGATACTGTCCTGAGCATACTGCAAGCGCGGAGCAACCTGCGCCTCCCAATGTTCTTGGCCGTAAGCCTGGGCTTGGTCCCATGCGGGGGCCCCATATTTATCATAGCCCTGCTTAGCGTATGTCGCGACCGGAGAATAGACCTGATCATTGAGCAATGTAACGTAGGGGCGGGCAGAATCCACGTAAGATGCGGCATAGAGATGGTAGTACGGAAGAACATGAGGTTCGATATGGGAGCGGACCACAAGATATGGCTCGCACACACGCGGCGACGATTCATTCAAGTCCAATAATTGAGACGGGCAACGGAAGAATGGTGTAAGCAACGCATACCAAATGAAGAGTCTGTAAAAAAGAAGCCAAAAGAACAGTCAGTTGGGATTTCTCATCTAATTTCCAAGTCTCTCCAACGACGCGGAACGTAAACATACCGCACCACGACCCCAAACAGCCATCGAAAATTCGACTTAGATTTCTTTCTGGGTTCATTGCATCCATTTGTCTTATTCACGCCATCCGAGGCATGGCCGTTCTCTGACATGCCCATAGTTGGCTATATCCTTGGAGACGAGACACTTATCGTGATCTTGAAAAATCGCGTTCTCGCACCTGAAGACGTCCAAATACAGGGACCGAGGAACTATTAAAAACCTTTACAAGATCATTGGAAAGCGATTAAGGAGGATTGAAGAGTTCACAGGCTGGATCCCAAGGTTATTAATTTCGGCCGCGATAACAGGAGTTGAACGGCAAGCTGCGTGTCTTGGCGTAAGGGCTTTTAAACGGCTCCGAGTCGCGACGCGAGGACGGAGTGAGCTAGCCCAACAGATCAAGCACAACAATGAAAGGAACTGAGCAACGTAGTAAATGTCAAGAAAGGCAAGAATCTCACTTTCTCTGATCCGATCGAGGCGTTGATTTTCAGCTCCGATCAGTGAGGTCATCGCCCAAGCGGTGGCGCAAGTACTGTGTTACCACTCATTACTGTCAGATGAGCTTCGGCAGCGCCATAGATTGTGCAATCACCGTATTGTAAGTACACAATCACGTGCATGAACTTATCTGATGACTCAGCAGGAATGCGGCGAACGACTCCGTCCTTAGTTGCAACGACAACTTCCAAGAAGTTGTCAGCGTCAAAGACACTTTCACAGGCCGGAAACATCGCCTGTCGCTAGGGACGTCTTTTGACTTGTTCGGTTTTTGTTTTTTACATGGAGATTATTGGTCATTCGTGAGCTGCTGAGACATGAATCTCGTTTGAAGTCGCCTGAAGACTTCCGTCATTCTCGAATTATACTACAGCACGTTCCGCTCCGATTTTCGTACCACGATAATCCCATTCGAAATCTACGCTTGTACTTGTCCGAGAATATGTCTAGCCGCTCTTAACGGAGCCAGGTCGGATTATCGACAGCGACGTTACCAATATGGACTTCCCGGAAAATGAGCCCCGCGGGTATGCGGGCTCTGGGTCCTTCCCAGACCTGATGAATGATCCTGCGTACGCTACGAATGTCAATGCCGACGGGAAAGAAAAGAGCTTCGAAGAACCGGATACATGTCGAATCTGCCGTGGGGAGGGCTCGGAAGATGACCAGTTGTTTTATCCCTGCAGGTGTAGCGGGAGTATCAAATTCGTTCATCAGTCTTGCTTGGTGGAATGGCTGTCTCACTCGCAGAAAAAGTACTGTGAACTGTGTAAAACACCCTTCCGGTTCACTAAGCTCTACGATCCAAAAATGCCACAAGACCTCCCGGCCCCCTTATTTTTCAAACAACTGTCGCTCCATATCCTTCGTACGGTTGTGACATGGCTGCGGTTCGTTCTTGTTGCGTTTGTTTGGCTTGGATGGTTGCCATGGTCTATGAGGGCTATCTGGAGGGCGCTTTTCTGGCTTGCAGATGGACGTTGGCCAGGTTCGAATACTTTACAGCAAAACACGACCCAGACTGGATTTGTCGCAGATGACACTACTCTAACTGAGGCTGTCGTGGCTGCTACTAGCTCGGCAGTCTCAACCGCGGCTCAGTCGACAGTGACCGATGTGCCACCAGTGGAGTCGTCGGTATCTTCAATGTTTAGCTATTCAACCGGAGAACCATTGATGCTTGCTTTTATTAAAAAGGGGCTTTCAACCCTATTTCTTCCTGCTATTTCGTCCAGTACTGCGCCAGGAAACGCAAGCATGACAACAGGTTCTCCCAGACTGCGACAACCCTCATGGCTCTCCGATGTGAGGTTTCTGAATTCTTTGACACGTTCTCCGACAATAAACAATATCATTATCGATACTCTGGAAGGCCAACTCATCACCCTATTGGTCGTTCTTGCTTTCATCCTGGTTTTTCTGATTCGAGAATGGGTCGTTCAACAACAGCCAATGGCGAATATAGCCGACGGTGAACGTGAAGCTGCTGTTCAATTGATCGTGAATAACCCTCCCAATCAGGAGGGCCCTCAGCCCGAGTTGCGGCCCCAAGCTCATTTGCATCAAGATGAATTCCATAATAATGATGCCGAAGACCTTGCTGAACATATTTCAGACCATGGAGAGGAAGAGCTTCCACCGTCCCAAGAGGATGCCTTTAGAGGCGACCCGCTTAACTTTCAGAATATGAGAGTGGAGCAATTGAACACTTCTGCCGATTTCATGCGTCCTGGCAGTGCAGATCACGGAACAGAGTATCACGAGCCAACAGAACCAGCTCCAGCGCGTAATCAGCTATGGCCTATCTTCAGAGATCTCTGGATGCGTGGTAATGGTAATCCGGATCATATTCTAAAAATTATTGAGGAAGAAGGCCGTGAGGAGGAACTGGACTGGCTTGTCACCTTGATGACGAGACTCCAGCAGAAACGGTCTTCTAATCATGACCCCGCCGATACCGACGCTGGTGCTACGGTGGAATCTATGTTGAACAATATCGAAACGGATAGGGACGGATTGCCTGCATTCCCAGAACTGGCGCACGCGTCCTCTACGGTTCAACCTCAACCTGAGCCGTTGGCTAACATTGGTCCCAACCGAGATATCGCACCTCCACGCTTTGGAGGGGAATCTGGTGCGAGCTCATCGAATCACGCGTTTACCTTTGATTTTCAGAGGCGATCCTCAGACATTTCGACGAGTCCTGAAAACGGGCCAGTTGCAGAGTCGAGTGCGACAGCAGCTTCAGACGATGGAACTGTTGCCAGTCAGGAACATAGTGCTACCAACACACCAGCCCCCAACAACATGGACAGTGTGGGTGCTAGGCCGTCCGAAAACCACCATGAGCACTCACACACGGCCGAGTCTCCTGCTCGTATCCCTCGACCCCTTGCCGAGAGGGTTTTAGATTGGTTCTGGGCTGATATCACGCCTGAAGTCCAAGCTCAGGAGCGCCGTCAACAAGATGATGAACATATTGTTGAAGATCCTGCACTTGAAGAGCCTTTTATACCAGTACAAAACAATCAACGTTTCGCCGATATTGATCAGGACGTTGTCGATGCTGCAGGCGAGCCTGTTGATGCCAACGACGTTGAAGCGATTGATGAAGCAGATGATCTGGAAGGGATCCTGGAGCTTATCGGCATGCAGGGACCTATCTTTGGCCTTTTACAGAACGGCGTGTTCAGTGCACTATTGATCTCTTTCACAGTGGCCCTTGGGATTTGGCTTCCTTACTTATGGGGTAAAATTGCTTTGGTTCTTCTAGCCAACCCTATAGAGCTCCTCTTTGGTGTCCCCATGACGGCTGTTTCAGTCGTTGCGGACGTCATACTGGACACCCTTATCGGAAGCTTGGGCTATGTCATGTACGCGATTAGCATCATCTGCAAAGCCGTGCTTAGCCCTTTTGGATCCGTCGTGCCACTAGGAGATTGGGTTCCTCGGACTAAGACCGTGACCAGCGCATCATTGTCTTTAATCGACGCCAGCGGTAGTCGATTAAGGAAAGTGGTCAATGCATTCTTTGTCTTTCATGAATCAGATGTTCCTATGTTTTCTGTCCTCTCTCACCAGGCATTAAAGATCCACGAAGCTCGCATTGTTGGTCTGTTTCAGGCACTGTTTGTCGTTTGCAAATTCATATTGCATGATCTTCCACTCCGACTTATTACACTCGACTTACGCGGCCTGTCATGGATCGACCTCAAAGCGATAGATTTCGGCAATATCATAGCGCAGATGCGAGGACAGCTTCACAGCTTTATTCGTCACCCGTTCCTTTCACTAGGCAGCACAAAATGGGTGAATGTGGGCTTGACGAAGACAGCCACATTCGGCCAACTTGGTGATTATTACTCACTCGCCGTTTGGGGCTCGGGGGACAGGGTAATTGCAATAATTATGGGATATGTGCTTGTGTCGGTTCTCAGTCTTCTATATCTGCGTCTCACTGGTATTCTCTCGGGGGTCAACCGCGGGCAACGGATGGAAGGGCTTGTGGCCGATGTCCTTCATCAAGCTGGCGGGGTAATGAAGGTCATCCTCATCATTGGAATTGAGATGATTGTCTTTCCACTGTACTGCGGGTCACTACTTGATTTTGCCCTTATGCCTCTGTTCGAAAACGCCACTATTGCTTCGCGGATTGAATTCACCAACACAACGCCTCTCACTTCTCTTTTTGTGCATTGGTTTATTGGTACATGCTACATGTTCCATTTTGCCCTTTTCGTCTCAATGTGTAGAAAGATAATGCGGAGTGGTGTTCTTTGTAAGTTTTCCCTTTTACGTCAGGTTAATATGGCTGTGATAGATTGGTTAATAGCTAATATACGACAGATTTCATCCGCGACCCCGACGATCCGACATTCCACCCGGTGCGAGACGTTTTGGAACGTAACATAACCACTCAGCTGCGTAAAATCGCATTTAGCGCAATGGTCTATGGAGCTTTGGTCATTGTTTGCCTTGGTGGTGTTGTCTGGGGCTTGTATTATGCCTTCGATGAAATCTTCCCAGTTCATTGGGCAGCAACTATCCCTGTTCTTGAATTCCCTGCCGATCTACTGTTCTACAACGTCATCATGCCGTTTGCACTCAGAGAGATCAAACCTGGGGATGGACTCAACGATCTCTATGATTGGTGGTTCCATAAATGTGCGCGATTGTTGCGATTGACGAACTTCTTCTTTGGCGAGAGACAGCCTGATGAGGAAGGCCACCATGTACGACGAACTTGGTGGGATGTCCTGTTGGGGAAGAAGGGTGATATTACACATCCAGTGGTAAGCGACGAACAGCGAAAGCGCGTTGAAAGGGATGGTCTCAATGCGTACTTCGTCCGCAATGGCCGATTTGTGCGAGCCCCAGCGTCTGACCAGGTCCGCATTCCCAAGGGCAGTCGGGTTTTCTTGGATGTTACGGAAGATAACAAACGACTCGACGGTGCTCCGGATACCGATACCGGGCTACATGGCTGGAACAGTGAATCTTTCACCAAAGTCTACATCCCACCATTTTTCAAAACCCGCATTGCAGCTTTCATTTTCTCGTTATGGGTCTTCGCGGCTATCACAGGCGTAGGCATCACCGTTCTTCCACTTGTCACTGGCCGCAAGATTTTGTCGTCGTACTTCCCCAAGCATGCCCCATTGAACGACATCTATGCCTTCTCCACCGGGATCTGCGTTGTTGGTAGTGCTGTCTATGCTATGGTGTATAGTCGAACAGCCTTTGCAGCGGTGAAGAGTTTTCTGCATCCGTACTTGCGCTCTCCTCGCCAGGCGTGTCTCGGACTCTTTAACGCAACAGTTTCTGGCCTGCGTCTTGCGTACATCGTTACCGCCTTTTCAGTTCTTCTTCCGTCATTGGCTGCTCTGATTCTGGAGCTCTACGTGATGATTCCGCTCCACACTTATTTTGGTGGTACTCAGGCGCCGGTCATCCACTTCGTCCAGGACTGGACTCTGGGGGTTTTGTATGTGCAGATGGCAATCAAGATCACGCTGTGGAACCGGAGGTCTCGTCCCGCCATCGCGCTCAATAACATTTTCCCCCAGGAGGACAGTTGGTTCTACCCCAATGTGCGTCTGGCAACACGAGCATTGTTGCTTCCGATTGTCCTTGCAAGTGCTATCGCCGTGGTCATCCCGCTCGTGATTGGATTTGTACTGAATTCGACCGTATTTGCATCTTCGCTCGGCTTGCAGATCAAGGTCTACCGTTATGCGTACCCTAACACTCTGTTGATGGGTGTCATGGTATGGTTAGTGATTTGGGTGCGTCGACAAATTGAAACCTGGCGGACCAACGTCAGAGATGATGTGTATTTGATCGGGGAGCGGCTGCATAACTTCCGCGACAAAAAGGGTCAGAATGGTGTGGCCAGCCGGTAATTTATCATCTGCATTGTGTATGATCCTCCATTCTTCGGTTTCTCGCTACAATTGCGATTGTTTTTCTTCATTGTAGATTAAATTTAAATTAATGAAAATAGTATGATTTTCAAGGTTACATAGTCCCGAGTACGGAGTATGTGGAAATATATTCAAACAGGCAACAGGAAAAAACCCCTAAATCTCTGCATTGTGCATATGCACATATGCATCCATGTCTTGTTAGTGTTACTATTGTACAACTCATGAATGCTTCCTAACCTCCAGCTTAGTACGACGACCTCACAATAAGCCTTGCCTAGACAATGGCACGTCCTCTGCCCTACAGAATAATAATGCACAGACACAGTTGAGTCAGCCACCTGCATAATGCCCCGTCCAATCACAATGCAATTTATTTTTTGCGGCTGCCTGCCACGTGACGCGCCAAGCATACGAACGCTAGCGGCTTGGTATGGGCGGCTGTGCCTATTCGCGGCCTCTGATTGGTTAGGCAACAGTATTCTGCCCACTATTCTTAACAGCAGCAGATCATCCGAATCGGGACTAGTGACAGCCTCCGTCACTTCTTCGCTTCTCTTACATTATTCTTCTGCCTCGTCGTCTTTCTTTTCTCCCTTTCTCGCCCATTATCGCTTTTGAATTCGAATTATACCGCAGAATATGTATGAATGATATTTACACCATGATGAGCTCGCTGATCTGAAACGACAAATTTGCGCCTCGCATCTGTCTTGTCTATTTTCCCCGATTCGAATATACCCGGACGTCCCCCCGCAACCGCAACGATGTCCGTTCTTCACCATGGGGGGTCATACCTCCAACGCCGTCTCACTAAGATGTATACGGATACCAAGACCTCATGCGAGAGTGTCACCACGGCATCGAAAGCGGTCGACGATCCGGAACTTGTGGCACTTCATCGGAGTTTTCGAGAGCAGCGTGATCGATTACTGGCATGGGGCTTGGATTGGAGCGACGCCAGTGCCGCCCAACCGAACGATATCGACGAGTCGTTAACGCAGGCTGGTATTAGCGATGTCGTCGCTAGTGTTATGTCTTCGATTCAGGAATTGCTCAATGAGGCCGAGCGGTTGCAGCATGGAGTTTCGGATTTGCCACCCAAAGGCAGTCGTGCGAATCCGTCGTCGAAGGACAGTTTGAGCAGTTTGCCCACCAAGACACACTGGACGGACGAGGATATTCAGCGCTCGAGGACTCTCTTGGGTGATTTAACGGGTTGTATTGATACGCTCTACGATTTGTCTCGTTCACGACGCAACATGTCGAGTAGTCAATCCGCCATGAAATCGCGCACACGACTCAGCCCTACCTCCAAGGGAGACGATCCGTTCTATACCAGGGCTTATCTTGAAGCCGGCGAGAAACACGTTTCTTCTAAGCTTGTGCCCTCAAACCCTTTTCTTATCGACCGATCCGCTTTACAACTCTCCGGTAACTCCCATGACAACAACCCCCCTCCCTACGAGGAGAGGGTGACTGCCTCGACCAATTCCCGCGCAGTTGGTCGTATGAGGACATCAGCATCGCCTTTCTTGGCCGGAACCAAGGACTCTACGGTCTCTGTTTTGGTGGAATATGCTCCGATGATGGTGGAGGCGCAGAATGCCGCCCCTAACCCAGGGGCTCAACGGCTCGAGAGGATGCATAGTACATTGGATCAGCTGGTTCAAAATGCTCGAGTCTCGCATCTGGGTCTGTTGAGGTTCCTAGGATACTATATCGACATGCCTAATTCCCGGTACGCTTTCATCTACCAGATGCCAGTGGACTATTTCCCTTTCCTCCGCAACCCCGCCGATCTACTGGACGAATTAAAACCGAAACCCTTGGTTTCTCTCCTTCAAGCCGGCGATGACTACCAGGTGCCTAACCTCGAGACTCGTTTTCGTCTGGCATACGACCTTCTGATGACCGTCCTTCATCTCCGAAGTCAAAACATCGTACACGGAAACATCAACAGCAGCAATGTTCTCATCCTTCCGGGGCTAACTAGCTCGAGAAATGACGAGGTTGGTCTTACAGAGAATCTCCGGCGCCCTTATTTGACATCCTTTTCCCATTTCTCTGGCAATGGCCCGTCGCCAGAAACACTCTCAACCAGCATTTACCGCCACCCAGATGACCGAAGATTAATGGATGACGAGGCGGGCTGGGCTTATGATCTCTATTCATTGGGTCTTGTCCTGATGGAGATAGGTCTATGGACGCCTATCAGCAGACTCTGGAAGATGAAATACACCAACTCCATGTTTAAGCAGAGGATCGAGAACGTTTATCTGCAGAAGCTAGGTCCTAAGTGCGGCAGCGCCTACCTTCATGTGGTCCAGCTGTGTCTTGATGCACCTAACTTCCATCTCTCTACACAGCCATTCGACGATCTGAACATCCGAGTTCCTCAGGTTTACCACTACCCGGTTTTGGACCTGTCAGCACCAGACGGAACTTTTTCGTTCTCAATGAACTTCCTCTATACTGCATGCAAGATAATATGGTCCTGTTGCGGTATAGATATCTTCTCTGCCCCGGCTGCCGAAGAGTTGGATGATTGCCTGCCACTCGCCCTTGTACCGGAGTCAGAAACAACCGCTAAGAAAGCCCCCATCGAAAGAGCCTCCGAGAAAGCGCCAGCGTTGCCACCCAGACCAACTCGAGAGCCGCGTTCTGGGATTTCAATGTCGGAAGTGAAGAAGTTGAGGGAGAAGATGGGCTTGGAGGACTCGAATGCAAAGAAAAGGACCTTCAAGAAGCTCACGAACATCGACATCCCCCAGCAGCACCTCAACCAATGGAATTTCCAGATGTTGCCTCGACTGCGAAAGCTTCTGGAGAAGATCCTGAAAGACTCCGCGGAATCTTGCGGTGTCACGCTCATGATGGCAGGCGAGTCAGCTGAAGACGCGAAGACGACCATTTGCGTGACTTGTGCTAGCGCCAAAAAGGTTCGGGCTGCCTTGAAGAAGTACTTTGTGCTCAATGACGACGCTTGGGACTTGATCGTGCTGCGCGGAGATATCCAGCGCTCAAAGGTCCCAAGAAAGAAGCGCCGCAGGCCTGCAAAAACCACCCGGCCAGGGAGGGAAGAAGCGCCAGCTTTGACGCAACAGGATTTAAACCCATGTTACCAAGAGAGACCCCTCTGTGGTGCGTCTATAGGTGCGTTTCGAAATGAAGAACACTTGCCTCCAGTGTCTTATGGCGGTGCCGTTATGGTGGATGGCATGCCGTATGGTATGACAGTTCATCATATGCTGGAGGCACCCAGTGATGGCGAGGACGATGAGGAAGAATCCCAGAGCGAGGTTGCTGACGCTCCGCTCAGATCATCTGGGAATTGGGCCGGCAATCCGATGCATACAAATGCAAATCCTGATTTGATGTATAGCTGGTGTGACCAGGACCCGCCCATCGATCTTGAATTCCAGATCTCAGACGATGAAGACGACTTTTCATTATCGGAGGATTTGGAGGGAAGTTTCGATGACTATTTGCTTTCAGAGAGCTATTCCTCGGATGAAGAGGATCCGTATGAAGATGAAGATGCGGCTTCGGTTGGTGATACGGCTGGCATCGAGCCGGGGGAGGAGCCACGACCATTCGTGACCCAACCGGCAATCGATGATGTGAACGAAGCTTTCTTTCCATCCCCTGAAGACCGAGATGACGAACACCTTGCCTCACATGCTCTCGGATACGTCCATGCGTCCTCTGGTATCAGGCGCTGGACACATAAAGGGATCAAGCATGAGATCGATTGGGCGTTGATCAAGATTAACGATAGCCGCACTGATGCCCGGAATATTGTCTTCGACAAAAGTGCCAGATCGAGATACGCACCCCCTCACAGACAACGACGTGGTGAACAAGGTCCTGTTCAGGGCGAAGCGATATACCTGAATGACGTGGCAAGGATGGAAGACCTTGGAGGTCTCAAAGTCCACTGCTGTGGACGAACAAGCGGCCTCCAAACCGGCCAGATTTCTAGAGCTATGACACTCGTCAAGTTACATGGAAGACAATCTTTCTCGACCAGCTTCTGCGTCGACGGGAACTTTGGAGGTAAGCTACTGCCCTACTTCGGACTTATTTAAAAGGAAACAAAGTGAACATAGGCTAAACAGGCCCGCGTCCATCTAGTCCCCGGCGACTCAGGAGCATGGGTATTCGAAAAATCCACCGGCCGCATCTGCGGCCACGTCCTCGCATGGTCCGAAAAAAGCCACACAGCATATATCGCCCCCATGGAAGTCATCCTTGAGGACATCGCGCGTACCCTCAATGCCACTTTCATTACTCTACCGGGTAGTTCTGATGAATCTGTCGCCTTTACTATGTCGCAGTCTACGTTTCCCGAGTCTCCTAATGCGGGACACCATGCACGATTACGAGTTCCCGAACATTTACCCGTTGACATCGGGAGATTGAATATTGGTATCGATGATTCGGATTTCGGGCCTGTGTCTACAAGTCGGGCTAGCCGGGGGTTGAGGGCTTCGCCCTCGCCCTCGCCCTCAGCGGCGTATCGCGGGATGCCGCCTATTCTGACGCCGCCGAGAGGATTGGAGAGGCAGTTAGCCTGACTATCTCGGCTTCCCTAGTTTCTATATTTCAATTTTTCACTGTTTCCTTATTTGTTTTTTTATTTTGCATATTGCCACTCATATCTGATCTATCAGCGATGATGCTATTATTTGGTTGAAGGAAGATATCCTGGGAGCTTGATACATGGAGTTTGGGAGGATTTATTTTTTTATTTATTTTTTTATTTTTATTTTTTTTTTTTTGTTGCGCTTTGTTTCACGACTGATGAATGAGTGGGATGGAAAAGGAATAAATACCCCCGGTGCATGTCTGTTATACTGAATATTCTTGACCCATTAATATGGAATTCGATTGGACTTGACGAGTATACAATCCGTACTGATATGAATCATGATATGCATTAATCATTCTATATGCACGACGGCGAGACCAGAAAACGCCAGATCGATAAAATAGACAGAAGAAAAGAAAAGTAAATGTCAATGGTACAAGTGCTTACTTCCGCTTAGAGGCATTGTTGAACTCGCGCACAACAGCCTCACACTTGACCTCCTGACACAGACTCTTGCGACGGTTCGCCTCCAACTTGGACGCAAATTCAAGACCGCTCGCCCGCTCAACAATCTCAAGAGGAACCTCAAAATCCGCCAACCGCCTATCATTCGGAATCCTTGCATTAGGCAACACAAACGCACCCAGCGCAACCTTGCTAGACGGGCTATTCGTCCCATCCTCCCCGTAAATAACCTTGTAAAAGTGCGTCGGCACAGCAACATTAGGCGGGTTTCCAATAACCTCATAATTCACCCTCCACTTCCCATCCGCATCCTTACGCGGGAGATACAACGGCCCCGTCACAATCCTCACAGAAGGATACTTCTTCGCCAACTCACGACAAAATCCCTCGAAATGCGCCCAGTAGTCCCGATTAAACCCCTCCCCGACCTGCGGACACATGTTCGACAGCCCGAACGTCCCGTCCATCGCAGCCTGCGACCATTTCGCGTCTGCGGCGGGCACCTGGTGGCCACGATCATAGCCGGAGCGGAAGTAGTCTGCGAGACGGGCGCGGAAAGGCGCGGGAATGGACTGGTCCTCCGCGAAGGCGCTGTGTTTGCGGTCTGCGTTGTTCAGCGCGAGGGACTGCGGAGTGATGTGTTCGGCTACCCAGACGGGATTGCGCGTGCGGCGGTCGTAGGCGCCGTGTAGGGGCACTGCGTTGATGGTGTCGGAGATTGGGCCGGGGAACCCATATTGGAGAATGCCGGCTGGGTCGACGGGGGCTCCGGGAGTTGCTCCGGGTCTGGGTAAGGATGTGGTGGTTTGTTGCTGCTGTTGTTGGGGACGGGGGCTTTGGTTGTAGAAGAGGGCGGTGATACCGGCACCGGTGGCAGCACTAGCTGCTGCGATTGCAGCAAAAGTGGCCTTGGACATTGTGCTGGTGCCTGGGAGGAGAGAGGGGAAAGAAACAAATCGCCCAATGGGGAAATGGTGAAGCCAAAGTGGGCGGTCACGGGACCGCGACAGACATGTGATTTTTATTTTTTACGCAGTACGAAGTACGGAGTACATTTTTTTTTTTTTTTTTTTTTTTTTTTTTTTTTTTTTTTTTGTATTCTGGAAGAGGTATAGTGAATGACCAGGGTGGTTTAATATAATCGTGCATGCAAGTTGAGATGGGCTAGGATATAGGTGCACCACTATATTTATATGGAGGGACTATGTAGACATCACGTCAGTCCAACTTGTATGGTACACCAATACCTTAATTTATATCTTTTCTACTACTATCTCCATACGATCCTCATTATATGCAAATAATTATAATACAGCATCTATATATATACCGCTGTGTACATTTGAGTGTAATAAATGCGGACCTTGGGGACGGCGCCAGTCGCAATGCTCTTTCTTCCCTCAATAGCTCCTCGCTCTTTCCTCGACTTATTTTCTCTCTATTCTGTCGAGGAGGTGTCGAGTCGGGGTTGATTCTATACATATTACTTCATTTCTTTTCTGCATCGTCTTTGTAATCGCCGTTCTTATAGTGGCCAAATTCTTTCCTGACATCACTTGCCTTCCTCCTACAACGATCTCGTTATGGCCGCCAGCAATGACCTTCGTGGCTGGGTTATGAGCGCCGTGTCTGGCGTGGGTATGTTTACACTTTTTGGCTTATTTATATACAGTCTAATATAAAATAGCCTGTATTCTGGGTTCCGCCGTTGTCTGCGCCGACCTCGTCTTCCGCCGCTTCTCCCACCGCAAGGACTTTCAGATCGTCACCAACAATGGCTTTCTTTCGGCTTCGCTGTGTCTTAGTGCGGGTGTTATGGTATGTTTTTGAGAAGAAATGGGAGTAATGAGTGGTGCTGACATCTCAGCTCTTCACCTCTCTCTACAGCATGCTGCCCACCTCGAAACGGTACCTGACCAAGGCGGGCTGGTCACCTCGAGCTTCAGCGTACGCCCTGATCGGTCTATTTCTCGCTGGCGTTATTGTGATTCGCCTCCTCTCCGGTCTTATTCACCGTTATATACCCTCGCATGTCGTCGATTGTGCCCATACCCATGAGCCAGAGCATGACCCGGAACGCGGCCAAGCTGAAGAACCTGCGCTGGGCGAGAGTGAAAATCTGGACGTCGATGGAAGCACGGAACGCACGCCACTGCTCAAACGGATCGAGCCCCGTTCGTTCACATCCACCCCCGCTGTCCTCCAGGCCAGGCAGGCTGTGCCACGGAACGTACACAAGAAAGAACCCCTCCGAATGCGTTTGACTCGGCAGCTCAGTGTGCTTGTCGGTGGGGTGAAACCCTTGTGCGATGAAAATGGTCCTTGCTACGGATTTTCTCAGACCTGTGGTGGCGAATGTACCAAGACCCTCATTGCGAAGCCAACGAATCTGTCAGACGAGAATACGCATCATCTGAGACACCACCGGAGTATGACTCGGTTTGAAGAACCCACGTGGCCGGGTGATGATGAAGAGAGTGGCACCCTCCAGGTCCCAGCTAGATGGCCCCGGGGTCATCCCCGCGCTTTCTCCGAAGGTGCTCAGCGGATTAGTTACTTGGATGGGAGCAGCTCTTCCTCGCATAGTGAATATTTTGAACATCGATGTAAATCGCCTAATAATGCACCCTCTGACGATGTCCACGACCAACAACAAGGAGAAGAAGATCATGAAGATCATCAGCATTCGCCACAGCATCACCACCACGTCCCCCAGAATGCCTTCCTAGCCATCGGTCTTCAAACCTCGGTGGCCATCGCCTTGCACAAACTTCCTGAGGGCTTCATTACCTATGCCACGAATCATGCCAGCCCTACTCTTGGTATGACCGTCTTCCTCGCGCTATTTATCCATAACATCAGCGAAGGCTTCGCCATGGCCCTGCCTCTCTACTTAGCTCTCAACTCGCGCTGGAAGGCCATGTTCTGGTCTAGCTTGCTGGGTGGTATTAGCCAACCTGCCGGTGCTGGTCTGGCCGCTCTCTGGATTTGGGGTTCACAGAAAGCCAGCGGTGATCATGGGTCTGAGATGTCCGGTCCATCCTGGGGCGTGTACGGGGGCATGTTCGCAGCGACAGCTGGTATTATGACCTCAGTGGCACTACAGCTGTTCAGTGAGGGCTTGTCCTTGACACATAATCGGAACTTGGGAATTGGATTCGCCATTGCGGGCATGGGTTTGATGGGTTTGAGTTTTGCTCTGACGGCATGATATATCATTGCATACAACTCGTATAAACGGTATACTTATCTTGACAATAGTGCATTGTTGGACTTCTTACAAGAACAGTCCAATCACTTGGATATCTTTCATTACGCATTACACGAGTTACGATTATTTGGGTTTTTTTTTTTTTTTGGTTTGGTTTGACTGGTATGTTCATAAATACAATGCATTAGTCTTGGCGATAGGATACTATAATTGGACTCATTGTGTTGGAGAGGCTTTTCACGGTATATACCAAAGTATATGATTATATTGTACAGAAGTCATCTATATACGCTCCAACGCCAGCCTATGCAAAACAAACCAAAGAACACAGTTACTTCCCACCCTGTGCCTCTCTCTCTTTCTTTCTCGCCAAATACCGCTCCTTGGCACTCGACACATCCTTCTCCGACTTCCGACTCTTATTCCGCTCTGCAACCTCCTTCTGCTTCGCTTCCTCCGCCTCAGCCTCCTGCTTCGCACGCTCCTCCAACTGCGCAGCAATCATCTCTGTCGTCCGAGCACGCTGGTCATTACGCGCAGAGCGCACGCCATCGAAGCGCTTGCCAGGTGCACCAGGTCCACGAGACGCAGGCGCAGCAGCAGCAGCAGCAGCAGCAGCCTTGGGCTTGGGAGCGACATTGAGACCGGCGGAAAGGAGTTGGCGTTTGTCGACGACTTGGCCTTCGTCGTTGACGGCGACGTGAGCGCCCTTGGCATTGAGATCTGCGGCGCGGCGGGCGGCGCTTTTTTCTTCGTCTTCGTCTGCTTTGTTTTCGGCTGTTTCTGCTGTTTCTGGCTCGCCGGTTTTGATGCGCTGGGCGGCTTCTTCGGTTGCTTTGAGAACTTGCTCGTGTCGTTGTTCGTCACGCGAGAGTATGTCCCGGTAGAATCCAACCATGCCCACATTCCCGCTCGTCTTGCGTCTCTCTTCTTCCTGTTTTTCTCGCTCTGCTTCTTCGGCTTCCACACGCCGCATCTCCTCCTGTTGTGCCTTGTACGCTGCCGTAACGAACTTCTCCTTGTCTGCGAACTCTTCACCCTCGGCTTCACGTTCGCGCGCGAGCAACCTATCCCGCGCACGGAGCTGGTCGCGTTTCCGGATCTCCGCGCTGCGCAGAAGGTTTGTCATATACTTGGGTACTTCGCTGCTCTTGTCCGCCGACTTCTTATCCTGTTCCGGCTTCGCATGCAGACTATCATATACAGCATCGTAAGAGTAAATCGAGGGATCGAGTTCCTGCGCTTCCTGCGCGTGTTTCTTGCTGCTGTGTAGGGCGGATAAGTTCGTGTAGTTTTTGCTGGGATCGGCTTGAGTCTTTTGTTGTTGTGATTTAGGTACTGAGAGTCCGCCACCGGTCGTATTCGCTTCTTGTCTTTCTTCTGTATTATCCTCATCATCGCCGTCGGCGAATATGGAGTTTTTGCTGAGTGGTTTAGGACCTGTCTTTTTGCCGCTTGTCGCGGTTGTGGTTGTGAAGAATGGCTTGCGTTTTGAGGGTGGTTCGGATGGTTCTTTTTTCGGTGGTTGTGATTTCGAAGGCACTGGCTCATCGCCTACCCCTCCGATTGTTGAGATCTCGACTTCACCTTCATCGCCTTTTTGATCATCATCGGAGTCGTCGTCGAAGATGGTTTTCTTGCGTTTTTGGCCGAGAGGGCCTGGTTTTTTGGTGTTCTTGTTGGGGAGATTGAGGCCGTAGGAGAGGTTTGGTGGCATTGCTGTATTATTGTAGTCAATTAAATGCGAGCAGATGAATGATGGTGGTTGAATTCAATTCGAGCATTCGTGACATCGGCTCTCGATAAGCTATCGTCACGTGTACCAAAACTAGTCCTGGATAAGCAATTCCTATCTTATCACACGTGATACATCCCTCCAACTGTCAACAACGACGAACTCACTCCTCTTCCTCGGATCGCATCGCACCCAGAACAATTGATAGACAGCAAAATGTCCTACTACTTTACCATTCTCTCGCCTACCGATGCCCCCCTCTTCAACATCGCCTTTGGCACATCGAAAAGCGGCGGCGATGGCATCGCCCGTTTTCGGTTCCCGGATACTGCGCAGTACATGAACCAGTTTATTATCCATTCTAGCTTGGATATTGTTGAGGAGGCGCAGTGGATGAATGGCAATCTGTACGCTCCATTATCCAATATGCAAACATGATTGCGATAGAGAGGGAAAGGACATGTGCTCATGCTAACGCTAATGCAAAGATACCTAAAACACATCGACACCTACCCCCCAGCCCAAGCCTACATTTCCGCCTTCCTCACCCCCTCCGGCGCACGCTTCCTCCTCCTGCACCAACCCCCCCAACTCCCCTCCACCTCATCTTCCGGAGGAAACACCGGCTCTTCATCACTACTAGGTTCCTCATTCTCCGCATCCGCGCTCGGGGGTGGCAGTTCGGGGCGCGCGTCGAGTAGTTCTATTGCGGCGAATCCAACGGCGCCACAGACGGAGGAGGCTGTGAGGCAATTTATGAATGAGGTTTATGAAAATTATGTCAAGACGGTTATGAGTCCATTTTATCGGGTGGGGTTGGAGATAAAGAGTCCGGTTTTTAGGGCGAGGGTAACGGCTGCGGGGAAGAAGTGGTTATAGGTTATTCTTGTTTTGCGTGGGTTCAGACGGTTGTTTAATTATGGATAGCATGGCGTTTGGTTTGTTTTAGATGTGTTGTCACGCGGTTTATGCGGATTCATTGGACGATACCCTGACTCGACTAGTCTAGATCAATGAACTCAAAAATATTTAACTCCGAGGTATTGTCAACTCGCTAGAAAAGTATCAACCAAAAAGGGGAAGAAAAACAAACTCTCCCCATTGATATACAACGTGAACAAAAGAAACAACCCGCTACGAATCCCATCCAAAACGCCCAACCACACAGGGGTATAGTCAATCCAAACACTGGTAACCTGATTGTTGATCAACCCGTCATCTGCGGAGCCAGCTTCTTCACAGTGATAGCTTTGAAGTTCTCAACCGCGTGCACCAAATCTTCTGTCTTAGCTACTGCACCAAAAATTCCGCCCTCCATCTTGACCGATTCCAAGGTGCTAATGTGAAGGGACGGGTCACTGGCAGCGGAGGCATCCTCCATCACGACGCAGTCGAATCCTCGATCATTGGCTTCACGCATGGTCGTAGATATACACACGTCAGTCGTGACTCCTGTTAAGACAAGGTTCTTAACTCCCTTGTTTCGGAGTAAAAGTTCGAAGTCCGTGTACGAAAAAGCGCCTTTCCCCGGCTTGTCGATGACCGGTTCACCAGGGATCGGGTATAGTTCGTCTATCGTATCGTGGCCCACTTCTCCGCGGATCAGGAGACGGCCTAGCGGGCCAGAGGACCCGATCCCGAGTCCCGAAGCGTTGTTCCTAGACCGATAGGTTTCTCGACTGGATAAAGTAGATAAATCAGGACGGTGGCCTGGAAAGTCAGCGACCCGTCAAAACTGTCTGGCTTATCGTGGTTACCTTCTCGTGTGTGGTAGATTGGGAAGCCAGCTGAACGAAAAGTGTCCAATAAATGCTGAATCCTAGGGACGATTTCTTGGGAAGCGGATATGTCGTATCCTTGATACTCCATGTAACCACCTGATGCGCAGACTAGTTGATAAGAGATTAGCTCACGTCAACTCCAGTTACAAGTATATAACATACAGTCCTTTTGCATGTCAATCACTATCAAAGCAGTCGTATAGGGCGTGAGAGTGGCATCATGTGGCCAATCGTACGGGATGGACGCAATTTGGCCCTTTCGCACTTTGTGATGGGGCAATTGTCGGGGCTTTTCGATAATTGGGCCATGATTGTGCGTTGGGTTTAGAACGGTCAATGTCCAAATACCAGGAGTACCAGCTGCAACCAGCATAAATGGACAATCCATTAACCGCGACGTTCTGCGCCGTTTTCTTGTCTCCTCTGTCAGACCATTGCGCGGACGATAGTGTCCACCGCGATCGCACCGTAGCCACACCTTGGCGGTGCGTCCAGGCTTCTTTTCGGTTGGAGTGCTCGAGGACTTGACGACCACATTGTATCCATGAGCTTTTCCATGGCCTTGCACGGCCTGCAGCAATGTGTCCCTGACGTCACATGAGTACATCCACATACGTAGGGGGTTTACACAGTCCAGGGCGAATATGTGTAAGCGGGAGTGGCAAGTGGGACAACTCACTTGTCAGGATAGGTGCCTTCCGGAGGAGGAACCAACTGCTGCATTGGCATATCAGGGATGTCCTGAAGGTCGCTAGGCGCGTCGAGATTTAGATCGGTGGGGTCGGCCATGGCGATAGTAATAGAATGATCTGAGCTCGAAGCACTAGCACTAACAGTACTTTGTGGTCCTAGCAGTAATACAGGCTGAACGCGCACGTCAGCGTGTGATCTTAGGAGGTTCCCAGCCTTATCCCATATAGCTGACCACCGAGCATCAAGGCATACTGAAGACACAGACCCATCTAGACTGCCATCTAGAATAGTGCGTGGAAGCAGAGCAGGAAATCCACACGGGGAGTTGAGCCCACGAGTGTCTTGTGCGTGGCATAGTCAATAGCTTATCACGTACCTTGGAATTGTTTAGATTTCTTGCCAGACCAGTATAGTCCAGTATAGCGTGCTTAACCACACAACCCTCTCCCTCACACGAACACCAAGTCAGACTCAGCTCAGTTGTCTATTATCTCGTCGCAAACTGGAGGCACTCAGAGCCTCGGAATACGCACGGCGCTCAATTCTGCCCAGGCGGTGGAGGTTCTCATCACACACACACTAAACCCGGATTAGTCTAGCGCGGGCTTCCCCTGACGACGCCGTGTTGTGGTTCAACCAGCAAGTCAATCAACCTTCACATCACTACTACTACTTTACACTACTTGTTATCGTTTTCATCTCCTTGGCCCTCTGGGAGGGATCTTTTTTGCACAGAATCCTGATATTATTTGGCGACCTTGTGGAATAAGGTGCCTTCGTTGATATCCCTTCAGGCACATTCTTGAGTGCCTGTCCTTTTCCAGCCTGTCTCGCCTCGTCTTCGCCTTGCCTCATCCCGTCCGTCTCCGTCTGTCTCAACTGACCCAACTTGCGACACCGCTTCCCGCGAGGGGTTTCTGGCTCCTCCATACCACCTATACTTACATTCCTCTCCTTCTCTCCCTCTCTCCAGTTAATACTACCGCCAGTTCTCGTGAATGATCTGCTCGGCTCGGTGATCATTTGGGACAGTCAGACGTCACGGCAACCCGCCGCCGGCCCCCCCTCCGTTGACTGTCGTTTGTTGCTGTCCACTCTGTCCCCCCTCAAGTTTCTTCCCTTCCCCAAAGCAAGATTAGGCCTTTGCATCTGTGAAAGAAAAAAAAGAGAACAAAGAAAAAAAACAAAAAAAAAAAAAATCTACACCGCTCGAAATTATACTGGTTATAAGATTTGGGCACCTTTGCGACCACAGGAATCATGCCATCGGCCGATGACTCTGCTAAACGGCCCAATGGGACGAGCTCTAGGGGGGATGAGCTGGCTTACTACAAGGCACAATATGAACAACTAGAGTCGGAGCTGGCGGACTTTCAGGCCTCGAGTCGGGACCTGGAGGCGGAGCTGGAGAAGGATATTGAGGCATCGGAAAAGCGAGAGCGGAAGCTAAAGGAAAAGGTGGAGGCTTTGGGATATGAAGTTGAGGAATGGAAGGTATGATATCAGTTGCTGAAGAAAAAAAAGGACAATGCTCATGACCGCTTTCTAGACCAAGTGCAAGCAATCCAAGACAGAAGGAAATTCGGCGCAGAACACTCTGCAAAAAGAGATTACGACGCTACGAGATGCGAACCGAACCCTACATTTGAAGTTGCGTGATATCGAGGTTGCGAACGACGATTACGAGCGCCAGGCCCGAAACACCACGTCATCCCTGGAGGATCTGGAATACAAGTACAACGCGGCCATCGAACGAGGGGTGCTCCTGGAGGAGGAAATCAAGAATGGTGACCAGGAACGCGAGCAGCTTCGTATTGAAAACCAACGCCTTCGTGATGAGTTGTCCGATTTGAAGATCGAGACCGAGATCGTCCAAGAGAAGCTGCGGAATACCGAGATGACCACGGGTCGCAGGATTAGGAGACCTACGCCCTTGTACCGCAGCCCGTCCACCCCGCAGACCCCCGAGATTTTTGATCGGTCCCCGGGTACGACCATCATTTCGTCGCCATTGTTCAATTCAGTTAACACGACCCCGACCAAACTTACCATGGCATCCGCGACGGCCACTCCGCCCTCACCGCCCATTTCCGAGTCGTCATCCAGTATGCGCAAGTCCATCAACGGAATTCCGAATTTCCCGCGCTTGAAGGCTTCTGCAGGGGAACCCCTGACGTCTCGAACCTTGCATGCTTCGCGGAGCTCACAACGACTGGCTCATGCGCGTGCCACGTCGGCTTACCCCAATGGCAATCGTTCCTCATCCACCCTGTCGACATCGTCCCGCACGAGCGTCCCTAGGCCCAACCACTCTTTCCATAACAGTACTAGCAGCTTGAATGGCCCCGCTATTAATGGCACTGGCCGGGCACTGGCCAAATCGGGTTCTCTATGTCAGATCCGTGGTCTGATTGGCAAGATGCAGAAACTCGAAGAACGGGTGCAGTCGGCCAAGTCGAAGCTCCCGCCACCGTCGGAATCGCCTTCGCGTGCATCGTCCCGAGCGGGATCATCTTTGGGATCATCTTTGGGATCATCCATGGGATCAGCCATGGGAGACAGTCCGGTTGCGTCAACCATCACCGTTCGGAGAGACTCCCGGAAGCGTCAGAGTGGCAGCAGCTTCAGCTCTTCAGCTCGGGACGGCGACAGCGTGCCCTCTTATATCACCCAGAGTCGACCATCATTTAGCACACGGACCCCCGGGGACAGCCGTCCCAGTAGCCGCACGAGTTTCTCAAGTCGCAGTTCCGTCAGTCACGGCACGCATCCAAGTGTAACGCTCTCCTCGACACGGCCCGAGAGTCGTCAGAGCCGAACTAAAACGCCGCTTGGGCATTATTCCACCAATCCGATGACGGAAGGCCGGCGACCGCGATCGTCGCTCAGCAACCACACGGCGCAATCCTCGATTGTCAGTGGCATGTCTAACATCGATGAAGATGAAGGCCTGGCCAAGGACTTTGCCATGCGCGCCACGATCAGTGAGGGTCGCGGAACTCGACTGCCATCGGTTACTGCTATGAATGGAACGTGGAAGAAACGGTCCACCAGTGGGATCCCAGCTCCACGGAGTCTCAAGACTAGCATCGGGGTTGAAGAGGGCACCCGTATGAGCCCGCCCGAACGGAAGCCCGCCCTTGCTGATCTCGGCGAGACATTTTGATCTGGCTTATTATCCTTTCTTTATTTTTCTTCATTTTGACTTATTTTCCTTCTTACGACCCTTTTTCCACCGTATCGGAAATTATCGAGGTCGCTATTTCTTTACGATGTTTACGGCCGGCACGCTTTCCCCCCCCTTTTTTTTTTCTTTTTCTTTTACATATTCAGATTGGACATTTTGCTTCTTAATTCTTTTTTTTTCTTTCGCAATATTCCCCCTTGTTCTCAGGAGAAAACCAGCAGCATGAGAACCGAGTGCGCATTAGAACGAGCATTGGCACCATACACCATATCCGAGAACCTGTCTGGATTGCCAACCGCATGATTGATTAGTTTGGTTATGTTCTTTTTATTATTGCAAATATCCCTTGACCATAGCACAGACTGTACAGTGTTATCATGGGAAGAAGATTGATGGAGTCGGCATTTCTGGTTTCTTTCATTGATTTATGTGCCCACGGGCGTCCAAGCTGTGTCACAGCAGATTAGAAGATTTCCTTTCGTGTCTCTCACTCGATGTATTTATTGTCTTAGGCGTTAAATAATACCCAGTGAGTTTATGAATACTCTGTAGGCAACATCGCTGTTAGTACAATATAACGTAGTAAATTAATCCGTATCCCGATGTGATTATTCTCCGTAAAAAAAAGTGCCGACTTGTCAGTTAATAATACCGGAAACGAGATATTTTTCATAAATCCACGGTTGAGGTATCTACCAAACAAGCCATGGTGCCTGAAGAAGAATGTAGGGCATCGGAAACGGTAAGGCTGCAAGCAGAATCCCCGTGATACGGAGGATTAACAGAGCTGATAAAACATCGCACTCCGGACCCGTAGTCCGTACTACTGCTCCGTACTAAGCACGGAGTACTCCGTCTTATGGAAACCGTTCCTGAACACCATCCCGGAGTACACTGATATTCATGAACCCCAGACTGGTACAGACAGGTACGGTATCGTACCGGTAAAAAAAACACATACAGAAACTGGTGAGAAATAACACGCCCAACATAATGGGGCGATGTGATTGGCGGAGACGTCCGGCTGTCCCGGTTCAACAAGTGGCCAAAAACGGCATAGTAGCACCCAGCGGGTTGCGAGGATCCAGCGGAGCGGAACATCAACGGTGCCACATTGGGTTAGTGGTATTTTTATGTATTGATTACGGTACCTCTTTCGCCATTGTAGAAGATCATGAATATGCTGGAGAGTAAAGAAGAGAAAAGGAGAGAGATGTATAGAATTGAATAGAATATGTGATGTGCGCACTGTAAACATGTCAGAGATGCAGTAGCCCATGTGTACATGGTATGTGGAATGGCGGGCAGCAGCCCAACAAGCGGCGGGCAGTTGGGGCATATCCAATGGTGGAGGACGACAATTTTTGGGTGGAGCGGCTTTTTTGTAGAACAGCTCATCGTCTTCCACTTTTCCTCTCTTCTGCCACTCTTTTCGTCTTCTCATCTTCATCTTCTCTTCTATTCATCCTTCCTCATCTTATTGTACAGTCTCCCTGTTGGGTGTCAAGTCACGGTAAGCTACTCTCACTCTTATCAGCCCTCCCCCCTCCATTCCGCTGTTTTCAATTGAGCCTCAAAGCTGACTTGACTATTTTCTGGCAGGAGGATCCCCTCTCAATCTCTCTCTCTCTCTCTCTCTCTCTCTCCTCGCAATTCGAATCCTTTCTCTCTATCCTCGTGACGACGGGCTCTTTTTCTCGATTCCTCTTTGCGCACCTATTACCATCCTTTCTATCCTCCGATCTTGATATTCCCCCTCTACGCTCAACACGGGTTGACCACGTTTTACGCATATATCGCATGGAAGGAAGCACATAATCTTTAATACCTGCAAATATTTCTACGATAAACGACATCATGGGCGTCCCCAACGGCACCAGGCCTGAAATCCCTTCGCATTTCATCGGTGGTAACCATCTCGAGGCCGCTCCTCCGAGTTCGGTCAAGGACTTTGTGGCCCAGCATGACGGTCACTCGGTTATCAGCTCGGTAGGTCTCTGTTTGGATTTCTTTATGGGAAAGATGAATGCTAATTAAACAGGTTCTGATTGCCAACAACGGTATCGCTGCCGTCAAAGAAATTCGCTCCGTCCGGAAATGGGCCTACGAGACCTTTGGCAACGAGCGTGCCATCCAGTTCACAGTCATGGCTACTCCGGAAGATTTGACCGCAAACGCAGACTACATTCGTATGGCAGACCAATATGTCGAAGTTCCCGGTGGTACCAACAATAACAATTATGCCAACGTCGAGCTGATTGTCGATGTTGCTGAGCGTATGGACGTTCACGCCGTTTGGGCTGGTTGGGGTCACGCCTCTGAGAACCCTCGGTTACCGGAATCTCTCGCTGCTTCGCCTAAGAAGATTATCTTCATTGGTCCTCCCGCCTCTGCTATGCGCTCTCTGGGTGATAAGATTTCTTCGACTATTGTCGCACAACACGCTGGTGTACCCTGTATACCGTGGTCTGGAACTGGCGTTGATGCTGTCCGGATTGATGAACACGGCATTGTTACAGTTGATGATGATGTTTACAACAAGGGGTGTACCTTTTCGCCTGAAGAGGGTCTCGAAAAGGCCAAGGAGATTGGTTTCCCCGTTATGATCAAGGCCTCCGAAGGTGGCGGCGGTAAGGGTATCCGTAAGGTTGAGAAGGAGGAGGAATTCATCAGCTTGTATAATGCGGCTTCCAACGAAATCCCCGGTTCCCCCATCTTCATCATGAAACTGGCCGGTGATGCCCGCCATTTGGAAGTCCAACTTTTGGCCGACCAGTACGGAAACAACATTTCTCTCTTTGGCAGAGATTGTTCGGTTCAGCGACGACACCAGAAGATTATTGAAGAAGCCCCTGTTACCATCGCCAAGCCCCCCACCTTTCAGTCCATGGAGCGCGCCGCTGTGAGCCTGGGTAGATTGGTCGGCTACGTCTCCGCTGGTACTGTCGAGTATCTCTACTCGCACGCTGAAGACAAGTTCTACTTCTTGGAATTGAACCCTCGTCTTCAGGTCGAGCACCCTACCACCGAAATGGTTTCTGGTGTCAACCTTCCCGCCGCTCAACTGCAGATTGCCATGGGTATCCCTCTGCACCGCATCCGTGACATTCGTCTCCTTTACGGTGTTGACCCCAACACCTCGTCCGATATGGACTTTGACTTCTCCAACGAGGAGAGCTTCCAGATCCAGCGTCGCCCGCAGCCCAAGGGCCACACCACCGCCTGCCGTATCACCTCTGAGGACCCTGGTGAGGGCTTCAAGCCGTCGGGCGGTACTATGCACGAGCTGAACTTCCGGAGTTCCTCCAACGTCTGGGGTTACTTCTCCGTCGGTACGGCGGGTGGTATTCACAGTTTCTCCGACAGTCAGTTCGGTCACATTTTCGCCTACGGTGAGAACCGGTCCGCTTCGCGGAAGCATATGGTCATTGCCCTGAAGGAATTGAGCATTCGTGGTGACTTCCGGACTACCGTCGAGTACCTGATCAAGTTGCTCGAGACTCCTGCCTTCGAGGACAACACCATCACCACCGGTTGGCTCGACCAGCTGATCTCCAACAAGTTGACCGCCGAGCGTCCCGACCGGTACGTTGCTATCCTGTGCGGTGCCGTGACCAAGGCCCACCAGGCGAGCGAACAGGGTATCGAGGAGTACCGCAAGGGTCTTGAAAAGGGTCAGGTGCCTTCCAAGGATGTCCTCAAGACCGTATTCCCCGTCGACTATATCTACGAGGGCGAGCGGTATAAGTTCACCGCCACCCGCGCCAGCTTGGACAGCTACCACCTGTTCATCAACGGCTCCAAGTGCTCCGTCGGTGTGCGTGCCCTCGCTGATGGTGGTCTGCTCGTCCTCCTGAACGGCCGCAGCCACAACGTGTACTGGAAGGAGGAAGCCGCCGCCACCCGTATCAGTGTGGATGGCAAGACCTGTCTGCTGGAGCAGGAGAATGACCCTACCCAGCTGCGTACGCCTTCTCCCGGTAAGCTTGTCAAGTTCACCGTCGAGAACGGCGAGCACGTCAAGGGTGGCCAGCCGTACGCGGAGGTTGAGGTTATGAAGATGTACATGCCTCTGATTGCCCAGGAGGACGGTATCGTCCAGTTCATCAAGCAGCCCGGTGCCACTCTCGAGGCTGGTGACATCCTTGGTATCCTCGCTCTGGACGACCCCTCGCGCGTCAAGCACGCCCAGCCCTTCACTGGGCAGCTGCCGGACATTGGTCCTCCTCAGGTGACCGGATCCAAGCCCCCTCAACGGTTCTTCCTCCTCTACAGCATTCTGGAGAACATCCTGAGAGGTTTCGACAACCAGGTCATCATGAACTCGACCCTGAAGGAGTTGGTTGAGGTGCTCCGCAATCCCGAGCTGCCCTACGGCGAATGGAACGCCCAGTCCTCTGCACTGCATTCCCGTATGCCCCAGAAGCTCGACGCCCAGCTTCAGGCCGTTGTCGACAAGGCTCACGGCCGCAAGGCCGAGTTCCCCGCCAAGCAGCTGCAGAAGACTGTCGCCAAGTTCATTGATGAGAACATTCTGAACGCCGCTGATGCAGAGATACTCAAGACCACTCTCCTCCCTCTGACGCAGGTCATTAACAAGTACATGGAGGGTCTCAAGGCCCACGAGTACAACGTCTTCATCAGCCTTCTCGAGCGGTACAATGACGTCGAGAGCCTATTCTCCCTGCGCAACATTCGGGACGAAGATGCCGTCCTGAAGCTGAGAGACGAGCACAAGGACGACATCACCAGTGTTGTGCACACCGTTCTCTCCCACAGCCGCATCGGTTCCAAGAACAATCTCATCCTCGCCATCTTGGACATGTACCGTCCCAACCGGCCTGGCGTGGGCAACGTCGGCAAGTACTTCAAGCCCATCCTTAAGAAGCTCACCGAGCTCGAGTCTCGCTCCGCTGCCAAGGTCACCCTCAAGGCCCGTGAGCTTCTCATTCAGTGCGCTATGCCCTCGTTGGAGGAGCGGTTATCGCAGATGGAGCTTATTCTGCGCTCTTCTGTCGTAGAGTCGCGGTATGGTGAGACCGGCTTCGACCACCGGGAGCCCGACTTTTCTGTGCTCAAAGAGGTTGTTGACTCCAAGTACACCGTGTTCGATGTTCTACCTCGGTTCTTCGTTCACCAGGATGCCTGGGTTACTCTGGCTGCGCTGGAGGTCTACGTTCGCCGTGCCTACCGTGCGTACACCTTGAAGGGCATGCAGTACAACGCCTCGAGCGGCGAGTCTCCCTTCCTCTCGTGGGACTTCACTCTGGACAAGCTCGGTCAGCCTGAGATTGGCCCCGTCGCCTCCACCCATCCTTCGACTCCCAGCACCCCCGTTACCGAGTCTCCTCACCCGTTCAAGCGCATCAACTCGATCAGCGACTTCTCGTATATCCTGGATGAGAACAACGAGCCCATCCGCAAGGGTGTTATTATGCCCATCCAGTACCTCGAGGATGTCGAGGAAGCCGTGTCCCGCGCTCTGGAGGCCTTCCCCGTCGCCGGTTCGAAGAAGCCCAGCGACGCCCTTCTCGCCAACTTGGAAGGCAAGCGCAAGCCGTCCCTCAAGATCGAGCACGAGCACGAGCTCACCGGTGTCTGCAACATCGCTGTTCGTGACGTCGAGGATCTCGATGACAAGCAGATCGTCGCCCAGATCAGCAGCCTGCTCGGTGACCTCAAGGACGAGCTTCTGTCCCGCCGTATCCGTCGTGTGACTGTGATCTGCGGCAAGGACGGTGTTTACCCTGGCTACTATACCTTCCGTGGACCTAGCTACGAGGAGGATGAGAGTATCCGTCACAGCGAGCCTGCTCTGGCTTTCCAACTGGAACTGCACCGTCTGTCTAAGTTTAAGATCACACCTGTTTTCACCGAGAACCGCAACATCCACGTCTACGAAGCTATTGGCAAGGGTCCCGAGAACGACAAGGCCGTTGACAAACGCTACTTCGTCCGTGCAGTCGTTCGTCCGGGCCGCTTGCGTGACGACATCCCCACGGCTGAGTACCTGATTTCAGAGGCTGACCGGTTGATGAACGACATCTTGGATGCCTTGGAGATTATTGGCAACAACAACTCCGATCTGAACCACATCTTCATCAACTTCTCGCCTGTGTTCAACCTGCAGCCCCAGGATGTCGAAGAGGCCTTGGCTGGCTTCTTGGAGCGCTTCGGTCGTCGCCTGTGGAGACTGCGTGTCACTGGTGCTGAGATCCGTATCCTCTGCACGGACCCCACCACTGGCATGCCCTACCCTCTGCGTGTGATCATCACCAACACCTACGGTTTCATCATCCAGGTTGAGCTGTACATCGAGAAGAAGTCTGAGAAGGGCGAGTGGATATTCCACAGCATCGGCGGTACTAACAAACTTGGTTCCATGCACTTGCGTCCTGTTTCCACTCCCTACCCGACCAAGGAGTGGCTGCAGCCCAAGCGTTACAAAGCTCACCTGATGGGTACTCAGTACGTATACGATTTCCCTGAGCTCTTCCGCCAGGCCTTCCAGAACAGCTGGACCCGGGCTATTTCCAAGATCCCCAGCTTGGCCTCCCAGCGTCCCCCTGTTGGCGAGTGCATCGACTACAACGAGCTTGTCCTCGATGACACCGACAACCTAATTGAGATCAACCGTGGCCCTGGTACCAACACCCACGGTATGGTTGGATGGCTCGTCACCGCCTGGACCCCCGAGTACCCCAAGGGCCGCCGCTTCATCATTGTGGCCAACGATATCACCTTCCAAATCGGTTCGTTCGGTCCCTTGGAAGACAAATTCTTCCACAAGTGTACCGAATTGGCCCGCAAGCTTGGTATCCCGCGTCTCTACCTGTCTGCCAACTCGGGTGCCCGCATCGGTATGGCCGACGAGCTAATCCCCTACTTCAGCGTCGCTTGGAACGACCCTGCCAACCCCCCGGCTGGTTTCAAGTACCTGTACTTGACTCCTGAGGTTAAGAAGCAGTTCGACGCCAAGCAGAAGCAGGAAGTCATCACGGAACTCATCACCGAGGACGGTGAGGAACGCCACAAGATCACCACTGTCATTGGTGCCAACGACGGCCTTGGTGTCGAGTGTCTCAAGGGCTCTGGTCTCATTGCAGGTGCCACCTCGCGAGCCTACGAGGACATCTTCACCATCACCCTGGTCACCTGTCGTTCTGTTGGTATCGGTGCTTACCTTGTCCGTCTCGGGCACAGAGCCGTCCAGGTTGAGGGTCAGCCGATCATCTTGACTGGTGCTCCCGCCATCAATAAGCTGCTTGGTCGTGAGGTCTATACTTCCAACCTGCAGCTCGGTGGCACGCAGATCATGTACAAGAACGGTGTCTCGCACATGACTGCCAACGACGACTTTGACGGTGTGCAGAAGATCGTCGAGTGGATGTCTTTCGTCCCGGACAAGAAGGGCGCTCCTATCCCCATCCGCCCCTGGTCTGACGATTGGGACCGTGATGTCGCTTACTACCCGCCGCAGAAGCAGGCCTACGACGTCCGCCACCTCATTAGCGGTAAAGAGGATGAGGAAGGCTTCTTGCCCGGTCTGTTCGACAAGGACTCCTTCGAGGAGGCTCTTGGCGGATGGGCTCGCACTGTTGTTGTTGGTCGTGCTCGCCTTGGCGGTATCCCTATGGGTGTCATTGCTGTCGAGACCCGCTCGGTCGAGAACGTCACCCCTGCTGATCCTGCCAACCCCGACTCTATGGAGTTGATCAGCCAGGAAGCCGGTGGAGTGTGGTACCCCAACTCCGCGTTCAAGACGGCTCAGGCCCTGCGCGACTTCAACAACGGTGAGCAGCTGCCCGTCATGATCCTAGCCAACTGGCGTGGTTTCTCTGGTGGTCAGCGCGACATGTATAACGAGGTGCTCAAGTACGGTTCGTACATCGTCGATGCACTCGTCAAGTACGAGCAGCCCATCTTCGTGTACATTCCTCCCCACGGCGAGCTTCGTGGTGGTTCGTGGGTCGTCATCGACCCCTCCATCAATCCTGATCAGATGGAAATGTACGCCGACGAAGAGTCCCGTGGTGGCGTCCTCGAACCCGAGGGTATCGTCAACATCAAGTACCGCCGCGACAAGCAGCTCGACACCATGGCCCGTCTGGACCCGACCTACGGCGAGCTCCGCCGCGCCCTGCAAGACACCACCCTCAGCAAGGAGCAACTCTCCGAGATCAAGACCAGGATGGCCGCTCGCGAAGAGCAGCTCCTCCCTGTGTACATGCAGATTGCCCTGCAATTCGCCGACCTGCACGACCGTGCCGGCCGCATGCAAGCCAAGAACACCATCCGCCGCGCACTCACCTGGAAGAATGCCCGTCGCTTCTTCTACTGGCGTCTGCGCCGCCGTCTCAGCGAGGAGCTTATCGTCAAGCGTATGGTCGCTGCTGCTCCTGCCCCGGCTGGTACTGGTAACGGCGCCATCGCTGCCAACGTCCCCGCGCCTGCTGGACAGACCGAGCCCTCTCGCGCCTCGCACCTGCACACTCTGCACGCGTGGACGGGCATGCTGGACGATGAACTCGAAAATGACGACCGCAAGGTGGCCACGTGGTACGAGGAGAACAAGAAGGCGATCCAGACGAGGATTGAGAGTCTGAAGACGCAGTCCGTTGCGACGGATGTGGCATCGCTGCTTATTGGTAACAAGGAGGGTGGTTTGAAGGGTGTGCAGCAGGTGCTTAGCATGTTGCCTGTTGAGGAGAAGGAGGCTGTGCTTAAATATTTGTCTTCTTAATTTACTTTGATTTGATGTTTATATGCATACATGGATATAAAATGGGCTGGTTGGTTTTGTTTGGTGTTGAGATTGTTTGATAATTTATGTCATGTTAATGAGCAGCATTGATTAATACATTTCTATATTCTATTCAATATGCTACGATATCCCAAGTATGGCCTAACACTGGAACGCAACCCCCGTCTTCGTCGCAACATTCCCACCCCTCCCCGCGAACCCCGTCCCCTCGGAACAAACCTCCACCAACCCCGGCAATATCCCCTCCTTATCCTTCCTTGACTTCTTCTTTTTCTTGCCGTTATGCTCCGTATCCACATTGTCATCCCTCGGAGGACCTCCGGGCGTCACATCCGCCTCGCAGACGTAGCATAACATCCGGCCCTGTAGTCCAGCTGTATGTTCCTGTTCCTCTTGCGTGGCGTGCGGGTCGATAGCGTCGTGGGGAGTCATGAATTTCTTGACGCAGGGTCGGCAGATTATGTGGCCGCATGGTTTTGTCACTGCTCGTTAGCATTGTGTTAGCAAGCCTTCACTTATGCACGAGCGTATTGTAAGACATACGCATAGCTCGTAACCCATTACTTAAATCCTTCTTGCAACTCGGACACACCCGCGCAACTGATCCGTCAGACGCTTTTTCTTCTGTGAAATTCACTTCCACGAGGGCCTTTAGCGAGTATGCGTGGCGGTTTGTGTCTGATGAGGCGGGGCATATGGGTGTCAATTTGATATCTTTATTGGCGATGATTTCATTAATATCGGTTCCGGGTGTGAGCGAGGGAACCCAAAACGAGGGTAGAGCGGATTTGCTCGATTCGGACTGTTCATCATCAGCACAAACACAGACACCAGAATAACGGGTAGTACCTTCTCTCTCTTCAATTCCCCCTTCAACCTCTCCTCCTCTTCCCTGGTAACCCTCGCTAACTCCTTCTCATCCAATTCAAATATTTTCTTCCTCTTCCCGCCAACCTCAATCTCCCTCTCATCTTCGGTTTTCCTTTTCTTATTATTCCCCTTATCCTCTAACCCCATACTAACCATCTCAAACTCCCTAACCTCCCTCTCCCTCACCTCCTCTTTCATTCGTTCCTCTTCCTCCCCAACCCTCTTCCTTGCCTCCCCCCTCTCCTTTTCCAGTCGTTTGATCTCATTCCTCTGCGCGAGCAGATCACTAATCGCGCACTCACGACAAAATAAATCCCCGTTAATCGCGCACGCGACGGGCGAGCGCGCGGGTTGTAAGCATAATCGGCACGAGGCAAAGGGAAGGAAGGAGTCGCGGGAGATAAGGGAGCGTTGGGTGCCCCAGTTGTTGCGCAGGAGGGAACGTTCGTGGGAGGTGAAATGGGGGAGGGAGGTGTTGCGTTTTGAGTGGGCCATTGTGCTTTGCCCCGGGACGGGATTGCGTTTTGTGGGAGGAATTAGTGGCGTGAATATATGGCTCGGAAAATTAGGCTAATTAAAAATATTGAGAAAAAGAGGAATTAGGTGGTGGATGTTGTATTGAAAACTGATAGAGCTAAGATGATGAGCTCAAATCCACCTAACGGGCATGACATAATCATTTCCTTTTTCGGACTAAATTCCAACCCTAGTGTACAAGTACGTACATGATTTTTGCGGAAGCTCTGGGCATTTCCTCTCCATTATCAGTCCAATCTCACGCTGCATTTTGACTTGGAGCAGCATGGGAATGTCTAGAACAAGGAAATGCATATCTGGAGTGACCAGGGGCGGTACTGGGAGATCCTGGAGCAATTCAAGAGCATACCGCCAATTGCTCAGTGACTTAGACAAGTAATGTGTGACCTGCTATTTCTAGGACAGGAGGAGCATTGGTGATTAAGCCAATAGAAGCTGAACTAAGAGAATGGAGGTAAGGCTGAGCAGAACCACATAATCGGAAGCCGCAGCCGCCACACCAGAGGTGTTTTGGCTGTAATGGTGTACAAGTGAAGCGCATTTCTGCTACTCAGCGACAACTTCCTCTTATGGATACACGCCGCTTTTAGAGGGACTTACGTGTTTGCTTCCTGACTGTTCTCTGAGCAATCTGGACACGCTAAATAGCACACCGGGCCACGCACCAAGGGTCGCCGATTGCTCCTGGAGTGCTTCCAGGAGCGTCCAAGCATGATGGAACAAGATCATACAACACGTAAAATATAGTCTCCCTTTGCCGGCTTAGCCATCTATAATGTGCTCGTAGTATAAGATGAGATTTGACGACAACCCAGTCTGTCAGGTCACTGAGGGCATTGCAATGTTGAGGGAACCGGGGTCTTAATGCAGTAATTTTCAAAAAAAATGATCCCGGCTTATTTAGGGACATTACCTTTTTAGCATGCCTACACATTTTATTTTATTTTATTTTTTATTACAAATAGTGCCTTCTTGTCGGCCCTCACGATTGGCTTTCCTGGAACTGCAATGTCCTCATCTGAATGAAACATATTCTTTCTTTTATATATTAATACTTCCTCTTGCATTTCTTACTGGATTTTTCTAAATTGCCGTACTATCAAATGCAGAGAGGAAGCTTCAAGCTCGGCATGCTTTCCTTCAAGAACACAAATATGACGCCAACGCCCATGATTCCATGAAGAGGCATATGCTGCATGTAATAGCCTCCGAGATGGACAGCCTATTTCGACACAGATAGCTTTGGAAAAGCTCCAGACCCCTAGTCTTTGGATTTGTCGCAGCTCTCAACGGAGACAGAAATGAAAGAAGGTTTGCCAATTCATGAGCCTCCCTGACAAATACGTTGAATATGATGTGGAGACTCGATGGAACTCTACATATCGAATGCTTGGTAATGGGTTAAAAGCAAGGGTCCAAATTGATCAATTTTTAGCCTTGCAGACTGAAATCCCACCCTTTGCAATTGATGAATGGTTGCGCCTTTCTCAGATAAACCAAGTTCTTGCTAAATTCAATGAACTTTGTTCTTATCTGAGAAGAGACCAAAAATCAGCCCTGCTGTGCAATAAGGTCCAGGAAACTTTAGACAGCCTTTCAGCAGGGCCTGAAGCATATACCGAAGCGTACGAGGATGCTATGGGGCGAATCAAAGGGCAAGATGGAGACGCCTTGGACCTCGCAATGGGTGTTCTGTTGTGGATCACCTGCGCCGAGAGACAGCTTATCACTTAGAACTTCAGCACGCGCTTGCAGTGGAACAAGGTGCACTGAAACTTGACAAAGAGAACATTCCACAGGTTGAAGACATGGTCTCAGTAAGTGCTGGATTGGTTGTGGCTGATGAAGAAAGCAACATCATCCATCTAGTCCACTATATGACACAGGACTACTTTGAGGCGAGGAAGGAATATTGGTTTCCTGATGCAGAACCAAACTTCAAAATGATTTGTGTTACATATCTCTCATTCAACACCTTTGAAAGCGGTCCCTGTCTGAGTGAGCAGGAGCTTGAGGCACGACTACAACAAAATCAACTATATGATTATGTAGTGCGGAATTGGGGATACCATGCTTATGCAACTGCGACAAAACTGGAACAGTTGATCCTGGATCTCCTTGAGAGTGACACAAAGGTATCTGCCTCGAGCCAGGCTCTGATAACCGAAGATTACTTTGCCACTAGTCATCATAAATCAAAGCGAATAACAGCCCTACACCTCATAGCATACTTCGGACTGAACGAAGCAGCAAGTACCCTCCTTAGATATGGGAAGTGCCTGAATTCCAAGGACACTGACGGCCGGACGCCACTACCATGGGCCGCCCAGAATGGACATGATGGTATTTCAAGCTGCTGCTTGAGACAGGCAAGGCCGATGCTGACTCAAAAGACACATTGAATGGTCAGACGCCGCTATCATATGCTGCTGAGAAGGGGCATGATGGTGTTGCCAAGCTGCTGCGCAACCACCAGTAGAGAAAAATTTAGGTTGGTCTTTGCGGAATTCAGTGATTAACATTTTGGCTTCGCCAAGTGGGATAGTTTTCCATACTAAGTGGCTGATCATCGCTCTCGACGACCTGCTTCGCTCCTCCCAGCATTTTATTATATTCGTACAACTAGACTTTTTTGTGCCCTTAAAAGGTCTTCAGAGTTAGGTTTTTATATCGCTTCAATTATTGGCATCATTTCAACCGTAGTTCATCCTTCCACATGTTGTCCTCGGGCCCTGGTGTCCCTCAGCAATTTTATACGCCAATATCAACAAACATCATCTATAGGCAACATAAGAACAGCAGTAGGCCTTGAATTCGGTTGTTTTTAAAGAGGGTTAACTTTTTCTCTAGTTCATTATCTTACGCCTTCCAAGAAATGGGGCCGGGTGTCCTCTGATGTCAATATTGTTTAACCCTAGAAATCCTATCATCTGTCATACCACTAAAATTGAGTAATGAAAGTAAATCATTGAGCTCTTGCATAATAATCAATATTTAATATCCCTGTCCAACAAGTAAGCTGGAGTAATAAATGAAGAGAGAACTCTTGAGAAGTTTCAACATCTTACATGTAGGCTGTGATGGCTAAGCGTCTCCATACCGCCATGCAAGCAAGCAAAGAAAGTGCGGCTGTCTCAATCAATATAAGTCTATTGGTAGACTATCTAGTGGAATAATAATATGGAAAAAGAAAGGAAGAAGCTGGGCCTTCCAGCGCTGTACTATCTAGTGTGCGAAGGGGGTCACTGCCTTATATTCAAACAGGCCAAAGTAATCAAACATCTTGCGTTGTTAGTGAGTACCCACACCCACTTGTGAGAACTGGTCCTTGAATATACTGCTATCAGTCTTTATTATAAAGTGGCCATTATAAATTCGCACATACATGGTATATGGCTACACTGTTTCATGAGAACGAGACTACCTCATACAACTGTGACCTATGTATCCGTTTATTTGGCAGCCAAGAAGCCCTCAATCAACATGTCAGTTCACCTGCTCCTGCTTCCTAATACAATTGTTCCCTGTGTGGCCGCTTGTTTGGCGGCCAGGAGGCCCTCAACCAGCATTTCAGAGACTCATTCACTTACTTTCATTCACTTAAAGTACCCTGAAATAATTTTTCCTGTCCTTCCCAAATTTCGACTTCAACCAGAGCTTACCGCCCACTGAATCATACGCACATTTACAGAGATACTATGGCTGGGAACGAAACGATGAAGAATGTCCCCAAGCTTTGGATGGCTATCAGGAAGCGCTTACTGGGGAATTCGAGCTGTGGTATCATTCTAAGAATGATGTTGGTGTTTGGCATTTACTATGTGGCGCTGTAGGAATTGAACTCTACCAAAAACATGTCTTGAGTGCAAGAAGGTACAGTACTCCAAACACCCCAATATCATTCCTTGTTATGAGCAAAAATAAATAACAAAGAAAATAATAGACTGTACAAGGTTCATATGTCAATATCGTCGGCCTAATTACTTGGGCTCGCAACGGGGGAAATGGCAGTGGAGTACATTTATTCCAAAGCCTACAGGAGCTAGGCCAGTATACAAAAGAAACCAGTAAGATTTCCGGAATGATCTCGACTGGTCAGGCAATGGGGATGTTGTGTTGAGACATCTGTTACGATTTATATTTCGTGGTTCGTGAAACAGATAGATCCTCGTCATAATGCACAATTCAGAAAGCTGCTATTGAGGGTGTTTCGTGGGACTCAGCAACCTTCTTCCGAAGCGCATCATTATTCTCGATTACCCAGTTAGGTTAATTTGACCTATCCCAGAAAACCAAATACAAAAACAACCAAATAAACTAGCTAAAACTCTCACTCAAACCCTCCTCCATCTCATCCACCTCCGTCCGCTTCCACTCCACCTTCTTCCTCGCACAAACATCCTGAATAAACCACCTGCAGCAGCTGTCCGCCGCCGCCGCAGCCACTGCATGTCCCATTGGAGCACTGCTGGTTTCTTGAAGGAGATGACATCCGGGATTTGCCCTTCGAAGCGGTATACTCCTGCTTGACGGCGTACTGGTCGACGAAACTGTTCACCACGCCGAGCCAGAGTGAGAGAAAGTCTTTCTCGGGATCGATGCATTTCTCGCTTTCCTTCTCAGTCTTCAAATTCTTCTTCTTCCTGCGCCTCTTCTTGGAAGCTGGGACGGGTACAGTATCAGGAACAACCTCAAAGCGATGCCCATGCTTCGCCCTCTCCTCATCAGGCACCCTCAAATACCTCCCCACCCGCACATACTCCCCCTTCTCAGCTCCAACCATAAATAAATATGGCTGCGCCTCAGTCCTATGTTCCAAGAACACATCCGCCTGTTTCATCACGCTCAGACCCCTACTTGAAATTCCAAATCCCGGCATCGCAGGCATACACTCAAACCACTTAATCGCACGATGAAAAAGATGACCCGTCGGACCCTGCAGGACTTCAGTGAGTTTGAGAATCATGAGCAGGAAGCAGCGGATTCGCGCGATATCAGAGTGATAGCCTGCGATGAGAGCGCATTTCGCCCAGATTAACGCGAGACGGGTATCTGCGATTCCACAGTCGGTTAGTTTATCAGTGATGCAACAGGCGGCTTGGTAGGCAGCGGCTGGCTTTTTAGTGATTAGTCGGGGGTTGTTGAGGACATGCTCGAGACGATAATACGTTCCCAATGCATCCTCGACCTCGGCCTTCGGATACAAGCAACATCGACAGGAACACCGGAACCCTAGCAGATCCAACGCATAGAGTCGACGATACTCAACCTCGCCCTTGGCATAGAAATATGAAATCGTAATCTCCTGGCCCTTGTGTATATCCGTGAAGCTGCGGACGACTGCACCAGCTAGTCTAGGTTTTTTGTAGCGCCGGCCGCTGTCGGAGCGATACTTGTTGACTAGGGTCAAGGAAGCGTTGGGGAAACACGAGTGGTTTGTGAAGGAGAGATTTAGGCCCAAAATGCCGCCAGATACACCGTTCCAGGTGACGGGGATGTGGTAGCGGTTCCAAATACTAGTGTAGGGGCCAGTTCCTGGTTCTTTGTGGTCATTGGGTTTGGGCATGCTTAAATGGGCGGTTTTCCAGTCCGATCCCATGGCAGTAACTTTTGCCTCTAACAACGCATCAACATCACCATTCCCGGTCGAATATTTGCCCTCTTCTCTCTCCGTAAGATGAACCAACTGATCCGCGTAAATAATACTACCTGCGGGAATAAACTCCTTCGCGATGAGTCCGTAACCAGTCTCCTTGTTGATGAAGGCGCGGTGGTATTTCCAGCGCTGAGGGCCTTGCTTGGTGTTTCCTGCTTGTTCGGCTCGGCAGGCGACGCAGTCTGGTGCTATGCAGTCTGTTTTGACGCTGGGAGAGGGGGTTGCGGTTGTTTTTTGAGATGGGGTTGGAGAGGAGCTTTGTTCCGAGTTTTGGGAGCTAGTGTTGCAATTTATATCTTGACCCTGACTCTGACCCTGGTTCTCATCCTCTTCCTGGGAACTGGGATCATTAGAGCCGGAGACTGGAGCCCTGAGTAGTTTCTCTGTAAGAAAATCTGGTCAGCATCTTTTCCTCTATTTGTTTCTGAAAAGAAGAACCCACGTCCAGGATTATACCCCACAAGCCTCACCATACCCACTCCCCGGTCGACATTCCCAGGACCATCACGAACCGGCTCAGTTGCCAGACTAACAAAGAGCACCCTTGCCAGAAAACTAAACAGAGGGAATTTCCAGAAACGGGACCAGAAGGAGCGGGTCATTGAGCATGGTTTCATCCAAGTTTTCGGGAAAGGTAAAGATGGTTGTCCAAGTTGGGTCGAGTGAGGATACCCAAATCCGAGTAGTGGAAGGAAGCAAAGAACTGGGGGAAATAAGAAAGAAAGAGCGTGAAGAGTGGAAGCAATTTGAATTTTTGTTGTGGGTGAAGGGCATGCAAATAATAGTGTTGTGTTTGTCGATGAGGATTTAGAAAGAGATCCCATACTGGGAATGCATAGCATTACACAAAGTTGCAAAGAATGACTTAAAACAATGCTTACCTTGATTCGATACTGTCTATTCATGTATCCTAAGCGCCAGCGCCATTGTCATATTACCAAAAAGCCTTTTACAAACAAATCGTACCTCAGGAAAAGGGACTGAGATAAGGGAAAATAGTACGAAAAAAAAAAAAAAAAAGGTTTAATGTCGTAAGACATCAAGTCTGTCCAGCCCTAATATCCGGAAAGATAACCATGCAAAATACAAGATATAGCAGACAAGTTTAATGCAGAAGACAGGCACGTAACTACTTTTCCGAGACAACTATCAAGACATGCGCTGACAAAAGACACAACCGACAACAGACAAACCAACAAAACTAAAAGTGCGATGTATGGGGTATAAGCGTCATAAATGACAAAGGAAAGTAGAAATGGAAAACACAAAAAACAGAACACCTCAAACCAAAGCGGTGGTCGCTCATGCATTAACAGCCTGCTCAGGGGTACTGGCCTTCGTTGTCTCCTGCGTGGCCTGCTCAAGAGGATCAACGTCTTCGGAACCGTCGGGTATCGCCAGTCGTCCGTTCGATTTTGGTGCCCGTGGAGGGGTCTCGGTAGATGGGTGATCTCCGTTGCCGTTTTCTGTCGGGATCTTTTCGCCCCATTTGAAGATTCCAAGCGCCTCGGGAGCATCGTCATTCCCGCGGAAGCTCTTTGTTGCTGTGCTTGCACTACGCAGAGACTGGGGACGGCCGCCAGCTAATTCTGAGTCGGTAACGCTGGCCGTGGTAGGATCAGACCGAGGCTCATCCGACGACGGGGTAGGCTTTCGTAGCTTCAGTCGTTCTTCAGGTGGCATGTTTTGCCATTCGGATCCAAAGGTGACAACGGATGCCTTCTTGCCGTGGAAGTTGAAACTGGGCGTTTTGCGGGGAAGACCTTCATCTTCCTTTGTTGGCCCTTGATCCTCTCCGCCACCCGTAGAACTAGATACTGAGCCCCGTGTCTTCTTGTTCCGGATATGGTTGCCGTGGTGAGATTCCCGCAGACTGCGGTGCAGACTACGACGGGTGCGCTTAGACTGCTCTTCCTGTGGTGGTACGTGAGGACCGTCTGGGAGCTTCTCATCATTGCCATTCTTTTGCTCTTGTGGTGAACCATTAGCCTCCAGCAGGCCGGTTTCACGGAGGAGGCGCTCTTCATTATCGTCAACGCTTGCCTGAGAAGCCAATTTGGAAGCATGAGAGTTCAAACTTGAAACATCCATCTTGCTGCCTGAGCTGAGCACTGAAGTCTTTCGTTCCAGTCCATCCGCTGCTTGAACAGGCGAAAAAGGCGTCTGATCTTTCGCGGCATCTGCAGAGGCCCGTCTATCAGACGCGACAGATCTAAGACTTGGCCTCCGTTCCTCAATCAGCCTGGGCTGCAAAGACATCCTGTCGACATTCTCAGAGACATCTGGCAAAATAAGAGTGTCGTCGTTGATAGGAGACTCCGGTTTCGCAGTCAAATTCTGATTCGACTGGGCTGAATCGGGTCGAAGTGCAATGCTTGCCGTCGGAATCTGCAGGTGCAAAGACTTCTTCCGTTCCGCACTAGCTTCGATATCTACGCCCTCTTCGCTAAGGTCCCGAACGAGCACCTCGCGGTGGCATTTGGTGCGCCAGATATCTTGCCTTACCCATTTGAGCTTAGCAGCCATGCGGCCAGCCGCCATGAGGACCTGCTCCCTTGCTCTTGAATGTACGGGGGTGAGAATCTGTAGGTGTCGGGCATTCCGCAACAGATCATCGAGTTGTTTCTGACAAACAAAGAGTTTCTCATTAGCCTCACGAATCCTCTGCACCATCAGCTGCTGTCGGGCCGCAACCAGCTCATCAGAAACGTCGGTGTCAGGGTTTGGCGACGGTGGTTCTATGGTTCCAGGGGCGGACTGGCCGGAATCGGTACGACCCATGCGATTCCGCTGCGCATCATAACCGTTGGCGATCATCCCTCTTGTGCGTACACCAGTGGTCCTAAATGCCGAGGCGTAGTTGAGCTTTGCTATCCAATCGTTCATGTCCTCCTCACTGTTGGCCAGGAATATCTCCTCCAACGAATTGTGGCGAACAAACACAAAAGCGTGCTTGTGCTTCTTGTAACTGGAATCCAACAGAGCCACGGCATCATTCGTAGACATGAGGCCATCCGGACTGAAATCAGTGAGAGGTGGTTTGAAAATAACCGCCCGGCCACTGCCTTCCTTCTGCTGCTCCTCGGACTGAGAAATCAACGATTTCACCCAGTTGACATCCCGGAAGAAATAAAGCTGGGAGAATGTAAGGAGTGCACCCCATTCCTGCCAGGGTGACCTGCCTCGCTTCTTCTTCAGATCTTTCCGCCAGAGTAAGCCAACCTTTGCCACCTTGATGTCAACTAGTCCGGGATTCGAGTCGGCCGGATTTTGAAGACTTGCCGGCATGAATGCGTCCGGCCGGGAGCGCGCGGACACAATTTGCAAAACGCCAGTCTTAGCGAATGCTTGATGGAGGCTCCTCATATCAGATGGTCCCTCAGTACCGTTGCAGCTGTAGAATTCGTCGAGATCCATGACGTCCTTGAGACTTGGACGTAATGCATCGAGTTTTCCGTCCAGAATGAGTGCGTAGGGATCAACCGGTTCTTTCGACGGGCGACCAAGGTGTTCGGAGCTGGTGGATTTGAACAGTGTGCGTCGGGGTTTTACAAGATGACGCCCGTGGGGATTCGTGTCTTCGATGTGAATGAAAGGCGTATAGCAGATATTCTCATAATAACATTCCAAGATATCGTCCGCGATGCCTTCGCCGCGAGTGTTCTTGACATAATCCGGTTTCTGCATTTTTCGCTTATTGTTTCGGTTGAAGACATCCGTGTGCAAGATCAATATCGAAAATGCAATGAAATATGCCTGGTCTATAATATGTTAAGTTGCTGACATGTATAATGACAATAAAGGGAAATACGCACCAGAATGAGCGAATATCCCCGGATTGCACTCGTGATACCTGTCCGCAAACGCTTGCAAGAACCGGTCAATCTGCTGGGTCTCTTTTGGCAGTTCCATCTCCATCAAGAGCTTGCGAATTGCCATATCGATTGGATCCCCAAAGTACGAAAACCAACGCATGCACTTCCGCAGGGCTGTGAGATTGAAGTCCTCGCCTGACTGGGCCAGCAAGCCAGCGATAACGCCCTTCGGGAGGCTCTCTTCCAACCGAGCAAGATACGTGGCAGGGGTGTCACTTTCTTGCCGTGCCGGATATGATAGCGATTTTGTCGGCGTCGAAGTACCCGAAGTGCCATTGCGGGGTGCCGGAGGCTCGGAGTTCTGCCTCAACCGTTGTGGGAGATTGAAGATATCACCAAAGCTCTTGCGTCCACTTGTCGAGGTAGAAGTCCGGTTAGACGGCGCCATGAAAGGTGGCGCTTGATTTCCACCCTGGCCATCCGCGATGGAGTCCAAAGTCGACGATCGTGCTCGAGTCTCTGCCTGGTTGTGCTTCCGGTTCGATGAGAACGATGCAACTGAATGGGTGGAATTTGTTGATTCGTTCCGGATCATAGGAGGTCGCCCTGAGAAACCCACCGACGAACGGGTTGGCGATGGCATTGAAGAGGAATAATCCTGGCCGTCCTGAGAGGGTTGTGACCCTGGGGTTCCGTCGGGAACCGGGACTGGCTTGGAACCAGTTGATGGCGGGCGATCGAAGGTCGGTTTGGGAGGTAGGGGAAATGGGTTTCGGTTCCGTTTGAGGCGAGGCATGCGAAATCGTTTGTTGAAAGACAACGAACTATCATTGGGAGAGGACGCTAGGTGGTGACCGCCCTGCTCTCCTTGACTATGGTCGGAACGAGATGATTCAGAGAATCGGGCATCTGTCACGGTCGATGAACGGTAAGAATCGTTGGTGTGTTCTCGGCTGTTGCTTCGCGCTGATGTTGTTGACAATCGCCCCGGCTCCTCCGCACTGCCCCGCGGCGTCGACAGGGGATTTTCCATGTGAGAATCTCTTGAGTCTTGGGCACCATGTTTAGACGGAGGGGTGTCAGATGCGGGTTGTCGATCGGCCGTCAGATCCTCCATGGAAGGCCTTTTCGATGCGGACAAGATTTTGAACATGCTTTTTCGCTTGACAGGTTGGTCCAGCTCATGGCTCGTGGGTGCAGTAGTGATGATAGTAGGCGCTGTAAAGGGAAAAGAAAAAGGGGGGAAGACGGTTAGCTACTTGAACTAGCCGTGATAGTGAAAGAAAGGGAGGGTTCCACAACACTTACGTGGAGGCAGGGGAGGGACTGGGGGGGGCTTTTGCTCGGCCTTGGCGTAAGATTTGGACAGCTGGGGATCGGATGCATGACGGAGCCTCATAAAGCTAAAACGGTTCCTGCGTAGGCTCCCGCTTAATGCTTCTCCAGGTGATTGGGAGGCAGGGGAGTTTCCCGTGTTATTATTATTGTCCGTGCGATCTCCGGGCACCGCAAGATGGGAGGTGCGATTTTCACCGTTTGCAGCATCATCATCGTCATCGCCATCGCCATCGCCATCATCATCTGCACCAGTCAGACGAGGGGTACGAGGAGTAGACTCCGAGTGCCGGGGAACAAGGTTGGAGGTCGAAAGGGACGGGCGAGGCAATTGCTCACTATGACGGGATTGGGAATGCGAAAGATCAATCACGCTCCGTCGCTTGGAATCGGTGCCATCGGGAATGCCAATGCGCAAGCCTCTCCAAGGCATGGCTACGACGAGGACAGGGCCGGGTGGTGAGTGCCGCTATGCGATTCTGCTCCACAGCCTTGAGTCCATCCGAGGTACGGAGTATGTAGGCAGCTATAGAAGAAGTATTTTGGTGTGGTTATGCGTTTTGCGGAGGTGGGTCGTAGGTGCTTGTTTGTTTTCTTGTGTTCAATGCCAGCGAAATCCTCCTACTGTGCAATATAATTATACTCCGGAATCGTGGTGTCACAAGCGATACAGACGGGAAATTTTGCGCAAGGATCTTAGCGGGACGACGGCATTGCGAGAATCGAGGAGAATCGAGGGGAAAATTCGAGCAAACAACAACGACGGCGAAGGTATGAGACGGAGAAGACAACGGAGGGAACGATGGAGATTGGTAGTGGCGGTCGTAAGGCGGCCGTTGAAAGTCAAAGAGGGATCGAAAAGGGGAAGGGGCTGGACGGGTCGAAGCGATTGAGCAAAAAGCAGAATAAGACTTGATCAAAAAGAGGTGGTTCTCGGTAGAGTAGGAGCAAGACGATCGCAAGTCTTACATGCCTGTCAGAGCAATGGGAGAATAAGCCCGTAAAGTTGTGGGGGGAATGAGAAACGAGGAATTGCGTGTCGTGTTCTAAACTGGGGAGCATCAGTCACCATTCAGTCATGATTATTATTAGCTGTGGCCGTTAAGAAAGGTCTTGGCCCGTGAGTAGTGGAGGGGCAGTCGTGCTAACCGTGGGTTCACCCGGTCGGGACCAGTCGGAGAGTATCTAGAAAGTCTAGACTGACTGATAGAGACACGCGAAGAGAGGCGGCCGATTGGTGGTGATGCTCTGAGAGAGAGAGTGTGTGTAAGTGAGTGAGTGAGTGAGAGAGTAGGAGTGTATGATAGTATGGAGGAAGTGAGATTGAGAGATGAGGCACAGAGACGATGATGCAGCACGGGACCAGGCACGTGTTGAGGCTCCCCCAGCTTCATCAGCATCGCATCATTGCATCTTTCCTCAGTCAGGATGATGTTTTACACCCACAATGCCTTTAAACTTGCGGTTCCTGGTTCCTGTACTTTGCTACCATGGCTTACAGATACAAAGCAGGAAGTGACCGACACTTGAGGTAACCCTCTTTTCGTACTTGCATTCTATTCAGGGCCAGGATACACCCCTAACAGAGACTGCTTCAGTCTGCGCCTGTCTATGGAGATCCACGACACTTCTACGGCACTACCTGGAAGGTTTGAAACGCGAATTCTTCGTCTGTCCATGTCTGACGACTTGAAACGAATCTCTACTCGGGACCAGTGGCAGCTTCGACAACCCCCTACCCAAAAAAGGGATACAGAAAAACAAGGCAGACAACGGGGTACACACCGAGCGTATCTGTATGCAGGTAAAATTATGGACAACCGGAATACTGACAATTTATAATAGTTTACTATCACACAAGCTCAGCATTAACGCATACCCAGTCGCAATGCCAATGTGTCCAGGATGTTTTGAATTCGAACTAGACTACACCTCATACCGGCCAAATACTTCGTCCGCCTGAGCAAACTCTCGCTCAATCGTGCTCTTTCGTGCTTCAGACCGCGGAGTAATATTGACAGCAAAAGGCTTTGCACATCTCAAAAACCCATCCGTATACCCAGTATGCGGATCCGTATTGATCGGTTGTTCCTTCTTGGCGCGAATATCAAACGCCCACAGAATCTTGGCAATTGCCACGAATAACATCCGTTCCGCAAGATGGATTCCCGGGCAAATGCGTCGACCAGACCCGTAGCCAAAGTGGTCGCGGTTCTCTGCGTTAGCAGCTGAAGCGTATACAGGAGCGGGTTCTGTGCGGCCTTGGAACCGGAGAGGGTCGAAGACGTCGGGGTTGGGGTGTCTTGTAGGATCATGGTGCAGGCCCCATGTGTTGATGATAACGGTGCTATTTGCAGGTATGGTCATGCCATCGATAGTCGTTTCTGATTATGGTCAGCATATGTTATATAGCCTCGAGCGCAGGGCGTACCTTTGTTGCTTGCATGGGGAAACCCTGTTGGCATTACCGGCCGCCATCGCATCGCCTCCTTGACTGCCATGGCTACATACGGCAGACGAGCGTAATCCTGCCAATTTGGGGATGCGCCTTCACCCAAGACTGTATCAATCTCCTGTTGTGCCTGTTGCTGCACCTCCGGATAACAAGCCATGGCCTGGATAAATGCAATGGTCATGATCGACGAAGTATCCGACCCGCCCTCAAGCAGATTACCAACCATAAGATCAATCTCGTGACGGGTAAGCTGTAGTTTCTCTTGCTGATCCAGAATTCCATCGAGATAAGTATTCCGGGAGCCGGATTCCTCGCGTCGTTGCAACACTCGGTCAACCAGGGGGTTATAGAGATTGAGCATAATGTCCTCGACGCGGCGCGAGCGGCTCTGCCAGTTATTGAAAAGCGACTCAGGGATATATTTGAAGACTGGAAAGATATCAACCGGGGGAGTAGCGCCCATCTCAAATATTTCAGACATGCCGTCAAGAACGGCATACAGATCCTTCATATGCTTAGCTGATGGCGACGCCGTGCGGATTCCAAGAACTAGTTCACAATATCAGCCCAGTCTCCCAAAATTCAATTGCACCAGGGAACATACTCAAACTCATAACCACACTATTAGTATACCGCTTACAATGCAACATAAAATTCCCCGGCTGTAAACACATATCTCTCAACAACTGCGCCGCCTCAGCCTGCTGCACCACAACATGCTGGCTCTCACTAATGCCCTCGTTGAAGTACTGATGATACAAACGACGTCCACGCCGCCATCGCTGGTCGACATTCATGAACATGAGATGGTCGCCGTGCATCATGAGTTCGTCTGCGATGTAGAAAGGAGGGCGGTTGCTGAAGTAGGCGGATTGTTTGTCGACAAGCTGCTTGACTGCTGTTGGTGTACTAAGTACTATGGCAGTGCTGGGGCCGAGTTTGAGAGAAAAGATGCCGCCGTATTTGGTCGCCCATTCTGTGAATCTTCTACCATTAACATATATCTCTATGCGGGGTGGTGATGGACATACTTGAGATGGACTCCCGCCGGGGGTATTTGATGAAGGTTCCCAATAAGAGGGAGACATGGAGGGCCTGAACTGGTTCAATGGAAACGCCACTGCCTCATGGTACTGATAATACTAACCTGGTGGAAGACTCTTCGCTCTGGTCCCGGGCAGCTTCCCCGTGAACCCCCCGACAACCAAGACTACAACAAGAACAACGAAACACAACAAGGCTGTATACATCATTATTTACAGGAAAGCATAGCTCTCGACACTAGCGCATCGCAGACTATATACCCGGCGATCTGCCGATCAACCCTATGCAGGTGTACATCGGCTCGGATCCCACTTCAGCCGCAGGAAGAACAACGCGCGATACAAGAACCGATAAACTTATAGCTTCTCCGGCCAAACATCCAAGCAGTTGGCTATCTAGGTCGCATTCAAAGTGTCATACTAAAATGTCTTTGCCGTCGTTCCTCTACTCCCAAATTTTCGTGGGTCTACCCGTCCCCGATCATGACTTCACGGGCCAAACCATCGTCATTACCGGTGGTAGCACGGGTCTGGGTCTCGAAGCAGCTCGTCATTTCTTGCGATTGAACGCATCGCATATTGTCCTGGGCGTGCGGAACATGGAGAAGGGAAAGGGAGCCAAAAAAGACCTCGAAACTTCAACAAATCGCCCGAACACCGTCCGTCTCGAACACATCGATATGGACCGCTACGACTCAGTCAAGAACTTCGCCTCTGTAATCCAGAACACAGTCCCCAAAGTCGACGTCCTCCTGTTAAACGCCGGCAAAATAGCCGAGAATTTCTATCTAGCCGAAGAAGACGAGAGCACCATCACAGTCAACGTCGTCTGCACAGTTTTTCTGGGTCTCTTGCTTCTCCCCAAACTCCGCGATTCAGCATCCCCTAATGGTCCTATACCACGTCTATGTTTCGTAGCCTCCGACCGTCACGTCATGACCAACCTCCCCGAATGGAAAACAGAAGACACTTTCGCAGCACTCCGCGCCCAAACTGAATCCGGCGCCGATGATCGCTACTATGCCTCCAAGCTGCTCAACGTCCTCATGTTCCGCCAGCTCGCCGAGGAAATCACATCCTGCACCCCGCGAGTCGCGGTAAACGGCTTCACACCTGGGTACTGCGCTACGGCACTTATCCGGGAGACGCAGGGGTTCTGGGGGTGGCAGCTTTATGTGATGAAGTTGACGATTGCAAGGACTATTGAGGTGGGGTCGAGGACGTTGGTGCATGCGGCGAGTCTGGGATGGGAGGGGCATGGAAAGTACTTGAATGATTGCAAGATTGATGAGTGAGTTGTTTGCCTTGTAATATGATTGCAAGTATCTGGTTACTGACGGTTTATAGTGGCGCGCTGTCGTCGTTTGTACGCAGTGATGAGGGAAAACAGGCGCAGGTGAAGGTGTGGAAGGAGTTGCTAGAGAAGTTGGACAGGATAGCGCCTGGGATCTCGGAGAACTTGGCTAATTGAGCAGTATCATGAAATAGGGCTAGGTTGGTTAATTGCGATTGGCCACTTATATATGCCTCGAGTGGCCCCCTCCTGACTTGACACTACTCATATTTAATCTGCTGTTTTCTTGATATGCTGTCTTGATTTATTAATATAACTTGCAATTTCAGCTTCATTATATGGGTGTTACTTTGATCAAAGCATCCTGATCAGCACAATAGTGAATGAGAACCACACAATACTATAGTTAATACAGTGTGTATCCGCTCTTTATTATATGTCCTGTGACTGCAAGAATGTAAACCTTTCTCCCCTTTACTCAATCTTCTTCTTTTTTTTTACGCCTCCACCACCCTTATTATCTTTGTCTGACAGCTATGGCAATTTGTCTCCGCATTATCTTACGGACTTTATGGATAGCATTTCGATAAAAATGGGGCTACTTGCTAGTGATTAAAATGGACTCAAGGCAGAGAACGTGACCTTCGCGTCTACTGACTTATCAGAGCCACAAAACCCTAGTAAAAATATACAAAAATGCAAAACAACAGAGCCACATCAAAGTCTATACACCTAAGTGATGGCTTCTCGAAACGAGTGTTTGGATGTTGCACAAAAACTCTGCTACCATTCTTGTGAAACAAACCAATAAAGTCCATGGTATGTTCCTAGAGGATACAACAGTGGGAGCTGGATTGAGGGCAGCAAGCGTTGAATATTTGTGAGGTGCTTTCTGCAGGACCATGCGCCACCTCGGATCTTTTAGCGGAGACACTTTATCTCCCCAACTCCAAGGAACTATACGCCACCCAATCTATGAATCCCCCAGTTTGTCCATAGTTATCGAAGCCGGTGTGCCAGAGCCCCAAGAGCTCGGCTCTGGACTTAGAATGACGCAAATAAATGTTGTGTCCGGCCCGTGGTTGTGGAAAGCTGAGAGGTCTGGAAATCGAAATCGTCTCTGCGTTACCTTTTCTTATCCGACAAACACCCTGGCTACCGTTATTTTGTGTCATCTTAGTCGGTGGTTGTAAAACACCGATCATTCCTGGGGACCAGTATTGTGGTTCCGAACCTACTGGCTCTAGGCTAGGCTTGCCATATGGATCTCGCAATTATTCAACCATATGGGAGCGAATAGTTACAAACCATTTATCAATACCTTTCACGAGAAATGCCAGCAATGGATCCCTCAGAAATGCTGTTCTTCACCTACAGCGGTACTGGGCACAGCTGAATCTCAACAATCGGGATATGGGTGGATCTCCATTAGCTGAGTTCTTGAGCCAGGAAAGACTTCCTTATAGAAATGGTCTCTATTACCAGAGAAAGACCTTTGCGGGTCTAGCATCGCTACTCACTCCCACCTACGACCAAATGTACACGCCTTCAATTATCACGTCTGCCTAGGTACATGTCAGAATCTCTTGCATATTTTCCGAGGTGAATTCTTCACGCCACGCCCTTCAACGGGCTACGTATCAATATATGAGGCCCCGTAATATTGCTAAATTACGATAAATAGCGAAAGGGAACCCGACACACTTTTCTGAACGTACAGTGTGAGAGGGTGTTTTATGAGACGTGCGATGTCAACATGGCAGAATGCGAAAGGGCAGCTCGAGAAATCAGAAGGCGACAGCATATGAAATTGTGATAGTGGATCAAAAGGTTCCATCTATAGAGCAGGCACAAAGTCACTTGACAAAGTCAGTATACTGGTGATGGCCCATCGGAAATGTGCGCTTCGTCTCTCGCGAGGAGAAGCATAGAAGGCATTTGCATGAGCCACCCAGCTATTCCTTGGTATCAGAAAAGTTCTACAAGTTAAACAGAACACGTGAATCATACAACCTCCAGACCTTGTAAAGGATGCTCCAATATGATAATGGATATTCACCAGCTCAGAGAATGACTGGAATTCACTCGTGTTGGACGATGTCAATTTTCTATTGAACTTCCTGTTGCATACATTTCCTATCAGGATTTGTTCTTGATTGTGAGATTACGACAACTCGCAAGGAAAATCCACAGCGTCTTGGTCTAGTGATCTATTTTTGCCATCAGAATTGCATCTTTACTATGCATAAATGTATCATCTAATTGGTGCATTCCCCGACACACGAAGAAAATATTCTTCTGCTCATCCTTACTTATATCCAGCAACACAATTAAATCTGCTGCCCACGCATTTTCCAGCGCAATCGCGAAGTGACCGTGTCTCCGAACAACAGAACTACCGTAAAATCTACCGGTACCCCTGACCATGACCATCGAATTCGACAAAGTGCTTCTTTTCTTTGTCCCCAAAAGATTGGTTAAACGACTCTTCACATTCTGTCAGGATATCGAAGATAGATAACGAGCTGGAGGCTTTGTTTTGGCGCATGCCATGGCTAACTGGCAAGCAGCAGGAATTTATTTGAAGTTACCACATGGGGCAATGTAAGTTAGGATATGACACTTGTATAAAAATCTCCCTGGACATATGAATACTCCATGATATGAATCCAATAACCCGGGAGAGTCTACACTGATAGCTAGACACAGGCTATAAGGGATGATGCCACGCAATTTACCCCAGATTGAATACATCTCTCATAAGCGATGACATTTCAACTCCATCGTCAATTGGGCTACTATATCGGCCTTCTGCCCAGCCAAAGCCTATGGTGAGCCATGACTGAAACATGGCCTCCACTTCACGTGGACCTCGACTGTGGCTAGTCGGCACACGCCCATATGAATGTTGCCATACTGATTCGTTGGTCTTTTCATTCAGGTGGCCCGGTGAGGAGTCGCTTCGGCATATGCAGAATGCTCAGTGGTAATACAATAATCTGATAATAACATACAGAAATGGATTTATCCACCACTTCGTATGACGAAAAGGTGCTCAGTCCTCCATGATCAAAACGAGAACGACACTCTGGTTGAGTTGAAGACCAAAAGAAAGCATCCCAGAGCACGAGTACGTGAAATGAGCTTGGATGATGTTGAAATCTTTCAACATGAAAAGATCAACAAACCATAATGGGACATGGCATCAAGCCTTTAATCACATCGAGAAAGACCCGATCATCGGTAAACTTCCTCCAACATCATTTCCCCCTAGCATTGTAGCAATAAATCATAATAAAAATATACCCTCGGAAGCGCAGACAGACTAGTTAGGTATGGCAGAAACAGCTAAGTCCCGAGAGACCATAGCGGAGCCCTCAAATGACTAAAGATTCAGGCACAGACTAGCGGAAATCAGTCGATCTATTATTTCAATATAATCATAACAGAGATCTCATCTTAGCTGAAAAAATAAATAAATAAAATAAACTTTATCGCATGCAATAGTCAATGTCATAATGCATATAGTTCAGGCCATCTGAAAGCCTTCCACCCAAGTGGGATCCGAGCCGGCGGGAATCACTACGAACCCTAATATATGAACCAACCAATAACCCTACTATTCACAGTAATAGTACTCAGCTTTCGAGACTATTTTTACAGCCAAAAGCAACAATGGCTACACTAAACGGTATTGCTATTGTTACCGGCGCTGGCAGCGGTATTGGTCGGGAATGTGCACTGGGGTTTGCATTTGCTGGGGCGGCGGGTGTCGTTTTCGCGGACAGGAATCTTCCTGCAGCTGAGGAAGCAGCTGAGACAAGTCGTAGGATTTCCAATAATCATGATTCTTATCACGCATTGGTTATTCAGGTGGATGTGGCGGACCGGCAGAGTGTCGAGGGGATGCTCTCGCGAACATTGGAGAAGTTCGGGCGGGTGGATTATTGTGTTAATGCAGCGGGTGTATGTCCAACAATGGTGTTTGATAGAGCAGAACAAACTGACAGTCCTAGATGGCCATGCGCAGACCACGCAACATCCTTGATCTGACATCTGATGAATTCGATCAACTATACAACGTCAATGTCCGCGGCACGACGAACACCTTGCAAGCAATTGCCAGGCAAATGCAGAAACAAGATCCTTGCTCGGTATCAACCCGAAATGGCCCGCGCGAAATCGGTCGAGGCGTGATCGTGAACCTAGGTTCGATGCACTCACACATTGCAGCCAAGGATATTGCACATTATACTATGTCTAAGCATGCAGTCTTGGGGCTGACGAAAAGTGCTGGTTAGTTACAATTGAAGCTACGCATATGCCAATCATGATAGGACAAATATGCTAACAAAGTATACATATACAGCCCTTGACCTTGCTCCTCAAGGTATTCGCGTCAACAGCGTTTGTCCGACATGGGTCGATACGCCCATGATCGACGCCGTCGAAGGCAGCGAGCAGCTTCGGCTCATGGTCAATGACGTTGTACCATTGGGGCGGATTGCACAGCCAGACGAAGTGGCTGATGTGGTCTTGTTTCTGTGCAGTCCACAGGCTAGTTATGTAACAGGAAGTGGCTGGATGATCGATGGCGGATTATCATGTATGAGTAAACTCTAAATTTATATCGGTGAAGCGATCGGGATCTATATGATAAAGACTGAATCTGATCGACGTTGATGGATAGCTAAGCTGAACGCTGCGCAAGCGATCATGCCGAACCCAGCCCCGTACCCAGTATCCAAGCCAGCAACGGAACAACCGGCGGAGACCTCAGCAAGGAAAGGAGAATCCCTCGAGAAAATGATAGAAAAGTATGAATTTGCGATCCCTGGAGGCTGGCTACTTCCGGAGCAGAAAATGTTATCTGTCTTGTTTCGATCAATTGTTCCGTATCTCAGAATTCATTGACTTTATTTGGACATTCTTTAAGTTCAGATGTTGCAGATGTATTGCTCACCGTTTAATTGGCGGAGATATTTTCCATGAAAGTTCTCCAAGTGGATTGGACCAACCTCCATTGTTATAGACCACACCGTACGTCTGGCGCTCATTTCTAGTCCTTGGGACTCGGAATCAGCCTCGATTGCCCATATCCACCGTGCAGAGTTTATAAAATCCGTTACCCCATTCGGAGTTTGCTGCGGAAGACCTCCACAGCCATTATTATTACTTATGGCAATCATACGGTCCATCAGCTTCGGCTCCGACAATGATCGACGCATTGCGATGTACTGTACTGTGTATGGTGTAGTTCAGTAGTTCCATGAGGCTCGAATACTGAGATTTGAGTGTTTTATTTCCTCGAAGACGACGTCAAAATTGTAGTGCAGCTCTATTGCATGGTAATAAGGCTGCATATGCAGAGCGCAGCAACTCACATACTTGTGATGCTTCCTATAATTCCCATCGTATTGATCTGTTATATAGATCAATTTTGTTCCTGCACCGTATGCTGCCGAGCTGTTCGACGAGACCTACACGAACCCGACCTCAAAACAAAACGCAAGAGCCTCGGTGGCCAGTGCACAAAACAATGGCTCGGTATGCATTAACCCAATTCGGTAATATCTGGGCCTCTCAGACGTCATGTGAGAAGATATTCAACAGTAATCCACAGGCTATTGGTTCTAAATAACTTCCAATAGGCACGACAGCAGTGGGGAATATGCACCATTATCGATATAGACTCGATTAGTGCAAGAGCGACATCCGAGTCCAGGGCCCCGGGCAATGAAGATCGTGATATAAATGGAAGTGAAATCATTCGACGGGGGATCTGGCTTCCATGGCTCTGCCCATATATCAACGTGTTGCCGGGCGTAAATCCTCTATAGAGTAAGCACAGAAAATGGACGTGAATTGGGATAATTTACTCCCTCAGATAGCTTCAGCGCCAGCTTTCATCTGTCCGGTACCCAATTGCGGCAAGTCTTTTCTACGGAAGGGCCATCTGAACCGGCACCGTCGCAGTCACCGGCCATGTCGTCCTCACAAATGTTTCATATGCGCTCGGAGCTTTGCCAGAAGGTTAGTACAAATAGACTTCCGCAAATAATTGGAAATGGATATCGAAATTAATACATGCTAGTGACATCCTTAACCGGCACGTCCTCCTTCACAACGTCCCTCCCGAAGGCCCTAAACGAACCCTGCTTGCCTGCCAAACCTGTCGACGGCGAAAGATAAAATGCGATTCCAGTGAGACCTGTTCGACCTGCTGCAACCTGGGCGTTCAGTGCGTCCGACAGCCGTCAAGCGTACAGGCGGCTAATTTGACAGCAATAGAGTATGACACCAACGATGACACCGAGATATACTATGATGAAGAAGAGAAGGAAACGCCAAGTTTGAAGGTTTCTCATAACGAGCTAGCCATGTGCCAAGGCAATGGCAAGGAACTTTTGCCGTTTCTGGTAGACAATGATGCAGGTTGGATGGCCGAGGCTTCTGCACTGTTTCCAGAGAGTACAATTAATGAGGCCCCAATACTCAGCTTCGGCAATCTCGAGTCGCCGGAATCAGTGCCGAGCTTGATTTGGTCCCCTCAGTTTGACTGTCAATCGGAGCATACATCGTCTGCCGCAGTTTCTCAAACCTCGTCGAACACGTCTACACAATCCAGTCTTGATGATTTCCACAAAATGTGGCCCCATATACACCAACTCACGATACAACACGCACCATCATCCGGTCTGCTAGGTCAGGCCTTGCAATCCGTTGCTCATAATATCACAAATGTCCTTGACAATGTAAACCTAGATGAAATTGCATGTCGGCTTTTGTTATCGCATCCTACCAGGAAACAATCTTCACCTGTTTCCCTTTATGATCTCCAGGTCCTGTCTGTTGTACTCATCACTGCTGTTAGCCAGGAGATGACACCTGCTATCGCCACTTGGGCTGCTCAGTGGATTGAGATTGCTGTCAGCGCCATGCGCCGCCTGGGAATATTAATTGAACGCTCTTGGGAGCCGCCAAGTTGCTCATCGTGGGCAGATGGCGAAGCCTGGGTTCGAGGAGAAGAGAGTAAAAGACTCGTCTACACCATGCTTCGCATCGACACCTATCTCAGTATTATCACCGGCCGGCCCCCATCCCTTCGAGTCCAAGAATTGCAGCTTCCGCTACCCGTCACAGAGGATCTTTGGAGGGCACCGACGATCGCAGCCAGGCGACAACTGTACTGGTTTGAACCCACTGGGCGGGCTTGGACCACACTAAGCGCCATCGTGCGAGATAGTCTTATCCAGTCTCGGAATCAGATTGCTGGCACGGCTGGTGTAGCTCCTTTGTTACCAGCAGATAGTCACTTGGGCCTCTGTGCTCTCCAAGGAGAAATATGGGCGACGGTACAAGAGACATACAACCTCAGCCATGGAACGTTAGATTCCAGACCATCATGGCATGCACCTGAGTCTGTGCAGTTTTGGCATGACTATCTTGTACATTGGAAGACAATCCATCATGGACCTGAATCATCCTCAGCGCAGATCGACGACCCAACATGGAATAGCCTCAACACAATACAATTCCATCTGTGCCAGTTGACGCTCCATGCTCCCTTGTCGCTACTCGAGTCGCATCAATGTTGCACGCGCTGTCGTGCTGCGGACATCACAGCCATGCTGCATGATTGGGCATCGTCGTTGGAAGCTCGACGCGCGGTATATCATGCAGCCCAGCTGCAGCGTTTGGTTGACAGTCAGGCTGGGTTTGTCAATCCCTTGCAGTCCCCAGCACTTCTTGCAAGCTCTGTGGTCTTATGTAATTATGCTGCAGAAAACAGTTCCCTTCCTAATGGGAATCCTATCGAGCTGTGTCAGGAGCAAGTCTGCGGTTCGTCAGCTATTGAAAAATGGGTTCAATACGGAGGGCCCTCTATGGTTTCTAGGCGAATACTTTGTCCAACGAACTTACAAGGTCTGTTCGCATGGTGTCAAGAGCAGTTAGTGATGTTTCCACAGAGCCTGGCAAGGCTGCAGGCGTTCATGGCGATGCTATCATAGTTTTCGAAGTAGTGAATCAGAAAAACGCGGTTAGTCCCGTGTGTGTGGCCTAAGACCACTTCTCGTGCTGTGTTGTATCCTTTTCGCTTCCTAGCCTCTGAGGATAAAACTAGAAGGATAGAGGAGAGAGGTGGTAGAGAGAAAGAGAGCGAGAGGAAGACGGAGGGACTAGGCTAAAAAGGGAAGGTACCTGGTCTACTTGTGAATATTGACTACGAAATGTATAGATAACTCTCAATACAGCTAATTAAGGAAAATATGTATTTGTACCTTGAAGCAGAACATGAAGAAAGAATTGTTATGCCTGCAAAATGTAACCCTAGTATAGTTGCTGGGATGACTTCACCACCGCTTGCCGCCGACTCTTATCTTTCTTACATCTCACACACACTACTTTCTCCAAACATGACAAATTTCACCACTCGTTGATTCACTAAAAATGCATCTCTATCTCCTTTTTCTTCTATTCCTCTTCACCAGCCTCGTCTCTGCGATTCCCGCCAGTTCTAGCATCACCCCGCCACCTCCAGCCGAACCCGTCCAGCTTCTCTCGCAATCCCCCGATCCGTCGCGACCCTGGACCAGACTACGAGACTGGGCCATCGAGACTATCTGGAATATCCCAAGATCTCCATCGCAGCGACCATTGAAAGATACTGGTCGAAATCGCTCACCTCCATCTCGAGTATTGACGCGGTACGGCAGCGACGTCGTTCTCCGGTTTCGGGTACAACATGGCTATGAGGCAGAGGCTCTGGCGCAGGCCAGCGATATTATGTTCTTAGATGTGTGGGCTTCAACGCCAGAATTTGTGGATATTCGAATGGCGCAAGAAGTGGTGAGTCTGAATTTACACGGTTTGATGAATAAAGTGTTGACAGCATAGATTCCCTCGTTATTAGGCCTCCTGCCCGATTCCCTGCGAACCGCTTACACTCCCCTCATCGATAATCTCGCGGAATTAATATATGCCTCCTACCCAACGAAACAATCGATTGGCCTCGAAGGTCAATCCGGATTTGTGTCTTTCCGCCCACCAGCGCAGGTCGCAGACCTCTTCTTCCATGACTACCAGCCATTCTCCGTCTTGACGCAGTGGATGCGCCTGATGGCCTCCATGTTCGCGTCGCACACCCGCATAATCAGCATTGGTATTTCCCATGAAGGACGTGAAATTCCAGCTCTCCGTATCGGCGGAAAAAGCGACGCGTCGCCCGACTCGCCACGCAAAACGGTCCTAATTACGGGAGGTTCCCACGCTCGAGAATGGCTCAGCACCTCGACGGTGACCTACATTGCGTACCAATTAATGGCCCAATATGGGAACTCGAAGGATATTGATCGCCTGGTAAATGCATATGACTGGGTACTGGTACCTACTATCAATCCGGACGGCTATGTCTATACATGGGAGTCTGATCGTCTATGGCGAAAAAACCGTCAACCAACGAGCCTCCACTTCTGCCCGGGGATTGACCTTGACCGCGCTTGGGATTTCGGATGGGACGGCGAGTCGACGAGATCGAACCCCTGCGCCGAGACGTACGCCGGAAACGAACCATTCGAAGGCACAGAAGCGCAGCAACTCGCGCAGTGGGCACTCAACGAAACTCAGGAGCACAACACCAATTTTGTCGGCTTCATCGACCTACATTCCTACTCCCAGCAGATCCTCTACCCATTCTCCTACACCTGTTCGTCCATCCCGCCTACTCTGGAATCCCTCCAAGAACTAGCTATGGGTATGGCCAAGGTAATCCGCCGGACAACGCACGAAATCTACGATGTCACCTCGGCGTGCGAAGGGACAGTTACCGCCGGCGCCTTTGGTCCTGGCACCGATGAATTGAAGCGGTTCTTCCCGCGTGGAGGAAGCACAGGTGGAAGTGCATTGGACTGGTTTTATCATCAACTGCACGCGGCGCATTCGTTTCAGATTAAGCTACGGGATCGTGGGAGCTATGGGTTCCTTGTCCCGGCGGAGTATATTGTGCCAACGGGAAAGGAGATATTCAATGCAGTAGTGATGTACGGCCGGTTCCTTTTGGGTGACACCATCCAAATGGACGGCGCAGAGGACGAAGACCACGTACCGGAATTCTCAATGAGCACTTATTGATATCTTACTCTATAGTCACGACTTACGAATACACATAATAATGTCATAATTCATTCCATATTCCATGAAAAAACAACACTCTAAATCTAAACTAGAGTCTAAAACAACCAAGAAAGAAATTTCTCATAAAACCAACCCCCTGTTGGCTCCCTCATAGCCTGCGCAGCAAGAAACTCTGCTTCCTCTCGATCAATCTCCTCCTTGCCCGTCCACAAATCCGCCTCCTCGGGCTTCACTTGCTTACACCCCGTAAACACCTTATACCCGATAATCAGCATAAGATATAACGGAATCCCCAGATACGCCGTGATGAATGTCTTGTAGTCGAAACTGCCCCACTCGGGGCTGTGCGTGAAGACATCGTAGCTCTTTGTCAGCGCGATGATAATGCAGAAAACCAGCGCGAAGTACGAGCCAGCAACACCAAAGGGCGCGCGGAAAGCAAGATCGCTCTCAGGCACGTTCTGGGCTCTCCGTGCACGCACGAAGAATATGTGCGTTACTAGTAGCGAGATCCAAGTAAGCAGGCCGAAGATGGTGACTAGGTCGACGAAGTAGCCAAACACGGTTTGGGAGTCACTGCTGACGTTCATGTAGGCGATACATGCGATTAGCGAGCAGATGCCTAGGGAGTACACGGGGACGCCGCGGTTATCTGTCCAGGAGAGGAAGGCAGGTGCTTTTCCTTCTCGCGAGAGGCCGTAGATTGTGCGTGTTGCGATGTAGAGGTCTGAGTTTGCGGCGGAGAAGACAAAGATGAGGATACATGCGTTGAGGATGTGAGGGAGGACTGGGATGCTTGCTAGTTTGATGGCGACGACGAAGGGCGATGCGGCTGCGGAGTTAGAGTTGGAGGAATTTGTGGCGGAGGAGAGTTCGGGGGAGTTGTAGGGGACAAGGGTGCCCAGAAGGAGCACGCTGAGGACGTAGAAGAAGAGGATGCGGTAGAAGGTCAGTTTGATAGCGCGGGGGATGGTCTTGCGGGGGTTCTGGGCCTCGCCGACTGTCACGCCGACGAGTTCAGTTCCTAGGTATGCGAATGTTGCGGAGACCATTGTGCTCCAGAAGGCGTAGAAGCGGCCCGGGGCACCGTCGTCGATGAATGTGTTGAAGGCGCCGGGGTTCTTCCAGTATCTGAAGCCTTTCCGGTCGTGATCGGGCCCGCCACCTAACATGAGGATGAAGCAGAGGAGAATTAGGGCGACGATGACGATGACTTTGAAGGAGGAGAGCCAGAATTCGAATTCGCCGAAGAATCGCACACCGAAGTAGTTGATAAATACGATGACCACGAGGAATATGGTGATCCAGACACCGGGGTTGATGCGTTCGGTATCTACCCAGAAGGATATGACCATGGCGGTGGCGGTTAGTTGGTTGGGGGTGACAATGATGTATTTAAACCAGTATCTGTGTCGTTAGCAGTGGTTGAAACGCATGTAGGGTTGTACTTACGTGTAGCCTATGGCGAATCCTAGTGCAGGGTCACAGAAGCGGACGGAGTAACCGGTAAAACCAGAACCCAAGGGAAGCCAGGCGGCCATTTCTCCCAGACCACACATGACCAAGTAGACTATGAAACCGACAGCAGCGTAAGAGATGAGGATGGCACCAGGCTAGTCATGTTAGAGCGAAGAGCACATTGGTCTAGACGGCTGACTTACACCAGCTCTGTTTCTGTTAGCACGTCGCTTAATGTTGCATGTAGAGAGAAACGCACTTGGCTAGGGCTTCTCCAGTCCCAATGATCAAACCAGTACCAATGGCACCCCCAATGGCTGTCAATTAGCAAAATTCTTTCTCAACCGTGGAAGTAACCTACCAATCATGGTGATATGTCGGGACTTGAGAGCCCGATGAAGCTCGACATTGCGGTGCTGACCAACATCGCCCTCTTCAACGAGCTCATTCTTGACGTGAACATCAGAGGCTTCTTCTTTGACAGCCATTTTTCAGAGGCGCGTACACAGACAAAGGAGAAAAAGAAAAGACAAAAAACAAGAGGAAACAAGAGAAATTTAACAACCTTGACAAAGGCTGGCAGTCTCGTCCCGTGACCCGATGCACCCCGAGGTAAAGCGCGATATCGTGTTTGGTTCCTCCGCACATTGAATTTACATTATGTTAGTGAATTAGATATGATTCGACGCTCCCTGTCATGTACATATCCCCGTCCAATCAACAAGGGCCCAACGGTATCTGAGCCGTCCCCAGATATGTTCATGCGGCTTTCGCCGTGCCGTAGATACATTACTTTTTCCGTTTTTGGAAATCCCCGCATTCTTGGCGCCGAGCCGCTGTCAATTCCGCTGCCCAATTGGAGGGTGTTTGGAATAACCTTATCTCTTGGCAGCGGTCTTATCTCGGCGGGTGTGTGCACGTGATTGTATCCAGATATGGTTTTCGGATAATGATCGGCCCGATAGGCGAGTCGGGTTCTTCAGCCACTGTGGCTGTATTTAGATAGCTAAGCCTCGTGCGGTCCAGATAATTGACTCTCTAAAGGGGACGTACCTGTGCCCTTGCCTAGCTGAGCGTCCTAATCCGTTTCAGGTAACTGAACCCTATAATACCTGCTTTGGTCTACCGGCAGAGAGCCCGACGTGAGACTAGACCCGGAGTATCGCTCCGTGTATCCGAACGGCCGTTCCAAGGGGAATTGTATTTTCAGTCCCCACTCACTGGCCGGCCTTGCGAGCCAGCTCAGGAATAGTTTCACTTACAAAGGTATACTACATATGACCGAGACTAATCAGCATAATCAAGCTCTCTTGCCTATCTCCGATGTACGCCGATGTGCACCTCTCCGAAGGATCAGGGGAATACGACTCTGCAGTCAGCATCCTTTGACTAGAGCAACGCATATACGCATCAAGCACTTTGCATTCCTTCTCTTTCGAATCCTTCCTTTACATATAGCTAGGTAATCGCCTCCAGGGTCTAGCCCCGTAGTCACCCAACTACTTACAGGGGTGAGCAGTGCGCGATTTTGATCCTCTGAAGAAATCCTTGTGCATCACTGGCTTGCCAGAACGATTGATCATTGGCTTTCGCAATCTAACTCAAAGTACTGGACTTTTTAACATCTGCACATAGCCACAATCCAATTTTCCCTTTTCTCTCATGGATGGTCCAAAAGATCAGATTGTTAGTCCGGGCATGCCTTGCTATTGTGAAACGGTGACTGGAGACTACGTGGATCTAAATACTTTTGCGCCTATACTCTCAACATGTGGGCCTAATAGGGGATTTAATATACGGAACAAGAACAAGGGTCCTCATTCCCTTTGCCTACGACTTTGGTGAAAAGGTACAGTTGATACATCTATTTGTTGCCTTCTCATATCGTTCCGTCCCACAGCCTTGCTCGTATAGATGTGTCAGCTTTACATCTGCCTTTGAAGGCTTAACTATTCTGGGAGTGGGCCCTGATGTTTACGCTAGCACAGTGAGTGAGATTTAAGAATGCTAAGGTGGGTCGTATACGAAGTATAAGCATTATGGCCTGAACCAATTAGCAGAGCTATTGCTAATCATCTGTATTTTTAAGATAAGAATGATGGCCATTATGCTTCGAAGGATTATGCTCTATGTTAAATACCTCTTCCCAAGAATTTCCTTCCCATTATCTTCTCCATACCTGCTCAAACACCATCATCGCTGCTATGACTATTTCACAATCCAATACTAAAACAGCACAACCTCATTTCCAGCGTCGGGCAGCATGTGACCGCTGTCGTGCTCAAAAGCTCCGCTGTGTTCAAGATACTCCAGGGACATCGGCCAAGTGTAAACGTTGTGCGGCAGCAGGTACAACGTGCAACTTTGGCATCCCAAAGCCTGCAGGTCGACCATCCGCCAACCGAACATGGACAGACCGGTCCCATGACGATGAAGCCACGAGGAGAAAAACGCCGATGAGAGCCAGCAGCAGCAGCCAAACCGACTTTCTCGACGACAACTTGGCCCAAGGCACAAGGAATACTGATGATGGTGACCATTCAGGAGCAACAAGGACAGACGAGACAATAGCGCCCCCATGGTCAGCCGAATGGTCACAGTCACATATATCTTCAGTAAATCCTCTGTTTGACGAAGCGAATCTGCTGTCAATATCCCAAGGTGGAGGGGATCTCATCGGCCTCGATGGTCCCAACCCATCCACACCATGGAGCCTTCCATTGAACCATTCGCCCCAAATGGAATTCCCCTGGGAAAGCCTACCCTCAATTAACAACAACACCGATACCCAGGATCTTCCGTGTTCCACGGCGGGTCCTGACTCTGCATTCATACCATCCAGCATTCAGACCGCCCCCGAGACGGAACATGACATAGATCAGCACGCAACAATAGCCAAGAGCCCCAGAAAGCATCTAGAGCCACAAGATGCGGTATCTGATTCGCGTTCAGATTATGAGGTTATTATAGAGCGCAAAAAACCGGAGATTGGTGGGCTATCGCAGCAGGACTGCTGGATGCAAAAGTTGTCACAGATCAGCATGGACCTATACGAGCTATCTACCACCAGCGATGAATTACACCGGGAAATTGAAGAGACTGGCTGGTTAGAACATTTCCCTCACCAGATGGCTGGCCGTCTGACGGAACTGTCAACTGCCTTTTTGGAGTTGCTGCAATATTTCCAACAGTCCAATGATGATCACCGCCAAGCGATTAAGAACTCCTCATCTCACAGCATCTCAATATTTTCTTCCAACAATTCCTCCTCCGACCTTAGTGACAATGAGGCTGTACCCATAATCGAAAATGTGCCCCCCAACCTCCGGCGAAAACCGAAATCCCAGCCTCGGCCCGACTTACCTTGGATGAACATGACCACGGGCCTGCAACTGGTAGCCTGCTATCTCCGTTTTCATCAGCTCCATAGTGTTTTGTATACAGCCATATACAATTATATTGCTGTCGACCAATCAGACAGGACAATGCTCGATATTCGCAGTCGCAACAGCAGCCGCAGTGACCAGGTTCAGAGACTAAATTTCCTGGGTAATCGTCCAACCATCTTCCTTGGCCTTCAAATTGGCGGCGTCTCATTAGAACCGTTTCATAACTTTCAGATCAAATTAGTGTTGCAAATAAATACGCATCTATTTGGAGAAATTGAACGTGCCCTTGGCCTTCCTGATGGCTATCGTGTTAGTAAGAAGAGGAAGGATGAAGGATCTGGCATTCTGGGAGGAAGCATGTCACCACGGTTGGTCGAGATGACCATGCGAGACTATGCCAGTGGTGATGTTGAAACAGAGCTGGACACTTTGTCAACCACGAAGAAGAGGCTGGCCGCATTGCGAGGATTGCTGAAGGGGACGATAGATATATGATTAATTGGCTTGACCACTAGATCAAATCATATTGTTGTATTTATCTACATCAACTACAATATGCCCCGTGGAGTACCCAAGGCCTATTTATAGAAAGTCTGGTGGCCATTGCCTAGCATTTATAATCACATCTTCCAGAAAGAGCAAATGCAATCTAATTCTACTTTCGCATAAACCCCATATCCTTCCATGCTTGGACGTACTTTCTGACCACATCTGCTTCGACTGGTCCCAGTTTGGCTAGTGTTTGGGAATGTTCTTTGGTTTTAGTGACATCCATCAGGAGCCCCCCGCAAGACATCCTCTGGAAGTCTAGCTGCAGGAAATCAATGAGCATCGCGGCAGGATTGTCCGTATCTGGCAACAGCGGCGAATGCCGCACTCTATCCACCCACTCTGTGAATGGAACTACCCGGTTGGGGGGGATATCTAGTGCATCAGCCAGGGTTGCAATCATTTCCTGCCATGGTTGGCCGACAGGGTTGTCGATGTGATAGATTGGGTAAGGCACGTTGTTGGCCATCACGAGATCGATGGCCGTGCTGGCAACATCATTGACTGGCACCCAGGAAAGAGTACCACTAAAATCAGGGAGAATGCAGAGCGACTGGCAGGATTTGAGCATGAAACAGAGATGTTCTATCGGGTTCCAGTATCCACTTGTCTTGGATCCGGCGATTTGGCCCGGCCGGGCCACCATCACACGAAACTGGTCTGGATACCGGTGCAAAGTGGCGTCGAGGATTCTCTCACAGGCGTTCTTGGCTTCGCAGTATCCAATTGGAAGGACAGATTTCATTTCCATGCGTTCCTCGGGAACATGTGTCCTCCCGCTCCAAAGGGGATAATGACCGACGACGCCAATGGAGGAGATCAACTCAAAACTAACCTTGAAGCCATTGGCATGCTGCTTTGAGACATCGCGGGCCAGGTCAATCAGGTTTCGGAGGGATTGTAGCTGGGGCTCAAATGCCTTGATGGGTCGTGTGCCGCTCATGGGCCAGGCGTTGTGTACGATGTGAGTGACATTCCGGACTAGCCAGTCATAGTCCAACTTAGGGAGTCCTAGATACGGGTTGGAGGTGTCAGTTGCGAACGACTTCAGCTTCGACTGTGCCGCATTGTCGAGGGACATGCCGCGAGATGACAGCGCCTCTTGCTGTCTGATTTCCACGGGGTCCTTGCGGTTGGGGCGGTTAACACAGATCACGGTCTTTACGTCCGGACGCTGTGCCAATTGGGCGACGAGATGAGACCCCAGACTACCAGTAGCACCAGTTACGAGAACGCATTGGTCCCTGTGGCTGGGAAGGGGAAGCAGCTGGTTCTTGTCGGAAGAGTTGGGAACTGAGAAGCCTGCAGAATATTGAGCAACGTATTTGGCCACCTCTGCCTCGCGAGATGCTGTATCACCGTCGATGGGCTCTGCCTTTATCGGCTTTGGTAGGCGCTTGTGCGGCTCTCCCGATGCCATGGCGATTATAACCTTCTGGATTCCATTCTCCGGTAAGTTTCCGTCGGTCCAGTCGACATGACCAAATCCGACTGACTGTAGATCCTTCTCCCACCGGGAAACGGGGGCAATGGCATGCGTACGGCCGTCGTCAAATAGCCACCAACCCTCCAGCAGACCAAAAATGACGTCGATAAAGGGAACAATGCCAGTCATCTCCAGCATCATAAGGAACCCATCGGGACGCAGCGCGGAGCGGATATGCTCGCCCGACTTGGTCAGACTGTGGGTCGCATGAATGGCGTTACTGGCGAGGACAATATGCTGATTGCGCAACTCCTCGGCTGGGGCCTTCTCTATATCATGTACCGCGAACTTCATGAACGGGTACTGTTTGAATTTGCGGCGCGCCTGCGCGACCATGGAGGACGATAGATCTGTAAATGTATATTCCACCGGCACGTTCAGACTCGCCAGGAACGGAGCAAGGACCAGTGTTGTTCCCCCAGTGCCAGCACCCATTTCGAGAATCTTCAGCGGCCCGTCCGACATAGGCAGACGAGATACGAGACGGGAAATGACATCTTTGATCTGGTTATACGACATGACGTTGAAGGAGTGATCACAATAGAGCGCAGACACAAGCTGGCGGCCCTCAATGGTGCCAAAGATCAGGCGAATACCATCGGTCTTGTCAGACAGGATATCGGCGAGATGCTTGCCGGCGTAGTAGGTGAGTCTGTGTGCGTAGCTCCATTCGGGATACTTCTGCAATAATTGATCTAGTATCGTCTGGCTGGATTTGTTCGGCACTGGTATTTTGGTTCGTATAATAACCCGTGAGTCCTGGACGTTAATAAGACGGGCCTCGTTCTCCAAAAACCCGTAGAGATAATCAACTAGTCGTCTATGATGGGGGGCAAACGGGATCCGCTGGAGAACCTGACCTGGCGATGTAGCCTTAAAAGAGCACCCCAGCAACTCAAAGGCTTCCACCACAAGGGCTACACACAGACGGTTTGACTGTGCCCAGATAGTGTTGCAGAAGTTGTCAATCTTGTAGTTGCGAATGAACTGGTCTGTCAACAACTTCGACTCCCCGAATGCTTCCATAATGTCTTTGGGGTCAATGTTGAGTTGCGAGTGAGTTTGTCCTAAGGCTGTCTCTGTTGTCTTGACCTGGCCCACACGCTCGTTGGGAGGGCTGCTGCTGTTGGAGTCTTCTGTTTCTTCCTCCGAAGAATCATCTGTAAATATATGATTATCGCTATCGTCTGATGTATCCTCGTTGTCGTCTTCATTAGCCGGACCGTACAGGGCATTGGCGATACACTTGACAAATTTGACGAAGTTCGTGGCCTCCATAAGCTCCTCCTGATCAAGAGTACATTTGAACACGGTCTCCACCTCGCGGGCTAGCTCCATTCCCATGAGAGAGTCGATACCAAAGTCCACGAGCTCCGAGTCATTCTGGATTTCATTGAGCTCGAGACCAGCAACGTTGGCGATGAGGGATCGAACATCCTCAGCAATATCAGGCCGGGAGGGCCCCTTCTCTGATTTCGCTTCCTGGGTCTGAACTGGCTCTTGTTTAGAGTGAACCGGCTGCTCTGGATTAGGCTGAGCGGCTGCTGGAGCCGTTACCAGACTGCTTGATGGGGGAGTTGGCAAAGACTCCGGGGCAGTGAGACGCGTGAGAATTCGACTCAAAGAATGCTTGGAAACTTTGGCGTACTGAATTCCTAGCATGACATCGACCAACATGCCGTTGGTAGGGCTGAAAACAAATAGATCTGTGACGTACAGTTTGTCTGACTCGCGGTGGTTGTAGGCAAACACATCCCACATTGCCGGGCCATTGTTGTTCTCATTTCTCTTAACCTTGGGCGAGCGCATGACCTGTTCACAGCCAGTGGCGATGAACATATCTGCTGTAGAACGGTCGGTCATGCAATTGACCCAAATGCCGCTGACTTGGCTGAAGCAGTCTGCGAGCACTGCATTAAGCCATGTCTGCTTGCCCTGGTGCTGTGTTTTGTGGACACGGCCAGCACATGTGTTTCCTTTTCCAACTACCTTGCGAACCCCCCGGTACATCTCACCGTAGTCGACAATCTCCGCAAAGGTCTTGTAGACGTTGCGACCCTGGATAATATCGTCCGCATCATCATCTTCAAGAATTTCCAGACACCGTGGGTGTGAGACCAGACGCTCCAGACGACTAAATTCCATTTGATACTGGAGGTCATCTGTGGCGCGGAATTTGATCTGGCCGTCGACGTGTTTGCTCTCTGTCTTGTGATCAGAGCCAGTGCTGACAATTTTCCAGGTCCAGTCGCGACGGCTGTCATCCACAGCCGCAAAATCAATCCAGACGCTGCGCGAGGGATCCTCACAGATCGGGCTGTGGTTCTGCATGTTATGAATTTGGGGCTGCAGTCCTTCCTTGGACACATCTGGCAACAAGCTGGTAAGGGATTCAATGACCATATCGACCTCGACCGTTGCGGGACAAATTGGTGCTGTTTGAACGATCAAGTGTCCCCCTACGTACTCCTTGTACTCCTTGGTCGTGGTGTTGATGCGGAAGCGAGGTGCACGCTGAATATCGTTGTCCTGGTAACTCACAAACGTCCACAACTCGAGAGGATCTTCGATAACTGTCGGAGTGGTGTCTTGAACAGCAGCCTTGATGGGCTTCTTCAGGTCCAGCCAGTGACGGGATTTTTCAAATTGGTATGGCGGGAGGATCAGGGGCGCATATGAATACGTTTGCACGGCATGGTGGGCCCAGTAGGTTACTTGTAGTCCTTCACTCCACAAAGAAACGGTGGCATCGACAAGGTTCTGCACTCCCTTATCGGTGGTCAGGTTCATGGCCTGGAAATAACTATCCTTGGAGGAGCTCAGCGCCCGGCTGGCCATGATAGTGATGGTCGAGCTTGACCCAGCCTCGAGCCAAATAGCCGATGGGTATTTTTTGGACAACCGCTGGATGGCTTGGTTAAAGAAGACGGGGTACCTCATGTGCTCTGCGACGAACTGTGCGGTCAGCTTGTCCGTCGACTGGGACCCGGTGGCTCTCTCCAGATGAATTGCCGGTTCCTTGAAAACGAGGCCCTTGCCGCACTCCTCCAGCATTTCAACAAGTGGTTGCACTAATGTCGAGTGGAAGGCGTTGGTGACATTGAGCTTCTTGTGTTTCATGAATGTGAACCTGGCATCCGTGGCAATGGTTCCAGCAATAGCTTCAATAGCCTCGGTAGAGCCGGCCAACGTAAAGCTGCGGGGACCATTGTAGCAGGCGATACTAGCTGGAAAGTGCCCATTTTTGTATCGAATGTTGTTAGACTCGAAGACCAATTTCTCAACGACATCTAAATCGCCCTCTACTGCCATCATAGAACCACTGTCGGGTCCCCAGTTATCACGCACAAGCTTCGCACGACGAGCTACCAGCTGCACCGTGTCCTTGAGACTGAGGACACCGGATATACATAGAGCGGTGATCTCGCCAAAACTGTGGCCGACAACCGCCTCGATATTGACACCGCTGTCCATCCAAGCTTTGGCACAGGAGTACTGCATGGCGAAGAGCATAGTCTGTAGCCTCACAGTATCTTTCACTGGTGTTCTTTGGAAAATTTCCGGATATATACCATCCAGACCAAGGGACATGATGGTATTGTTGCATTGGTCCAGGTAGCTGCGGAGGATCTGGATACTTTCGTAGACTTGGCGCTCCAGACCTATAAATGTCGAAACCTGTCCGCCAAAGCACAAGATTACAGGACGAGAGGCCTTAATAGCGGTGGTGGGAATGTTCTCTCCACCGGAGAACGAGGTCAATTTGTTGGTCAATTCGTCGACGGAGCTGCAGCTGAACAGCAAACCCTTTGGAAGTGTCCTGTTTGACTGCCGACACATGTTAAATGACAGGCTTGCCAATGTTGTTGTGGTGGACTTGAGGATCTGGAGCAGCCGGGTAGCGTACGCAGTCAGACTACGATCATCCTGACCGGCAAGCCAGAAGGGATGTTTGACGACAAAATGGATAGGGTCCGACTCCTTGCCATTGTGCATGGACTGCGTCACCACCATTGAGGCATTGGATCCAGATGCACCGTAGTTGTTAATGAGCGCCGCTTTATGTGTCTCAGTCCAACGCTGCAGGCTGCTCGGGACTTGGATCATGTCTGTTGAAGAGACCTTGATGTGGGAGCTCAACTTAGAGTGACTGGCTTGGGGCGGAATGTATCCTCGCTGCATCATGACGAGGACCTTGATCAGCGAAATGACACCAGATGTGCCCTCGGTGTGGCCGATAAGGCCCTTGACAGAGCCGATGGGCAAAGGTTTGGTTCTATTAGGACCGGCCAAAGCACGGAGGATACTTTCGTATTCAGCCGGATCGCCTGCAATTAGTAAGTCATTATTAGTACTATACACAAAAAAATGTTGGAGTCAGTGAACTGACCAACAGGAGTACCCGTTCCATGCGCTTCAACCAGAGAGATCTGCTCAGGCTCCAAGTTTGCCTGTCGGATGACATCTTGGAAGAGCTGTGACAGTGATGGCGCGTTTGGCACGAACAATGGCGTGCAATTCTGGTTCTGATAAACTGCCGTGCTGGCAATGTTTCCAAATATCTGGTTGCCATCGGCAATTGCGTCAGACATCTTCTTCAAGAAGACGCAGGCAATACCCTCACCACGGCAGTACCCATCCGCCAACTCATCAAACGGCTTGCACTGGCCTGTGGGACTCAGGAATGTTGCGCCAGCCAAGTTTTGAAACCAGATGGGATTCTCCATTGTGGCGACTCCACCTGCCAGAGCACCACCCGTGCATTCGCCGGTCAAAATGGCACGACAGGCTGTATGGATGGCAACCGCTGAAGCAGAACATGCGGTATCTATTGTCATTCCTGGGCCTGTCCAGCCAAAGTAATGGGAGATCTTTCCGGGAATGAAACTCTTAAGGTTTCCCGTAGCCGTGAAAGCATTGGGAGGATAGCACGCCACATTCTGTTCATAATCAGCGGCGCAGGCCCCAATATAACATCCGATATGCTTGTCGACATTGGCCATGGAGAAGTATCCAGATTGTTCAACAGCCTGGTAGGCTGTTTGCAACATGATTCGCTGCTGTGGGTCCATCGAAGATGCTTCGCGGGCACTCCTCTTGAAGAACCTGTGATCAAAAGCATCAATATCCCGCATGAAATTACCGTACCAAGTGCGCTTCTCATCAAGGTCGCGCCAGTGCGTTTCAAATCCAAAACGACTCTCCGGGACAGGGATATGCTGGGACTTTCCATTGGCGTTGATCGTCCAGAATTCGTCCAGGTCATCTGCACCGGCCACCTTAATGGCCATACCGATGACGGCAATGTCCTGGTCATATTGGGCAGACTTGGTATTATTTGGTTCGGGGTCTAGGACACTGGCCAAACGATCGGGGACCTTCTCATCCGGATCTGCGAACTGTACCATGCGGTTTCCCAATTCCCGGATGAGAGACGGCGGGACGCATCTGTCGGGGCCAAAGGAAATAACTCGTGAGCCCTGGTCATTCAGGCGGGACATCTGGACGGCCGCAAATGTCTCGTACCAGTTGGATTTCTCTACGAGGATGGAGTTGATCACCAGGCTGTGCATCTTACCGTCTTTAATGGACTCCCCATTCGCGTTGGTGTAGCTGGGGATAATCAGTTCACTACCTTTGGGGAATTGGAAGTCCTTGGCCAAGTCACAGAATTGAAGAACATGGTCAATATTCTCCTTCTGCTGTTGGCAATGAAACCGCCCATGAAGGCCAACTACAGCGGCTGTAATTCCAGTAGCCTTGAATTGCTGCAGGAGTAGAGGGGCCGTTTGATCAGAGCTGGTGATTGTGGCTCTTTTCTTGTCGTAGGAGACGGATATATAAGCCTATATATGTGAGTCAAGTCCCAAAATATTAATATACAGAATGTAATCTCACCTCTGGAAACTGATCAATAATGCGAGAAATCTCTAGGGCCTGCTCAGGTGTATTCCACGCCGTGGCAAACGACTTTGCATGTCCCTGTGCCGCCTCTTGTGCATCCACCACGGCGCCGATGAGCATCGCCAGACGGATAGCGACAGCACCGTATGTCTTGAGTTGTTCCTGGTTGGCTGCACTAGCCACGGCAATGGCACTGAGCAGCCCAGTGCAAAAGCCCAAGGTCTCTACCTTTTGCGTCGTGAAGTGGGTTTGCAAATCATCTTCGCATCTTTCACCCCGATTCAGCTCGAGATATCGGACATATTGAGTGAGTTGGGTGAGAACAACCAACGGGGTCAGTAGAATGTTGGGTAGGTCGAATTTTAGCTCATTGTCCACTCCGCTTTGGAACCAGCGATTGAGGTCGTTGAGCAGTTTTTCTCCCGGCAAAGCATCTAGGGTTGGTAAGACCTCGACAATAGTCTTCCATTGCTTTGGGAGATCTGCAATGGTATCGAGCGCCCAATGCTGAGTTGGTTCTTTGGTTATTGTCGATCGCAGTTGCTCGAAGGTCTGCTTGGAGAAAGAGACGATCTGAGGCCCGAAGAGGAGGATGGTGGTTCCTGGAGTGCCCGCCATTATAGTTGATATGATAGATAGAAGTTGGATATTCTATAGATATACAGCGAAGCAATGAGTATTTCACTAGAGACGAATACCGCACGATCAGAGCAGCCTAGTCTGATTGACAAGTGCTGATCTGATGAGATGGTCTGGACTTCGGAGGATTGTCTTCTACTAACACGACAGGAGGATCCGAAATCATGCCGAATTCTCCGAAGGCAGTATCTATAGTAATCAGATTAGGTTTTTAAGTGAACGGAGGAAAGCAAAAATATACATTCGTTGGCAAGTTATTAAATATATGTTTATGTATAATGATTTTTATGGGAAAATAGCCCGAATGGGTAATCAGACAATATTATATTGCTAGATATATAGTATAGTACCAATCAGAAGATCTAGAAAGTACTCTACGTTTACTGCACTCGATAAACCAACTTCCCCCCTCTCACATGTCCTCCCCTCAACTCCTCCAACCCTCGAATAATGCCATCCAAACCCCCATCCCGTTTTTGCACCAGTGCCTCCAGATTCAGCAGTGTCACAAGTTCATTTGACGCAGCCCAAAACTCCCTCGCAAATGCATAATCATCCGGCCGTGCCTCTTGCATTTTCCCAGCAAAGTTATACGCTTCTCCAAAAGCCGTGTATCCCGACCTCCAGCCGTGAATGACATCGTTTCGAGGAAACGGACCGGCCACGGGCAGCACCCCAACGTAGTGAGCCGCACCAGACCGAGAGGTCAGCGCATCCGCGCAAATCTGGCGACTCGATCCCTCAGAGATGCAGTCAAAAGCATAGAGGAGTTCATTGCCCGTGGCCTTTCGGATGGCTGTCGCACATACGACGGGGTCCCCATAGTCGAATGTTTCATGAGCCCCGAGGGTTTTGCATTTGGCCGCATTCCGAGGAGAACAGGTTGTTAAGACATGACAGCATGACAAACGGGCATATTGGATGGCAAATAGACCGGTTGCAGTGCTACCGCCGTAGATCAGAACGGTTGGTGAAAGAGTAGAATTACTATTGTGCACAGATGGCCATGGGAGACGTAGCGTTTGATAGAGAGCTACCATCCGTTAGTATATACCATGCTATATCATTGGGAGTTTCTTACCTTGACCTACAATGTTAATACCCACGCCAAGTGTCGCCGCCTCCGCATCACTGATGCGGTCCGGCACATGGATCGTCAACCCGGCCTTGAACAGACAATATTCACCAAATGCGCCGCTGGCAGGATGACCAAGTCTAATTCCATAGCACAGACCAGCGACTCTATCACCGATGCGGAATCGACCTGGTGGCACTTGGTCTCCTATCTCTACCACCTGTCCAGAGGCATCACAGCCAACTGTGTGTGGAGGAATGTCGTCAGGATTGAAACGAGAGGCCGCCTTCCAGTCGGTAGGGTTGAGGGAGACATGGGAGACCCGGACAAGAAGGTATTCAGGCTGCAGTGTTGGGATGGGGGCTGAGGAATCAACCGTGAGCTGGTTGGCGGCGGAGACTTTGACGGCACGCATGACTTTATTGTGATATTGTATCCAATTGGTATGCATTATTTTCCTATTTGGTAGCTTTTATTGTCCATTTTAATCCACCGAAATACTCCGACTCTTACATTTAAGCCCTGTGAAGGATGTTGGCCGGGGATATTCTGTGTATCCTATACTCTACTTCACCATGCCCTGGACCAAAATCACTTCTGGCCATTATCAACGGCCAATTGGGGAAAATGAATCCTTCATTAAGTTCATTGGTGATAGTGGCCATGTCCACCACCGCGATAACTGGTCCATAGCAGCGACGGCCTCCTTCAAGCCCCGTTCATCTCTTTTTGATCAGGATTCATCCGCATTGCTCCGCCGGGCATGGATGATACTCCGCTTTTACCATCCCAGCATTGCCGCCACTGCCACCGAGCAGATGGTGGATTATCATTGCGTGTCAGATGCAGGTCAACTAGATCATTGGGCTGATGAGACTTTTATCACCCACGTCGATAAATCCTCAACGCCCCAGCAAATCATCTCCAAACTTCAGCCCTCGCGATACGCCACCGTCCATTATCTTCCTCACAGCTTTCAGGTAATCCTGCACCTTTCTCACTGGCGGACAGACGGCGTTGGGGCATTACAACTCCTTGATGCCTTTCTCAAGGCAGTTATCTCAGCATTACACCAAGATGTGACCACCCTAGCTTGGGGAGAAGAATGGCAACGACTTACCCTGAGTGTGGAGGAGATTCTAGATCTCCCCATGACGGCCAGCTCCGAAATCCTCGATGCCAGCTCGAAATTTATCGCCACGCTGGCCAATACAAAGTGCGCCCTCGGAACGCCATATCGGGGGGATAACCAGACCGTCCCTGGAGGTACACAGAGTGTCCGAATTCGATTGTCGGCTCTCACCACGCAGACTTTGATTGACGCGTGTAATCGACTGGGTATTTGCCTTACCTCTGCCGTACATGCCGCCATTGCGGCGACTAACTTCCTCATCGCTCCTGTAGAGAGGGTAGAGAAAGGGAAGGAACAACATCATACGAGTACTCTCCGGGTGAATGTACGAGAGTACTTGCCAGCACCATATAATACCTCAGACTATGCAGCTGGTTTATATACTGGTGGATATATGGTCAAGGTATCCGATCCACAGAACTGGCTTGAAAATGCCCGCCTGTACGAGCAAAAATATCGACAAGGGGCTACATGTGAATTCCTTCAATCTCGTCGTCAGTATGCCTTGACGGTCAAGAGTCTGCTGCAGACTAGACAACCGGAAAATCAGCAACCACCCAGCAGTGGGCTGGATATTTCTAGCGTTGGTGACGCCGGAGTCCATGTGCAGGCGAGCTATGGCAGTGGTGATGCAGGGCTTGATGTGTGCAGCGTGAGTTTGGGGGTTGAGGTTCTGGCACGTAACATGTATTGTTTTATGTGGACATTTTGCAACCAGCTTGAGTTTAATCTGGTATATAATGAGGCTTTTTATGACCGGCAGTTTCTCGAGAATGTGTTGGATACTTTGCAGTCTGTTCTGAAGGAGAATTGTATATAGTGATATTTCCTTGAAATAACTACTTATTGACAGTACTAAATTGGAAGCTCGCCCTGTAAACCTCCTTTGCTTCTGTTACCATAGCATCAACATCATAATCCCAGATTTTCCTTGTTCGCTGTTCAATCTGTTCTTTGCACTTGTCTGGGTCACTTCCAGACTCGTGATATGTCCATTCGTAGATATCCGCTGTCTCCCTTGAACTACGCACCAGCCATTGCGTGCGCTCATACCGAACAGAACTGAAAGCATGAAGAGCCTGCACAATGTGCGTGGATTCTTCCATTTCTTCCAGAATACTTGCCAGAGCCAGTGCATCTTCCACCCCGAACCCGGCTCCCGCTCCATGATGCGGTGCACTGCCATGAGCTGCATCACCAGCCATACACACTCGCCCTTTGGCATAGAATGGCACAGGATGGGTGCCTAGATCGAAAATAGCCCATTTGGCCAACTCCTCTGGCAGTAGTTCGATAATGCTCCGTACAGCCGGTCCCCAGTGAGCAAAGGCAGAGGCCACCTCGGTCTTGTGTGCTGAACCAGCCATTTTCTCGATATTCGGCCAGACATCCCAGTCACGAAGGAAAATAACTATGTTCATCAGAGTGTAGTTGGCTAGGGGATAGTTCAAGACATGGGAACCTGGCCCCATGTGTAGACACTGGTTGTTGGCTTTGTCGGTGCCAATGGCTGCGGCCGCGGCCTCAATTGGTACAACTGCTCGATATGCAGCACGATGCGTATAGCTGGGAAGAGACGCTGGATTATCGGGGCCTAGTAGCACTTGTCGGACGCGGGATTTGATGCCATCGCAGCCAATAACTGAGTAATTTAGCTGAACTCAAACATCAAATGTATTGGATAGACTCACCAGCATCAGCTTCAGCCATGCTTCCATCCTCAAAATGCAGCATCACAGTTGGCCGATTCTCATCATCGACGTACGTCGCCAATCGTTTCTGGAATACGATTACATTACCCGGCAACAATTTGGCCAGCTCGTTAAGAAAGTGAGCCCGATGACAAGCCCAAAACTTCATCCCATCAATGGGAAGTTGAAAAAACAACGGCTCAAACGTCGGATCTTCCTCTCTTTGTTCTCCTGTCACCTGGGAATACCCATCCACATAACGATTATACGCCGTGACATTCTCGTTCCCGACTCTGCGTAAAGCTTCCAAAATACGCGGGTCCAATTGACGCATGCATTCCTGTGCTACGCCGGTAAAGGCAATTCCAGCGCCAAGTTCGTTGAGATCATGCGACTGCTCGTATAGAGTGACTTTGATGTTGCGTTTGAGGAGACCGAGGGCAAAGATCACGCCGACAAGACCAGAGCCGATGATGGCGACGTGCGGGCGCTTTTCTTCGCATTTGTCGGACATGTTGCAGTATATTTCTAGACAGACTAGTGTATTTCGCGCTTGAAGTATCATTTGCATCTTTATTGACATATCTTGATCCTGTCGGAGTTCGGACCAATTCGGAGGATTTTGTCGGTCAGCAGTGATCCAGCTGTAATATAAACAAACTACCTCCATTGTATACCCTTCAGATAGAACCACTTCAGACTGGATAAAGGAATTTGAACGATGACCAAAAAAACAGTGTTGATCACCGGATGCAGCGAAGGTGGCCTCGGGGCAGCCCTCGCCAACGCTTTCCACGACCAAGACTTCCATGTATTTGCAACAGTGCGCGACCCTGCAAAGGCCACCTCACTTGGAAGAAAAAATATCGAGATTCTCCCATTAGACGTGACATCACAATCATCCATCATGGAATGCCTCGAAGCAGTCAAAAAACGCACGGAAGGGAAATTGGATGTACTGGTCAACAATGCAGGTGCGCTCTTCTTTGGCCCACTTCTGGATGTTTCTATCGAAGATTCCAAAAGGCTATTTGATTCGAATGTCTGGGGGATGCTCGCTGTTTCGCAGGCATTCTCTCCGTTGTTGATTGAGGCTAAGGGGGTTATGGTGAATATCTGCTCCATTGCTGGTGCAGTGCGTATGGCATGGCAAGGTATGTTTTATCCATCTCTCAATTGATATATTCTGACTGGAAAAGGTATCTACAACAGCTCCAAAGCAGCCGAAACCTGGTTCTCCGAAACCCTCCGCATAGAACTCGAACCATTAGGAGTTCGAGTCATGACGGTCATGTTAGGAGAAGTAGAATCCAAGATATATACCAAAAAGCAGGCATTTCACCTCCCAGAGAAATCATATTATCGGTGTATTGAAGACATCATCACCAAACAGAGCAGCGGGGCTATGCAGACCAGCAATGAACCACCAGATATGGTGGCACGGAATCTGGTTCAGGATGTGCTCAAGGGGCGAAAAGGACAAGTCTGGAGGGGAGGCGTAGCTGGGACAGCCAAGTATGCGTCCTGGTTGTTGCCGACGAGGTTGTTCGAGATTATCTTGCATAACAGTCGGGGGGTATATCATGTGAAATAACCATTCAGTGTCTTGCCTTTGAAGTAAAATAATTATCTGTATTCTACGGGAGTGACTATCCCCTGGTAGCATATTTACACCGTTTTCGAATCCCCGGCCCATAGCAATAAAAGATGTACGGAAAAGGTGCACAAGCTAGAGCCAGAAAGGCTGGGATCATTGAAGCCCAATGGATCCCCAACCTGTTATACATTGGAGTCGTGAATAGAGGAAAGACAGCGCCAAAGATAGCCCTGCCAACCACACACACAGCCAGGGCAGACGCAGCAAACATGGTATATGAGTCGACTAGGTAGTTGATTGACCCGATGGTGACAAGTACGACTCCAAAACCAAACGGTGCTCCGGCCGAGATGCTCGCCATCCAGTGGAAATCTGGACTATTTGTCCAGGAGAACCAGAATAAACCGATGGGGATGGCCACACTACCAATGCAGCAGGAGAGAAGACGGGTTTCAGGAGGCGCCGGATTTGGTGCATGATGGGCGAGGATTTTGATATAGCGACGGTTCTCTAACAATTGAAGGACAACGGCACAGAGTGTACCCACCAGCACACCGAGGAAGGGCAGTCCGCTAATTCCTTGGGGCCAGCCGCGTTGTTGAGCGAAGACGATGGGGAAGGCGGCAAAGCAAAGATAGAGAGTGCCAAATACAACGGCCTGGTAGAGAGCCAGGATAACAATGATGGGTTCGTGTATCATCAACACCCATGGCCGGGATAGTGTTGTCCAGAGTTTCCGACCGAATGATTCACTGGAAGTGGTGGTATTGTCCATTGAAGAGATGTACACTTTGCCCGTAGCTGTGGAAAGTCGAACAGCCCTCCGACGTAGAAGAACAGGACGGTATGTCTCTGGTAAGGTAACGGTGATAATAATAGCTGCTATACCACTGAGGATGGCGATGATACCCATCAGCCAACGCCATCCAATGGATTCTGCCGCAAAACCTCCTACAACAGGGCCTAGGACAGGACCAAATAGAGGCACGAGAGCAAATACTGTCATTGCCAATCCTCTCTCCGAGGGCGGGAAGCAGTCGGCGATCACTCCACCGGCGTTGGTAAGGGGCGCTGCACCTGAAGCCCCGGAGAGGTAGCGAAGAACTAGGATGGACGGCATGTTGGGGGCGACACAGATGCCGACATTGAAAGCTGCATGGACGAAACTGGAGATGATGAAGATAACTTGTCGGCCAAAGAGTTCTAATATAGAGTACAGTATTAGCATATAGTATAAAGTGTAGTGTAGAGTATAGCAAGATACTCACCAGAAGTAGGTGCCCAGAGAAACGGCCCGAATATAAAGCCAATAACAAACAAGCTAACACCCAAAGTGTTGACCACGTCGCTGCCTCCCATTTCACTAGTTATTTCAGGAACAGCACTGGCATAAGCACTCGAGGCAAAAGTCACTGAAAGCGTGACAAAACCAACAATCAGACAAAGTGTCCATCGGATCCATGATTTGAACTGGAGAGGATCTCCTGGATCATTGTCCAAGAAGGTGACACGATATGGATCGTGGATGGTCCCATTACCGGCGTATTTGTAGATGAGAATGTCGTTTGTGAGGATGCCTTGGTGAAGTATCAGTTGATACCATGGGATTTTGGATTTTTCCATTGCTGATGGGTATAAAGGTCAAATTCTCAAGTATACACAAGTCATATATATGTATACTCAGCCCCAACTATCAATTGAGTAGTTGCTATTCAACCGAATGGAAAAGCTCCGAATGGAAGTGCCGACGAAAGGGATCTACAGAGTACTATATATAACCTGCATAGTGCATATAACCTGAATATAAGCGTCTATCGGGCAATTTTAATGTATAGTAATAACCAGAACAGGGATCTAGCTAACTGCGCTTATTTAACATATACACTGAGTCACAACGTACACAACACCACTCCGTAGTTACAATCTTCATAGTCGCTATTATACTCCAAACAACCTATGGATAAACAGTCGGCAAAGGATGATAAGCATTAAATAAACCACTAGGATCAATCTCTTTCTTCAATGCGGCCAGTCGCGGAAGATTTTCCTTAGAATAGATGGATTCCAGAGGTTCATTTCCATGAGAGAAGCCCACATAGGTGATGAGATCATTAGTTCCGGCGGTCTCGACAATAATATCGCGCATTTTGGCAGGGAGATTGTCGACTGTTTCGTCGGTGGTGGTGTTGTCCGAGTATGTAATGTCAAAGTTCCTATTTTATTAGCGTATGAAGAACATAATTATATGTTGAATACTTACATATGTCCAAGTAGATCCCGTCGATTATATGCAGTAGCAGTCTTGGGCACAGCCTTCATTGCCTGAATGGCAGGAAGATATATAGCAGCACCACTGCCGACAGTTTGCGGGAATTTTGCGTTCATTTGTTCAAGAACCTGAGTCATTTTCACCTGAGCTTTAGGATCGATCGTCTTGAAACCTGCGCTGTAGAGGGATTTGCGGTATCTGCCTTTTTCACAGGCTGCTGCACCGGCTCCTCCAAATAAGGCGGCATCGATCAACTTGTTCCACGGAACCATGGTGATATTCTGTACGAGGGGCTTTTGGTCAATAAGAAACTGGACGAGTTTGCGTCCTTCATCTTCAGGTCCAGCGTAGACGGCGTTGGCAATTAGCATAGTCTGAGATGTTAGTTGCCAACATATAAAATGAAGAAGAGAGAGCTCACGGCGTTGTAATCCGGATTGTAGGCCGCACCGGTATCAATAGAAAATGCAGCAGGCATATCCTCGGCCTCCTTGGCCAACTTTTCAAAGAAAGACTGAGTGGCATTCGCCGGATAAAGAAAGTCGGCATTCATATGCATGCCATTATTCACTTGATCATACACACGGAAAGTGGCATTCAAAACAAAACCAAAGTTGAATCCGGCGCCTCGGATACCCCAGAATAGTTCCGGGTTGGTATCTTCCGAGGCTGTCACCACCGTTGTGTTAGGTAACATGATTCGCACTGAAAGGATATTGTCAATGATTAGGCCATATAGACCTTGGAGACGTCCGATGCCACCGCCGAGGCCAGCTCCGAGCATTCCTACGCAGGAACTACTGCCAGTGGCTATTAAGTCAGTAATATAATTTATGAAGATAGAGAAATACGACATACGAAAGACCTTCTTAGCCCTGTATCCTGCTTCAATGGCGTCTCCAAAAGTGGTTGCCCCACCACAAGTCAAAGTGTTCGTATCTGCATCCACCACGACATGATTGAATGCGCCAGTATAAATTTCCAACCCGTTTTTAATCTGGCTGAGACCTTGGGAGAAGCCATGTCGAGGGCCAGTCACAAAGAAAGTAGTGTTAGTATCGGTAGCACATCGGATCTATATTCATTAGTATATATCAGTATATTATAGATTACCATAACATACCGAGGCAGCAACGTCCTCCTCAGTAGCTACTTTGGCCACAACCCTAAAGCTGGGAGAAAACAGGGTTGAATAGCGACCTGTATCCTGGATAAACCCTTCTTGGTCGGGGTGTTCCAAAGCTGTGTTGCTGGAAAGGGCTGGCTTCAAGCAGTTCACCAGAGAGTCAGAGCTGGCATTGGACAGTCCAGCCAGAGCTAAGAGGGATAATTTGAGAATGTGCATCTTGAGCCTGATTTGAGATGTACCTGGACTCTACTTGTAAATTAAACATAATTATATATAAATATACGGTAAGGCACCAATTGACCGGAGGATTCGGAGGATTATTTCGGGCTGTATTCAGCTAAAATAATGAACCAAGGACAGGGAGAATCGTTTAACAAAGGCAAAGAAAGCAAAATGACTACCAATGAATACCAACTGTCGGATCTGGATAAAACAATGCCAGACCATATGTTCACACTGTTTCTTATCTATCCAAAACCATCCGATTTCAACCTTGAAAATACCATTCTCTCATTGAAAAAATCTCTGGCGAATGCAGAGGACGAGATTCCTTTGATTGCTTCTCAACTTAAATTCAATAACACCACACCTTCGTTAATTCCATCCAAGTCAATCGATCTACAAGTCCGCAATCTCTTAGACGAACATAAATCTTATTCTGATCTCGCCGCTCATTCTTTTCCTCCAACAGACTTGGATCGTGAAATTCTCCTTCCTGCTGGAGACTCATCGCCTGCCTGTCGACTACAGTTGAATATCATCCAAGGAGGTCTGATTCTTGCATTCGGTGCCAACCATATGGTCTTTGACTTGTCATCTGCTCATGCGGTATTAAGTCTTTTGTGCCGGGGAAGCAAAATATACAGCTCCAACTGCTCTGGAGAAATGCCCACTTACCAAGCGGACATTAGACGAGATGCCTTCAAAGCTTCATCACAGTCTACTTCATTGTCCAAGCAGGATTTGATACAGAGACTCCCTGCCCATCGTATCATCAACTCTCCTCCTCTGACCTCAACACCCACCACCCGAGGGGTTTTGTATGAAATTAGAGAACCGGCTATACAGACTCTGAAGGATAGATGCAAACCACTCGGAGTCAAGTATCTCAGCACCTACGACTGCATTACTGCCTGGTTATGGACGAGCATTACCAGAGTTCGTTCGTCTGAGCGACAGAAAATAGACAGTCAATCCAGTTTCTTTCATCCAGTCAATCTCCGAAATCGCTTCCCTGCCGCTGTTCCCAGTAATTACATTGGAAATGCCGTCGGGGTAGCTCGAGCTGGTCCACTCGATATATCCTGTCTCCTGGGAGAAAACGGACTGTCCATTGCAGCATCACAAATACGAGAGTCAATCCAGAATGTCAATATGGATATTTTTTCCAATCTGGCTGCGTTGTATCAGGCCCTCGCTCCAACTGAACAGCTGGTGTTTGATATGGATACACAAACCGGTATGGATTTGATGATGACCAGTTGGTATGGAATCGACAATGCCGATTATGACTTTGGATGGGGAACTCCCCAGGCTGTCCGGACGTACAACATTGCCATTTCGGGCAGAAATGTCATCTTCCCCAATTGTGATTCATCGTCCCGGCGGTATGAATTGTTTGTAGTGTTACCTGTGGCAGAACAAGATGGATTGCAGCAGGATAAAGATTTTTTGACATTTTTCTCCATATGTAAATAACTCTCACTATCTGTCATGTTAATTGTACACAATCAATGCAGGTCCAAAGAGGGTAGCATTAGCAACATCAATAGGAAAGCTGAAATTCCCAATTCCCTTGACCACAGAAACAAGAGTCAATCCATCCATTTCCCATGTATCGTGAGGGAAATCCGCCGTGACCTTGACTTTATTATCATGGTTGCTGCTTATATTAAAGGGAACTGTCAACGGAGCGATATTACCATTAAGGTAGACCAGGGAATGGTTGCTCTCAACATCAACATTTGCCTTGTTGGTGAATTCAAATTCGATCTGTGTGTCCTTCACATCCTCCGTGGTTAGAACCAAAGGTTCATATCTCTGTACTGGAAGAGAAGCACCAGGGCAACTTCCCGGCACCACACTTGTCTGATAGATGAAACTATACAAGAAATCTCTTGGTGCAGGTGTCGACACTGGTTGTACAGATGGAGGCTTCCCCAGTAGTGACCGAAGCCATCCATTCTGCTGCCCGTAAACACTACTCCAACCAGCCAGGTTGAAGATGATGTTTGCGCCACCCGTGCCGAGATTGTTGGCTGTGCGTTGGACCATATCGGGGATATGTCCGATGAAGATATAGCTCAATCTAATGGCATAGTCGATTGCAGACTCAAAATCTGTGACTGGAAAATCGTATTCACACGGGCGGACTTTAGACCCATTGAAGCCGGTGACAGCCCATTCGGCGTCGTAGTATTGGATCTCTGCTGCACCAACGAAGAATTCAAGGGACTGGATGATGTAGGACTCGTTGTGGGATGAGATATCATAGCCGGGAACATGATTGGTGATGTTGGCAATCAGCTCGTTGTAGAGCGCTATAGTTGAGAGAGAGCTGAAGGCCAGAACAGCCCAGGAGGTACGATCATCCACGTCGAGGGTTGGAGCAGGAGGATAAGTTCCAGCATGCCCCCCTGCAAGTTGCTCGACATTTGCAATTGTAGATTTATTGCTAATGACAGGATAACCATCTTTGAGGGGAGTAAAGGCCGATTGACCAATGGATGTGAGAGCGAGGATGGCAAGGATGGACAACATGGTGGATGTCTAAAAGGACTGGATCTAGATTTGCATTGCTGAAGTCCTGCAGTATTATGTATTCCATCGGAGCTTTTAGGAATCCTCCGAATATCACAAATCAAGCTCCCTCTCTAAAACTTCCATGATCCTAAAAAGTAAATCCCTTGCCGATATATCATGATAGGCTTCATTATAATTCACCGCCAGATGCATTTCCCCCCGAAACGTCCACGGATACAATGTCATCTGTCGAGTCAGAATACTGCATCCAAAATGAAAGCCAACCACTTGAACTGCATCTCCATAGTCTCCAGATAAATATCTATCCACCACACCCAGGCTGCTGACAATAACATTACTAGGTGGCGAGGTGCGAGTTTCTATCGCGCGCTTGGATAATGTCTCGCCGTGGTACTGATAAAAAGGTCGTAGGGATCTCAGGTATAGATCGCTATACCAATTTTTGTATCTCTTTGTAAGTGATGTCGTTCTGGCTGTAAAACTGCTGTCTCGTTGTACAGTAGGATTGATGCCGGTGAGATATACAGCACAGGGATGCTGGCCTTGCATATTATATGGAGAAGGCAGATGGGGTCGCATGTTTACCGCGACAATAGTCGTATAGTCTTTCGATTGGTTTGGAGAAAGAGCAAAGACAGCATCGGCCAGAGCGGCATGAATAGCAGCTGTGACGCTAATGTTGGACATTCTGCACGCAGCCACCAATGCATCTGTTGCTTCTTTGGTAAGGATAATCTTCTGTCCCTGGGAAGATCCTGGTGGAGTCGATAGATTCCCTTTGTATGGCACACCGGTAGTTGAATGGCGATGATTCTTCTCGACGAGATTTCGTGCAAATTCGTCCATATCAGCATCAACTTGAACCGGGGAGTTGGCAGCATCTTCCATGGGTGGAGAGAGGTGATACATTTCCCTCCTCCATTCCAAGCAAGATAGATCGACAGGGTGAGCGGCAAGATAGAATAACCGATCCAGCAACATACAAGTCCCAATGCCATCAATGCGCCAGTGCGAGCTGTGAAACAGCACCTCTGATGACCAAGGAAAGTAATACAAACACGGCAACCGCTGGAGATGAAGGCATTCAAGAACCTCTCCTAGTTTGCGCCTTTCCTCCACTATCATCGTCTCATTTGTCCATTCTTCTATCGCGGCCATACCATCAGGCTGTTGGTAGATCTTGGTCGGTCCATTTGTAACGAGACTGAGAGTGGGACATTCGAACCTCAACGCCTGCCATGCTTGTCGTAATGCAGTCGGAGGGTCTGGAATCGGAGGACCGAATCGAACGTTGCATACGGCGTGAATTGAACCATGTTCTTTGCCTACGCCGATGAATGCCTGCGACATATTGTAAAAGGCTCTTTCGGCGCCATCGAAAGGTTTGTTCCAGATGCCAGGCTTGCTTTCGGTCCAGTCCATTTTTATCCTTTGTGTAATTACATCCAGTGAGATATTTGGAGGTGTAGTTATATATGTATATAACTATATGTAATATATTAATGCTCCGAATGCCTAACCAATCCATTCTGCATACTGACTCCATTCCACATCCGACTTTAGGTCATGTAATTCCCCCTCGTTCAAACATACCAGAGCATCAATATCACCATCTTCTGTTTTTGGCATAAAATAAATCAATCCTCTCACAGGCACAAAATCTGGCCGTCGAATCAATGCCGGTTTTCCAAGTCCTCCAAATGATACACTATACAGATCCAGTCTTGCCCAGGAAGATGACCCGATATCATGGTCTGGATTAAACGTCCCAACATAACTAATCGTCGACTTATCTGGCTCCTCGGCGATAAGAGTAGCGAAACTACGGATATATTGACTGTTCCGACCGATCTTTTGGATATTCTCCCGCATCCGCGATGCCACAACTGACAGGGATGATGTAGTGAGTTCATGGAATGTCATGCTGGTATGAGCATTGGTTACTACGTCGCCCAAGTATTCTTTCGACACCCCCAATGCTTGTCTGCAGTCAATTGCTCGACAGAATCTGGCGGTTGTATCTGGTTGTTGGCCTCGTGAGAGGCGGACCCTGCCGATGGATCTCCAGATAAAGGCGCTTAGGGCGTCGTCAGTGGACGGCGACGAGGACTCGCTTTGACTGGCAGCTTTGAGAGTTGCGAGAGTTGATTCGTTGAAGCGGAAATAAGTCCATTGGGAGGGAGGACCCTTGGGTGGTTGTGGTGGTGGTCGTTGCGACACTGGAAGACATCGCATGTGGCTGTGGTCATGTCGCGGTTCATCTGGGCCAAGTAGAGGGAAGATAGTGGACCGATCCTGGTTGCCTGATTCAATAGTGGCAGGGGCGAATTGATCCCCACAAAGACAAATGGCAAGGAGTCGAAAGACCTGTCCGATGCCGGTCATATCAAGCATATTATGTTGAGCGGCGCAGTCAAGCAACAGTCCGCCTTGGATCCAAGTCACTTGGAATTGTAACACCGGAGCCTCTGACTCGTCATAACTCTGTGGAAACGCATTTCGAGGGGACAGAACCGTGCCGTCGAATGATGAGATTGCACCTTTGGTGGAGACGATATCTTGATAGGTCGGGAGCATCTCCGAGTGATCCTTAACGACCAGGATCTCAGGCACTACTGGGCCGCGATGAGGAGCAGTGGTGAACATACCGGACGATGCAGCAGTAACTCCGTGGTGGAGAACACAATCACCGAGCCATGGAAATGCAAGGATCATTCGATGGATGGCAATCTGGAGGGCGTTGATTGTTCTATGACGGTCAAAGTGGTTTGGAAAGGGGAAACATAATAGAAGATGAGTATAGGCCTTAAGTAAGGGGAGTTGGCCCAAGACATCTTGCATTCCTGGTCGGGCGTCCATGATCAACAAACGGATGATGATTCAAGCAACAGAAGATGAAAGATAAATGCATCATATTCGGTGAATTGATCATCTTCGGTGGATTGATCGACTATTTCGGAGGATATAGTATAGTATAATAAGTCCGACGGAGTTAGGTTATGTCCGCTGCTTTGATTTACAGTATAATAACAAGTCATTGTCCCTAATCTCAACGTCTCATCATCTCGATAGCTCATCATTTCAATTAGTCTGAAATTGGCATATCAGTCTACAATCAACATGACACGCATCTTCATGACCGGCGCCAGTGGCTATATCGGCTCTGTCGTCGTCGAACAAGCCATTCCTAAAGGATACCAAATCTACGCCCTCTCGCGATCCGAAGCCAGTGACGAGAAGATCAAAGCCCAAGGCGCAGTTCCTATTCGGGGTGATCTCAAGTCCTACGATGTCCTCCGCGAACAGAGTGCCCAAGCTGATATTGTCCTGCATCTGGCCGATGCCTATGCGGGCAACTTTGGCATGGACTACGCCGATGTCGTCCGTATCGACAACGCCGCTGTGGATGCCATCGGTGCTGGGCTAGAAGGGAGCAACAAACCTCTCGTCATCACATCCGGAACATTGGTAGTTGAACCGACTGGAGGCGAGACAACCGAGGAGTCAGCCTTGTGGGACAAGCCTCTCAACGACCGTATCAGCTCAGAACAGCACGCCATGAAGCTAGTCAACAAAGGCATCAAGGTCTCTGCGGTCCGTCTCTCCCCTTTTGTCTACGGCCGTGGTGCCAGTGGTGTTCGTCTTTTCATGATGATGTTTGCCAATGGCGGCGAAGTTTTTTATGTCAACAACGGCGACGTCAAAACCTCAGCCGTCCACGTCGATGACGCCGCTACTTTATTCATCCTGGCTGCTGAAAAAGCCAATGTTGGTGATATCTTCAACGCTACTTCCATCAACGACGTCACAACCCGTGAAATATCTGAAGCCATTGGGTCTATCCTTGACCTCCCTGTCAAGTCCTTCTCATATGATGACACCGTATCTAAATTCGGCGAGTTCCTAGCTCGTTTCCTTAATGCAGAGAACCAGCCATCTGGGGCTAAGGCGAAGAGTCAGTTGGGCTGGGATCCCAAGGGCTTGAGCATTATTGATGATATCAAGATTGGTTCGTATGTAGCTGTTGCTGAGGGGTTGAAAAAACCTGTTGCTTAGATACTATGTTTCGATAGATACAATAGAGATAAATCCAATATGGGTGGCTTCATGATCAATCTGCTGCATAATGTAGATATTAGATATACTATAGATTGTATTTACATACCTAAGACATGGCAGCACTAATCCGAGAATTCGAGGTTACTCTTATTATATACAAAATATAAAATAGGCTGCCAATACTCACTTAATCTAACCCATTCGCTTCATCAGCAATGGTGTCTCGGGAAATACAAACATAAACTCGTCAATATTCATGTTAGCTGGCCTCGACGCTCCCTCCGGATACCTAGCCTCATACCGCAACAATATCGTGGCCAGAATCATCTTCATCTCGTTTGATGCAAAGAACCTACCAGGGCACGAATATTTGCCGTATCCAAAATGCATATGGTTCTTGTCCGTCATGGCGTGTTGGTGTTTCATCGTTTCTTTGGGGTTCTTACGAAGATGATAGTATCGGAGGCCGTCGAATTCGTCTGCATTTTCGATCACGTTTGGATCCTTGGAGATAGCGTAGGATGGGAGACAGATGTGGGCTCTATGTGGAAGATGGATGCCATCGTGGAGTTTGATTCCTTCAGGGTCGTCGACGATTCGGTGGAAGCTCACTGCCTCAGTTAGTAGATATTTCCATTAAAAGATAAGACATACGTAGGCTTGGGGGATTGAATCGTTGTGATTCTCTGAAGAAACTATCCATCTTCCGCATTTTATTCAAAGACTGCTTTCCCCATCCCTCTCCATCCTCTGCCACAATTTGGTTCACCTCTTCTCGCAAGATATCAAAATATTCCGGCCTCGCCGCCAAATCGAAGATGACCTGCGCCAACGCGGACCCTGTGGTGTGAACAGCCGCAAGACTCATCACTAGCTGGCGATAGGCAAGGTCCTCAGGATCACTGTCTTTTTGTCCGGGCGTTGAAAGATCCATCATCGCTTGCAGGAGATCCTGGGGTTTTTCGTAGTTGGGATCGGTGGTTTCCCTAAATCGTCGCTGTCTGATTTCTGGAGCTAGAATCTTCTTCCCTTGGCGAATGCAAGCTCGGTATTTCCAAGAGGATGGCAGGAAGAAATCCAGAAATGGTCTGAAGAAGGGTGGAAAGGCTCTCAATGTCATTTGCACCATGGTGACTTACTTGCAAGTTAGTATGTACTACTATTTATGAGGAAAGGGATATTATACCATGATGGGAGAATCCAGCTGCGGCATCCAGCCATTTCTCATTGCGGCAAACTGGGAATCCAACAAATGCTCGATTCGACATACGAGCAATTATCTTGACCATCACGGGAAGAAGGGGGATCGATGTCCAGTCTATATTTGGTCAGTCATTTACTCAACTCTAGGAGACGACAGTCAGTACCTTCCATTACAGGCAGATCATGAGTGAGCGCATATTCCAGTTCATCTCGCATATCATCAGTCAGTTTGGCTAAATTTGGCGTAACTTTCGTCTGGATGGCTCGAGTTCCAATGTCGCTTTCGACCAGCAGCTCAATACCACCGTATCGTCCACCAAAGTTCTATTCTATCAGCGATGTTCTTGGACATGAATGGATATATTCTTACTCTGACCAAAGCCTTGATTGAATTCAATCGCTCAGAAGGCAGATTGCGCAACTCCTCAGCATACTTGTTGGACAACACAAGAATATCCCGATCATTTCTCAATACTTTGTACATTGAGTTTTTGTACTTCATGGATTGATTAGAATAAAGCTTTCTCCTTCGATATTATGCGGAAATACCTTTTCATATCCATTATTGATCATTTGCAACGCCCCCTTGGCGAAACGCATCCGCACCGACAGCGCTGGTTCAGCCCAGGATCCATATCCGACCAGAGGTGCTGTCACTCCATCCCACGACGGCATGTACACTCGGAACACGAATGTTGTAGTTAGGATTATGGCAATAAGCTGGCCCCAGGTAAGGTATGTCCAGTTCCATGAGAACACCTGAGGAGTGCCTTTAAACACTGTTTGATTATGATCCATCGTTGCTATGTCCAGTAATTGTCATATGTAGTGAATGAATCCATATCAATCCCGTTTTATACAGCTACCAAATTGATATCATTAGCAGTCACGCTGTAAGAAACCACCGATGGTTGGATTATTACTCCGAAAAACATCCGATGAATATCTGATGCCACTATATAGTCCGAGTGGAAGCATCGGCATATTAGACAAGACAAGCACATAGATTGACGGATAGAAAGCCTCTCATTCAATATCCAAGTCAAATATTCAACCATGACTATCTCCTCGGGTCCTGAAACCATCCACAAACCTCGCATTCTGTGTCTCCACGGGGGAGGCGTATCAGCCAAAATCTTTCGTCTCCAAGCCCGGCGTCTGATCAGCACACTGGCCCCATATTTCCGCCTCGTGTTCGCCAATGGCCCTTATGCCAGCGAGATGCACGCTGACCTCAAACCAGTCTATGGTCAAATAGGGAAAGGGACATGTCGTCGATGGTCACGCTGGCTGCCACATCACCAGACTTCTGACAATAAAACTGCAATAACTGATATCGAACATAGTCTCTGTATGGCAATGAAAATGGACCCGGGGACCGGGGAGTGGGTTGCGTTGATGGGATTCAGCCAGGGTGCCAAATTAGCCATCAGTATTTTACTCGAGAACCAGTTCCGGAAACAAGAAGGTCCTCATCTTGAAGGGTTTGCTGGCGTCTATTGGAAGTTTGGAGTGATTCTTGCAGGTCGCGCATTGCCTTACGCTCTCAGCCAGAGAACGCTGGGCAATCTATACTTTGACCCCCCAGGCGAACTCCCGTTTTTGAATGTGGATACAGTCCATTTCCCAGATCAGTTACAGACACCGACTCTGCATGTTCATGGTTTGCGGGATCAGGGATTGGAGATGCATCGGCAACTACTCCATCATTTCACGAGCAGGGGAAGCGCATTGTTGATTGAATGGGATGAGGGCCATCGTGTTCCGATTAAGACGTGCGATGTCAATGCAGTGACAAGTGGGATTCTTACAGTTGCAAAGGTATGTGTTTCTACAGTCTATCGGATGAAAGGAGCATAGCTGATCGATATAGGCTGCGAATGTGTTGTAAAAGAATAGTCTTTTAGAGATCATGGGTTGTGTATAATTGCTTATAATACTAGAATTCATTATTATTGCGAACACTACATATTAAAGAGAATGAGTAGCTCAAGGATTGGGGAATCGGAAAGTCGATTATCCGGACTGTACGAGGTTATAGGCGAGGAATCTGAATTACACGAAAGAGTAATACGTTAGTCTTTATAGACACCGAGATAGTAAAATGAGTGCTTAGCTATCTAAAGCGTATGGCTACGGCGCTCTTATGAGGAATCTGTCGGCCTTGCTAATCGGGCCGACTATTAATCCATCTTGACTCTCGTCACTGTTGGCGGTCACGTGGAAGCCGGAGTTTCGGGGATCCGGACATGATATCCCCGAAGCCCCGGATGATCGTATTGTATTTAGATCTCCTGACGAATTTCTCGATAGGGCTAGTTCTCGGCGTATATAAATCTCTTCAGCCATGAGGATCGATATGACGGACAAGCATCACTCAGCTCTCAGGAGCCTAACATCGACCAGTCTGTGCCATGGGCAAGAGAAAAGAAATCGCGACGAAAGGTGAAGCGTTAGAGAAAGATGGGGAGTCTGAGCAGACTGCCTCGATGGGCAGCTATTTTGTATGTCATACCCAACTGGTAGCTGATATGTTGCTAACTAGTTTCTAGAGGCTCTTTTCCTATATCACAGGGAAAGACCGTATTGCTCTTGCATTGGCACTTCTATGCTCAATTGCGTCTGGTGTGGTATGTTGATACCCATAGTGTGGATAGGTATATCATGTCTGACAACATAGCCCCTACCACTTATGAACATTATCTTCGGTAACCTCGTGGGCGAGTTCCAGCGATATTTCATGCCAGACACGCAGGTAACAGAAGGGGAATTCAAGGCTTCCGTCAACAAATTAAGGTGAGTTTACTCTATCATACTCCTAGGGTAGGGACTGACTCTTCAGCTTGTATATCGTGTACTTGTTTATTGCAAAGTTTGTTCTAACATATGTCTCAATGGTGAGCCCCATGACACTCATTCGGGGAGCTTGGAATGGTTACTGACTATCTAGCTTTCCTTCCGTGTTATCGGTCTTCGGGTCTCGTCCAGTGTACGACTTCACTATATGCAATCTCTCTTCGCCCAACCCATCAGCAAACTGGACGAAGTATCCGTGGGAACCGTCACCAACACCATCACAACCCTATCCAACACCATCCAGCAAAGCATTTCCGACAAGCTAGCTATTCTCTTCCAATCTCTTGCCCTACTCATTACTGCATATGTCATCGCTTTCAAGTATTCCTGGGCGTTGACCCTTGTCACGAGCTCTTCGTTATTGTTCATCCTTATCTGCTGCATGTTTATCATGCCTGCCATGACGAAAATCCAACAGCAGGTGGACAAAGCTGACGAACAGCATTCTTCAATTTCAGCAGAAGTGCTCAGCTCCATTCGGACGGTGTTGTCCCTTGGTGCCGAGGAAACGCTAGCCACTAAGTACGCAAGCTGGGTCGAAGAATCACGGAAACGAGGGCAAAAGATGTCTATCGTACTGGGATTGCATCTTTGTCTGATGTTCTTCGCGATGTATGCTAGCTATGCGCTGGCCTTTTGGTTTGGATTGAAGCTTTACCGGGAAGGGCATATTGCGGATATCAATACGGTTGTCATGTTAGTATTTCCTTCCTCTTCCTGACTCTAGGTATGCTAACGATTACAGCGTGTTTTTCTCAGTCATGATGGTGGTGAGCGTCCTGGGAGGTATCGCATCACCGCTAATTATCATTTCCAAAGCGACCAGTGCGGCATCTTCTTTTTTCGAAATGATCGACTTGGAGACGATAAACAGAGGCGGACTTAAGGACCCCGAGGCTTCATCTGATGTAGATATTACATTACAAAAAGTGCACTTTGCGTATCCGACCCGCCCCGATATCCCAATCCTGAAAGGCTTTAACGCTCGATTTCAACAAGGCAAGACAACGGCACTAGTCGGTCCGTCTGGCTCAGGAAAAAGCACCATCGTCGGTCTGTTGGAGAGATGGTTCGAACTGGGCACGATGAAAGGGGCCCATCAGGGGAATATTTTTGCCGGTGCACATAATCTCACTGGCCTCGACTTAAAATGGTGGAGATCACAGATCGGACTTGTGCAGCAGAATCCGTTTCTATTTGATGACACCATTTTCAACAATGTTGCTTTCGGTCTCGTTGGCACGAAGTGGGAGCACGAAACCCACGAGGTCAAACAGAAACTTGTTGAGAAAGCGTGTGAGCAAGCTTTTGCTGACGAGTATATCAAGCGGTTGCCAGAGGTGTGTGCATCATCTACTTGATGTTTTCGAAAATTGCCACGGCTAACTGTCTCCAGGGCTATGAGACTCTCGTGGGAGAAAGCGGTAAAACACTGAGTGGTGGCCAGAAACAACGTCTCGCCATCGCCCGAAGCATTGTCAAGGAACCTTCGATCTTGATTCTCGATGAAGCGACTAGCGCAATTGATGTCCACGGGGAGAAGATCGTCCAGAAGGCTCTAGATCAACTCTCGAAAGACCGTACTACCATTGTAATCGCCCACAGACTATCGACCATCCGGAAAGCTGATCACATCATCGTCTTGAAAGACGGCGTTGATGTCGAGCAAGGCACCCATGATGACCTTCTGGAAATTGAGAACGGAGTATATCGTGGTCTCGTGAGTGCTCAGAGTCTTGCGCATTTGACCGATGACGGTCCGGACGGAAGCGAAGGCCTTGATGCTCTAGAAAAAGAAGCCAGCACTGTCCAGGCTTTCCACGAGCCTGAAAAGGAAGAAAAACCACAGACATCATACAAAAATAAAGGTTTTTTTCGCAGTATTGGACTGATACTATACGAACAACGTGCTCATTGGCCGTTTTATTCTCTAACGCTCTTGGGTGCTGCTGGTGCTGGATGTAAGTGACCTCAATATTCCCGGATGTGTCATGGATTGCTAACGAAATACAGCTTCCTACGCTTTACAAAGCTGGCTATTCGCACACATCATTGAGGTTTTCGGGTATCAAGGCCAACGGCTCACAGATGCCGCTAATTTTTGGGCCTTGATGTTCTTCGTTCTTGCACTGGGTGTGGCCCTTTGCTATTTTCCCGTGGGATTCTCATCTAATACTTTCTCGATGGTACGGCCCAATCCCTCGACTTACTTGCGAAATGCTAACACGCAATAGAAAGTTTCATCATTCTACCGAGAACAATATTTCCGCAACATCCTCCGAAAACCCATCCCATTTTACGACTTAAACGAAAACGCCTCCGGATCCCTCGTCTCCCGCCTCTCCACTGATCCGAAACAAATCCAAGATCTACTCGGTGCAAACGGCGCCTTCCCGCTTATTTCAATCTTCAACATCCTTGGCTGTATCATCATCGCTTTCACATTCGGCTGGAAACTAAGTCTTGTTGCTGTCTTCGCAGCGATGCCGTTCGTCCTGTTAGCTGCATTCATGCGCATCAGATTTGAACTACAGTTCGAGGCTATGAATGCAGAGGTATATAGTGGTAGTTCGCAATTTGCGGCAGAGGCTATCTCGGCTTTCCGGACTGTTTCGGCATTGGTGATGGAGGATGCGATTCTGGGGAGGTATTTGGGCCTTTTGCAGACGCAAAGGAAGAGGGCTTGTCGGAAGGCATGGTATGCGACGCTCATTTTTGCGTTTTCGGATAGTGTTGAGTTGTGTGCTATGGCACTTACATTTTGGTAAGTCCTTTCCTATCACCTTTGATGTGAGTATAGGGCTAATAGATTGGACAGGTACGGCGGACAACTCCTCGCATCGAGAGAATATGAACCTAGTACATTCTTTGTCATTTACATGGCTACCATCCAAAGCAGTCAATCGGCCGGGCAGTTTCTGAGTTTTGGACCCAATATCGCGCAAGCTGTGGGCTCTGCCAACCGTATGCTGAGCTATCGTCCGACTTCAGCCCCACGAGACGACCTCAAGCAACTTACACCATCCGAATATCAATCCGCAGCAAGCGTCGAGCTCCGCAACGTCACATTCAAGTATCCATCACGGGAAGTTCCGCTATTCACTGGTCTAAATCTCAACATCAAAAGTGGCCAATTCGTTGCTTTCGTTGGACCATCTGGCTGTGGAAAGACTAGCGTTATATCTTTGTTAGAACGATTCTACGATCCAGCCCAAGGAGCAATTCTTGTCAATGAACAAGATATCACCTCCATCGGAATCTCATCCTACCGCAAAGCATTAGCATTAGTAACCCAAGAGCCACGCCTCTTCAACGGCACGATCAAAGAAAACATCACCCTTGGCCTCGGAGACAAAGGCATAACGGATGGAGAACTGACACAGGCCTGCAAAGACGCCGAAATCCATGACTTCATTACCTCCCTACCCGACGGCTACGGAACAGCCCTTGGCACAAGTGCCCAGACAGCGCTGAGTGGAGGCCAGCAGCAACGTCTCTGCATCGCCCGCGCTTTAGTCCGAAAACCATCACTCTTACTATTAGATGAGGCGACATCAAGCCTCGACTCGCAGTCTGAAAAACTCGTACAAAGTGCTCTTGAGCGGTTAGCAGGACGAAGAGAGACAACTATTATCGCAGTTGCGCATCGACTAGCGACGATTCAGAAAGCAGATGCCATCTTTGTCTTCGGGGAGAGCCATAGTGGGAAGGGGTCGAGGATTGTTGAACAGGGGACGCATGGGGAGTTATTGAGGAGGAAGGGGGGTTATTGGCACATGGTGAGTTTTGTTCGTGTTTGTTCTTTGATAGATTTTGCTGACCTATTGCAGTGTCAGGAACAAGCGCTAGATAGATGAAGTTTTCTTCACTTTTACTTATTTATTTTTACCTCGAACAATGGGCCTGGACGGCATTATATATGAAACCAGAGATATTAGTGCTTCCAGTCTCGCAAGTGGATTCCAGTAGACCCCAGCAGTGCGGCATTCCTAGCCTTTGGGGACCCCATGTGATTGAGGTACTTTCCTAGCCAAAGGCGATCAGGCGGAACCTTCATGCGATTTGCAGTGGAGACTTGGGAAGAAAGTACAAGCAGATCCTACAGCAGGCACAATTGACCGCGTTGAATCGATCTCGAAGCGGATCACGTACAATTCCTTATTGCGAGCATTGGAATCCATTATCATGCCTCGTCTCTGATATTGACCACGGCGATGAATATTTGTATGAGTCAAGTGCGAGCCGCCAGATTGACGATATAGCTCCGGCCCAAAAGACGCCAGCCTCAAGATGAACAGAGAAGCGGGGAGAAAGGTTGATATCGTTATTCCACAGGAGAGCAACCACTTCCTGTCCACATTTACAGTCAAAAGTGCAGGATTGTTGGGATATTCAGCCGTATTTTTGTAATATAAACATCGTGATTTGAATCATCCCGACAGCTGCTGACAGCCAAGGCAGATCAATCATGAAAATAGAAGTACAGACTAACAAAGATACACATCATTGCATATCGTTAGCTTCCAGAATCCTGAGTTAGTGGCGTAATTCAGTTGGAAGCCAACGGGTCTTTGCGAATACGGCACTGCATCCTTACTGTCTTCCAGCAAATGTATGCCAATTAATTGGCGCAGATGACACAGATATTGGGACAGTCCCCCACTTAGCTAGCAAACAACCATATCACCGTGCATAAGCACATCCATAGTATCGTCTATGCCTTGGATAGGGTTGGCCATCACACTCGTGGGATCATGATCAATAGCGACTTTGATTGGCAGAGATATACTCCCGGCGCTTAAAGTTATTTTTATCGCTTGGGTGACTTATCCGATTGGGTTCCGTAGTGCTGGTATAGATTTATGGATATGATTGGTCAGTGTATGCATTACTATTTTAAGCTGACAGGGCGGGGTGTTTGCTTATTTGTGTTATGGGGATGGTTATAAACCCGGGGATTCCTCGAGGGAATCCACAAGACAACTTCTTTTACTTGTATTCTCTTGAACAGCTATGGGTGTTTTGCGATTTCCCCGTCCCCGTCCAACAGGCATCTATGTCCCTCGTTCGACTACACCCATTCTCACTACCGATATGATCTCCCCTCCACTATCGCCTAGTATCTATGGCGAGTCGGATAATGTCACTGCATCGATCATCCCCGCCCTCGAATACATCTCCTCCAAGCTCCAGCAGAAGCTCGTGCATATCACCCTATTGATCGGCCGGGGAAACCCATTCCCTGCATCCAACGCAGGGAACCAGATAATGGTTATCCCCGTCAGCGATCTAGACGAAGCGTCATGGCGCCTCCTATACCGGACCATATCCAAGGCTGTCCGAAAATTCGCACTCGACAATAGCTGGATGGACGCTTTGGCCCGGTGTCAACATGAGCGCGACGCTCACTGGTATCTCATTCAGCAATCCATCCGGCAGAACGAGGTAGTCTTCAGCAGTGAAGGGTTGACACTGCTGAACATGGATCGGATCTACACATTCAAGCGCCGACTGTGCATTCTCTCCCACCGAGAGCTGGATGTCTCAGATGACCATCCATACATCGCGTCCTGCGTCCGTCTCCTTCACCGCACCATCGCCGATTTCCAAGGCCGCCCATTCAGCAAAGCCTTTTTCCACCGCGTGTACGAACAATTGGACGTCCGCGACGAGCACCTCGCCCGCATAGCGCGCGTATACCAATCCGAATACCAGCAAGAAGGAATCGTCCTCCCTCGCCCAACCCCCCAACCAAACCACCGCCAACATCAATCCCATTCAGCCACAGCAGCTCGCGCCCGCCGAATGCCGGTCCGCCCAGTTCGACGATACGGCCCTCCACCGACCTCATCCATTTCGCCGAAGCAAGGCAAACGGGGCCCCAAGACGCCGTTGTCTGCGTCAGATGTCACGCCTATTACGCGAAACGAGTGGAATTTGCTCGTGGCGGGCGAGATTCAGCGAGCGAAGGCTAGTGTTACGAAATGGACGCCGTCGCCGACGGTTATGGCGGCTGCGTGAAGTGTGTTTGTGGGTTGGATGATTTGCATCCAGCGAGATACATACATACTTCTTCCGAATCATGTCCGTCATTTTGGCGGGCCTGTTTCCTGCGCGGACCAGGCGGCATGGGTCTTGTGAACCATGCCCCGTGCGCGATCAGTCAGTCCGGTATATTGTCGTCTTTGAGCAGGCGCTAGACAACGGGCCATTCAGAATGGCCCACTCGGACAAACATTCGCCTATGCCGGCCAGCCAGCCAGCCAGATAGAAAACTGAAGATGATGTATAATTGCATCGAATAATGCTATCAACTCGTCTGCCGGCCATCGGCAAACGTTATCTCGGCGATTCTCCGCAGTCCAAAATACGGCTGTCAATGCGGATATCAGTCCCGACTTTCCACCTCAGTAGGGGATACTGTCAGGACTATGAGCAGATATTGTCGAATGAGATGTGCTATTCCGTGCTCGGGTCCTGGGAATACTACATAGGTACGTCCTGCGAGATTGAAAATAGCAGGACGTGGGTTGGCCGGAGTCCGAATGCGGATGCCGAGTGCCCACTCACTTTACCCACAGAGAAGGAAAAAAATGTCACCAATGCAAACATATAGTGTACCAGTAGCAAGCTAGATAGATGAAACGATTTGCAAGCCAAGTATTCTTTAAATCCGCATAGTCCCAGATTCATTCCTCGCCGATGCAAGCACAGTGACGTCTTACCAATCTGCCCCTCATCACCTGACCTGCATTGCAACCTCGCCTTTTTCCTTTTCTTACCTTCCTCTTTTTTTCTATTCCTTCCTCAATCCCCAGAGATAGTCGTAACACCACTAACCGGACATGACTCCGGACCAAAACCCCCCGGTCCAAGTTCGCACGGACGAAGTGCCAACTGACATTACCAAGCCGAAATGGTATCCTCGCGCATTGATCCGGCAGGCTGAGCGCTCGCACCGTCGATTGCCAGGGATTAGGAAGGTTCCCCTTCGGGCGATTGCTGCGATTTTGTTCATCGCGTTTTTAAACGTTTTGGTTTGGATTGCTGCGGCTGTTGTGTTGGTAAGTCGTGTCTGTTTTGGAGTTAGAAGACGTTGGCTAACGAGTGTAGCATTATTATCCGTATGTGTTGTCTTGTGTCCAGGAATATGTTTGGGCAGAAGCTTATGGTTCAGGTCTCTCGTGTCGAATGCTGTGCTTTCGTATACGCTGGGTTTGAGGCATGCTTTTGATGCAGACCACATTTCGGTGTGTCAGCTCGAAACCAATAATGGGAGCATTGATGCTAATGCATACTGCAGGCCATTGATTTGATGACCCGGAGACTGCTTGCGAGTGGCCAGAAACCCGTCACCGTGGGCACCTTTTTTTCCTTGGGACATTCGACGTGAGCAGCCCCTTCAAAATCGAACGAAACCGGCGTTCTAACAAAAACAGGATTGTCATCATCACCTCGATTGTTGTGGCTGCCACTGCTGCTGCAGTCTCTTCTCGCTTTGACAGCTTCAGCACCATCGGTGGCATCATCGGCACCTCTGTCAGTGCGGCGTTTTTGATCCTACTGGGTCTTATGAACGCGTACATCCTGTACAAGCTGTACAGACAGATGCAAAAGGTCCTGGACCTTCCCGTCGGTCAAGAGGACGAGGCGTGGAAGGTCGAGGGTGGGGGAGTCATGTTCAGTGTTCTTCGGAAAATGTTCAAGCTTATTGACCGGTAAGCATGTTCCCCAACAATTATGAACAGCGTGCTAACCCTACTAGGCCATGGAAGATGTACCCTCTAGGCGTCCTCTTCGGTCTTGGTTTTGATACATCCTCCGAGATTGCCCTCCTTGGTATCTCCTCCATCGAAGCCGCACGAGGAACCAACATCTGGGTCATCCTAGTCTTTCCCATTCTCTTCACCGGTATGCCTACCCCATGACATTCTATTGCAGTACTGACGGTACCAGCGGGAATGTGTCTCCTCGACACCACCGACGGCGCCCTAATGCTCTCCCTCTATATCCAACCCGCCGCCAACTTCCTCCCACCCAAACAAGACGGCACCATTGCCTCGGACGACCTCCTCACCGACCAAGAACAGCAACAACCAAGCGAAGACATCCACGCAGCCCAGAACCACCGTGACCCAGTCGCCTTTCTCTACTACTCCATTGTCCTAACCACGCTCACCGTCATCGTGGCAATCGTCATCGGCATCATCCAGCTCCTCACCCTTGTGCTGAACGTCGCCGAACCAACGGGTAGATTCTGGGACGGTGTGCAAACAGCGGGTGACTACTACGATGCTATCGGTGGCGGGATCTGTGGGTGTTTCTTGGTTATTGGGTTGCTTAGTGTTTTTGTTTACACGCCGTGGAGGAGGTGGATTGCGCGTCGGAATGGACGGCCGGTTGTTGAGCCTGTTGAAGAGGGTGGTTATCGGGATGATTTTACGGATGAGGAGGATGCGAATGCGAATGTGAATGCAAACCGTGAGCGGGAGCAGAGTGTCCAGGCTCCGGGTAAGACTGGTTCGCAGGTTACTGTGAGACCGGCGGGTGGATCGTCGAGTTGATGTGCTGTGTTCTGATGCGGATGTATACATGAGGCATGTGGGCCGAGATGGTGAATATCATACTTTGCGGATAGCATACACTACATTTATTGCGCGTATAGTTTGGATAGTTATCTACATTGACACCAATACAATGCATTTCCACACTGCTGCATTCGGCGCTTTCTGCCTCAGGTACACGTGACGTCAGGTGTACGTCTCAACTTCATCTCATCTTTTGAGCGATCAATCAACGACACGACTCATATTTTCCAAATTAGTATCGACACGCGCTTCGTACTCATTTCGACTCATACAAACTATGCGTACTACATGGTATGACTGTTGCACCATGAGCATGGCCAGGGTCTAATCCGACTGAGCTTGACGAATATTGAATCTACATGCCATTGAGCATCTTAAATATAAGACCTATATAAAGAAGCAGACATAAACATACGCCGGTCTATTATTACACGACTAGTCAACACAAGACATGTCACCATCTTCCCTATAACACAACCTCCCTCAACCAACGGCCATACATATACACCTACAATGTCAGGCTCAACCCTCGCCTACTCCCGCTCCCAAGATGCCCCCCTCACACAAACACCAACCTTCACCTCCTCTCCTCCAATATTCGTCCTACCTACCCACCTAACCCTAAACGAGTTACATCGGATAGAAGATATCCTGGGCAACCGCGGCGCGAGACTTACATATGATATCTCCGAAGCTAGATTGGTGATAGGCAAGGTAGGGCAGAAGAAGAGAGCGGCGTTGGAGTTGAGGGGCAGGGGGGTTTTGACGGAGGAGGTTTCTGCATCGGGGGAAGGGGAGGGAGATAGGGAGCCGCCGGTTAAGAGGAGGCGCGTTGGTAATCATGATGAGGATGGGAACGGTGTTGGGCAATTACAAGATGGAGATGTTAGTACTGAGAGTGAGGGCGAGGAGGATGGGATGGAGAGTCAGCATAATCCCGGGAGGCATTTGCGGAAGAAGTCTGTATCTGTTGCTTCAACTTCAACAGCTGGCTCAGAACAAGGGAAAAATGTTATCAAAATTGTCAAGCTACAATGGCTCGAGAAGTCAATAGAAGCCCAAGAACTGCTCCCCATAGACCCATACCTCGTCTATCAAGCGCGCATAATCGACCCTCCCACCACTACAAAACCAACCACAGCATCCGACATAATACAACGAGCCCGAAAAGACGCACTATTCAAACCCCCAGTAACACTGGCATCTCACTTCCATACCTGCCGCCAAAAAGATATCCCGGACAACATCCCCAGCCAAACCCACCCCATCCCAAAACTCTACCGCCAAACAACCTCCGAACATGACGAAATCATTCCCCTTCCCCCCGTCCCAGACTGGGTTAAGAACCGTGTCATGTACGCCTGCATGCGCTCTGCACCCCTCCACCCCCCAAATGAACGCTTCATCGACCAACTGGTCAAAATCCGTAAAACCCGCGACCTAACCCTTGACGAAATCGGCGTCCGCGCATACAGCACCTCCATCGCAGCCATAGCCGCATATCCATACCATTTCAGCCGCCCCTCGCAAATCCTCCTTCTCCCAGGCTGCGACGCCAAAATCGCAAACCTGTTCGCTGAATTCCAGTTTAGCGAAAACAAAACCTGCCAATCAGCAAACCTCCTAGACACAGACCCGGATCTCAAGATCCTCCAACTATTCAACAACATTTGGGGTGTAGGCGCCAAAACTGCGCGAGACTTCTACTACACCCGCCAATGGCGTGATCTCGACGATATAGTCGAATACGGTTGGTCAGCTCTCTCTCGCGTCCAGCAAATCGGCGTGAAATACTACGACGAGTTCCTAGAAGGCGTGCCCCGCTCTGAAACAGCACACATCGCATCAACAATCCAGCGCCATGCGAACCTCGTCCGCCCAGGTGCAGACTACGACGGCCACGGCGTGGAATATATCATCGTAGGCGGGTATCGGCGGGGGAAAGCAGTCAGCGGAGATGTAGATATTATACTTAGCCATCGCGATGAAGCCGTTACTAAGAACCTCGTCGTTGATCTGGTGAGTAGCCTCGAGAACGAAGGGTGGATTACACATACACTAGCACTGCATATGACGACTTCGAATCGAGAGCAACAAACCCTCCCCTATCGCGGCGACGATAATTTCCCAGGTCGCCATTTCGATACCCTCGATAAAGGACTCGTCGTCTGGCAGGATCCTCACTTCCCTGACCCTGACCCTCAGTCAGATACTGGTGGTCAAAAGAAACGAAATCCCAACATCCACCGCCGCGTCGACATCATCATCTCGCCTTGGCGCACCGTCGGGTGCGCAGTACTCGGGTGGTCTGGCGATACAACCTTCGAGCGGGATTTAAGGCGATATGCGAAAAAGGCGCATGGGTGGAAGTTTGATTCGAGTGGTGTGAGGGCGCGGACGAGTGGGGGCCATGTGCTGGATTTGGAGAGGGGTGGAAGGACTTGGGAGGAGAGGGAGAGGATGGTTATGGAGGGGTTGGGGGTTGGGTTTAGGGGGGCTGAGGAGCGGTGTTCAAGGTGATGGTACACTTTAATTTTATTGCGTAGGTGTACATATATATTGGGTACTCCGTTGAGAGTAGTTAGAGTTATATATATGCTGAACTTACTCCGTAGGCGGAAAGTGGAATAGCTAGGATTGATATTGGTCATAGACAACAAGCTAAAAGAAGAGAAAAGTACAAATGGCAAATAAAAAGAAATAGACTCCCATACATACATATATCGTACCACAGCCAAAAAGTGCAAAGCAAGATACATGAAAAAAAATTCGGATCAGTCAAGCCACACAGCACCAAAAGCCAGAAAAAAGAAGAATTGAAGGAAAACGATCTGGAAAAACCATGTGGCAAAGTTGGGTTACACCAAGTTCCTCGAACTGGTCATCTCTCCGTACCTCCCTCTCCCTCTCGTCGTGTCGTAGGCGTTGACAACCCGCATCTGTGCGCCCTCGTCTGCCTGACTGAACGCGTACCCGCGCTGTTTCCGCATCCGCTGCACTTGTCTGACCTTGCGAATGGCCTTTTGGAATTGTTCCATGCGTGGCCGGTAGTCTTGCACGTTGAATTTCTGGATCTCCTGTACGTGGTGGTAGTGTTGCGGATAGTACATGCGTTTCGCGTACTTCCATGCATAGTCACGGATCAAACACAGACAAGGTAAGACAACAGCCATGAGATAAAAGACCGGTGATGTGAAAAGAGGAGGAATAGTGCCGTAGTATTCAAAGGAGAAGCCGATAGCCGGAGCGCCATAACCGTAGGCAGGGAGGAAAATAAGCCAGATGACCATGGATCCCGGAATAGCGATAAAAGTGTATTTTGTCCAGGTGTTGGTAATTAGGGCTGCTTTTCCGAGGACGGTGGCTAGGACTGCTGTGTAGAGTGCGGAGCCCCAGACCCAGTGCCCGGATGTCTTTCCGTCGGTCATTGGGAGGTCCCAGAGGTAGATTAACTGGGAGAAGATGTAGAGGACCAGGGAGTGATAGAAGCCGTTGGCGATCCAGGACCAGAAGCTGTGCTTTTTGAAGAATAGACTCTTTTGTCCGAGTTGGTACAGTTGAGGGTATCGGTCTAATAACCGAGCTGACACGTACTGGTCGCAGATGCCCATGGCGAATGGAGGAAGAACGGTGAAAAAGACGTTGTAGAATGAAAGTGTCCATGACTCGTAAATAACTTCACCAGAAAATGCGTTTTGGAACGAGTACTGTATTGTGTTAGTCTGAAATTCAGGAAGGGGGTCGACAGGTTACTCACCCAGAATTGCGTCATGTAGAGCGTAATGTTCTTATAAAACGAATAGAGAATCACCCGACTAATCCGGTGGTAACTCCAAGCCCCATGAACAAGCAACAATTTACGAAGGAAGCGGAATTGGGCAATCGAAACATCCGCAGATCGAGCTGCTTGGAGACCTTCAAGACCACTGATACCAACTCCAACATGAGCTGCCTGAATCATGGAAACGTCGTTAGCACCGTCTCCAATTGCTAGAAGCAAGGACTTGAGATGGCGCTTGACGAGCTTGACGACCAAAGCCTTTTGAAGCGGAGAGACACGACAGCAAATCACGGCCTTGCACATGACCGCCAAATCCAAGAACATCTTTTCCATGTCCTTTTCGAGGGCAAACGTTAGAGATCGACCATCGATAATCAACGCCAAAGTCTCAATTTCACCAGACGCTCCCTGGCTCTGAACAGCATGGAGTTTCTTCGATATATTCTCCCTTGTAGCTTGCGCCGTTTCCTCGTTCACAATAAGTAGTGTCATGTCCTCGGAAACCAAACGGCAAGACATGCCAATGTTGATAGCAGTTTCCTGTCGATCACCAGTAAGAACCCAGACCTTGATACCAGCCGTTTGGAGCGTGTGAATCGTGTCCGGGACCCCATCTTGCAGTTTGTCTTCGATCGCCGTGGCACCGAGGAGATACAAATCCTTTTCGATCAATTCCGCGGCCTTGTCCAGCTCGTCTGCACGGTTTCCGCTGATAGTCGTGGCAGCCTTCTCTTGGATTTGGTACCACTGTTGGAATTCTTGCTCAGATATCTCGCGCATGGCCAGACAAAGGGTTCGAAGACCTTCAGATGCGTACTCTTCCAGATGCTGCAAGGTAGTCTCGACCATCGGGTTATCCGGATGCAAGCGTTCGAGGATGACAGTATCAGCGCCTTTTGTGTACATGCGAAGCTTACCATCTGGGCATCTGAAGATAGTCGACATCCGCTTCCGGGCTGAGTTGAATTCACAAACGGCAAGTAACTCATATTCGTACTCTTCACCTGCAACCGTAAATAGCACAGAGCGAGGTCTCCGATTTGTGAAACGATAGCCTAATTGCGCAGCACCATCAACCAAAGCACCTTCGTCTGGGGACGCCGCCTGGTATTTGATCTCCCCGGGCTTGTCGTCTGACCGCTCGGGAATGACGGTGTGGCAGGTAGCCAGCAAGGTAAGGAAGTGGTGAATAGCATCTTTTGACGGGTGGAAATTCAAGTTTTGCTGTAGTTTCTTGAAGTCGTGAATGCCATCCGCTTCGTCGTCGTCCGCGGTTGCTCTTCGGTCCTCTTCAATGTCGTCACCGTATTGAATACCACCTATCGAGCACTGTTTGAACTCCATCATGTTGCAAGTCAATGTACCTGTCTTGTCGGAGAAGATATATTCGATCTGACCTAGCTCTTCCACTAGGGATGACGTTCTACATGTGGCCGGTGTGTCCGTCTTGTCGTGGTAGATATCAAGGTCGGAGTTGATGAGGAATGCTTGCGCATATTTGACGATTTCAATAGTGACGAAAAGCGAAATAGGGACCAAGTTCGAATACAAAACCCAGTAGGTAAATATGTCGAGAACAAACTGCTTGACCGGGTTTGTACCGCTGTAGTAGAGATAGGAGAGTTTATCAGACTGGGTTTGACGGATGATCAGGTCACCAACGGAACTGATCACACTGAGAGCTACCAGGATACCGACTAACATCAGAATCTGGATGTTGACCATGCGCTCCACTGCCGTTCGCTTGATCGGAGTTGCCGTGGCATTGCGCATCAGCTTCGTTTCGTGGCCAGTAAATACAACAATTCCATGAACCCATGGGGTGTTACGGAGGGTAGCACCACGCAGCAGCAATTGATCCGGTGCTAGGGGAAGCTCCTTCTCGCCTCCACCAGCGTGCATGGTTAGTGTCGCTTCGTAGGTATAGAGACTGCTGTTAGGCTGTTCAGAGCGAATACGGCCACTTAGACGGCTGAGGTCGGAGGGGTTGACAAGATGCGCCGTCTCGGGGATAGCCTGCTTGACTTTCAAGTTGGTTTCTCCATCCAAGTTTGCCGTTTCAATATAGCAAAGACCTTCCGGCTCAGATGTCGCCAGCATCACCATATCAGCCGGGAAAGGGTTCTCAGACTCGACACGGACAATATCACCCACGGATACATCGACCCATTTCGTTTCGTGGAATGCGGATCCCTTGAGAACTTGAGTTTTCGAATAATTGAGCGACCTATCTGACGCTCTTCGCTTGTAATCTTCCACTAATTCCTTAATTGCCGAAACTAACAACACAACGCACAGCGGACCAATGGTGGTATATCGATTCGTCGGACTGACATTGGGAATCTGCTGAAGAACGGCCGTGAACAAGAAGAACAAGTTGGCGTATTTGGAGAACTGCTCGAAGAGGAATTTCGGAATAAAGGTAAAAATGTTGTACTTCGCCGTCGAGACGTGGTTATCGACAAACTTGTGAACCGCATTGGCCGGCGGATTATTGAGCACAATGTTTCGAGGGCCCAATGTCGACGGGTCTACCTTCCTTCGTCCAAACCCGAACTTGAAATCCGGTTTCCGCGATTTCTTTGGTGCTGTGTCGTCCGGCTCCGCGCTTTCGACACGCGCATTTCTTGCGCCAGCTTCCGTCAGCGGAAGATCCATCTCTGAGTACTCCCCGCCCATTCCCAGCATGTGTTTAGCCCTGCCCATAAACCCGCCTCCTAGACCCAATATACTATTGCGCTCTTTTGCCATGCGAACATGTTGCGACGACGGGACATTGTCGTCATCCCGGTCCATATCATAGTATCCATGTAACGACCGTTCATCTTCGTAGTCATCGAGCGAGTAGCGATGATAATTGCTCAGTCCAGAGGCTTGCGAATAGGTCCGGGACATATCCGCGCCGGTATAGGGATCATGCAGAGCCACCCCGGCCTGGGGTACATGCGCAGGAGGGACGACCACATTGGCATGAGCTCCGACATGCGATGTTTGTGGTTGGTGCTGGGCCTGCTGGGGGTAGTGTTGATGGCCGCCTCCCACAAAGTCATCATATGACACGGACGGACGCGCTTGCGGATAATCGGAATCGTCGATATCGAAACGCCTCAATAAATGCTCGTCATTGACCGGCGGAGGTTGACCCGTGCTGTACATGGGGGTTGTATCCTCCAGCTGCAGCAGATCATCCTCCGCGTGGCCATGTTGGAATCCTGGCGGCCTACCGCTGGCCATTATGGACGGGACGGGCAAACACCCTCCTCTCTAAAGTCGAAATGCAATAGCTGGAGTGGCCCTGAGGCATTGATTGAGGGAAACGATCCGGTTCATAAAAGGGGATGCAGTGCGGAGGTATACGGAGGGGGTTCAACGGTTGGCGTACTTCTAGGACGGAGACAAGAAGGGTAGAGCCCACAGGGGAACGCGCAAAGGAGAATCAACGGATCGCTGCAGAGAATCGAGAAGCCGAAAAGACCGTATAGACCGAAAGCGAGCGCGAGAAGGCGATGCAGAACGGAAGGTTGAAGGAGTTGAAAGACCGTTGAGAACGTTATGGGAGAAAAAGAAGTCGTCGTGGCTGGAAAAGTTGGCGGTGCTGATGGTCGAGGCGGCGATTAGCGCGACCGAAAATAGAAGAGCCACAGTATTTACAAGTGAAAATTTGAAAGAATGAAATAAGGATATTTGGATTCAGCAGGCAAAATTGTCCATATTCAATTGTATCGGGGTTGTTCATACGAGCCTGCATGCAAGCTATGGCGGTGCGAACCTACAACGCATTACGGAGAAAGGACCCGGAAAGACCATAGATATCGAAGAATGGAAGGATTTTGCATAGCAACATTATCGTGGCATATCATACATTTGTATAGGGCTTTTGGTTTGTCTCATATCCGGCTCCATCACCGGTCATTCTCCGCTCGTGATGCTTCAACCATTCCAGTATTTGTCCGTTTCGCCAAATCCGCCTGTAACGCCTTCTCGATAATGCCATTGATCTCCTTCACCTTCTCCAGCGCGACAGTCGACTTGGTCACAAATACTATCGCATCAACCGGTGCGCCTGAGAATTTGGAGACGTAGCAAACGTCCCCTGCGCTATTCATACCAATCACCACATCCGCCTCCGACGCCTGCTCTTCCTTTCGTGTCGCATCGAGAATCACCCGCTTGCCTTCATCGAATGTGTGAAAGGTAACTGAGAGCGGCTTGTGTGTGATGTTGAGGGCAACCGGGAGTCGCTCGTCGATGCCGTAGACGACAACTTGGCCGTCTTTGACAACGGCATCCGGGCGGCGGAAGTGCTGTAGACCGGCCATGACACCGATGCAGGCGGCATCGATCAGGTTACCGTCGTAGTCGACTACGTGGACATCGGCCCGAATACTCCAGCAGCTCACGCCTTTCAGGATACATAGTGATTCGGTGTCGAGCGCATTCGAGTGTCGTACTACACGGTCGACGACATTGGTCACGTACGTTTCGAGGTCTCCCTGGCTGTGATCATCCAGTCAGCTCCGCGTGTATGCGATTACACTTCACATGTAGAACGTACCGGCCATTATCCCACGCCGGAGAGCCCATTGCTGAGAGTTCTAGCGCAATTGTGAAAACGCCGTCGAACGGACGGTCGTCGCGGGGTTTTGTGACTTCGGACGAGATGCGAATAATCAAGCTTCACCACTATGTTAATATTTTTTGTTTAAGAAAAGCAGAAAGAACATACGTAGTCTTCCCCAATTGCACCTTCACATGTCCATACTCCTCTCCAAACGAAACCTTTAGCGGACGCAACTGGTCCAGGCCCCGGCCGTCCAGGCGCACATCTTCGCGCAGCGCATTGAGAATAAAATCGCGCTCAGCAATCGACAGCAGTGCTTCCTTGTTCATGATGGCGGAGGCAGACCCCCGGCGCAAGAAACGATTTTCTGGTCTGGGAAAATTGGGGGATGCGCAGCGTCATCGCGGTTGGAAGAGCTTTGTTCCGGTTGACTAATATTGCAGCCTAAGGCAGGCTCGGCGGCCATCAAAGTATCGGTCGTATCTTGTATGCGATTGACGACGCTTCAACCATTGACTACAGCTACGTTTAGGCATTATGACGACGGGTATGTCTGCTTACCCCAACATTCTCGCTATCATGATACTGATTCCTTACAGCTCACAGACCGACGTTCGATCCCGTACGTGCTACCTACCACTCAATCATGACCTCTACTCACCGTCACAGGCACAAGGGCGAGAAGCCCTCCGCGGGCCCGCGTATCACCAGCGCCTTCTTCCCGCGCACATGCACCTGAAGACTCGGTAGGTCCCTGCCGAACCACGAACCAACCACACGACTGACAACCCCAGTCAACAAGGCCAAGGTCATGAAGGCGAAGTGCAACAGCGCGACCTCCGAGCAGAACTCCTCCAAGCCGAAGCAGCTCACTTCGCCAAGAAGCGCGGCGTCCCCGTCGACGAGCCGATTGTCGAGAGTGCACCGAAACGTCAAATTGAAGGGCCTCCAGGTGGCGATGATGGAGGGCCGGGAGAAATAGAAGAGGATCCGGAGGCGAAGCGGCGACGTGTATTGGAGGAGACGCGAGATATAGACGCGGATTCGGATGGGTCGGAGGATGATAGTAGTGAGGATGAGAGGTATACTTACTTATCTCTTGGTCTAGTGGAGTAATCAGGCTGACAGAGGTACAGTGACGAGGAGGACGAAGAGGCTGAATTGATGCGCGAGTTGGAAAAGATTAAGAGGGAAAGACAGCAGCAGAAGGAGAAGGAAGAGCGCGAACGAGCCGCCGAGGAAGAGGAAAAGCGCGAGGTCGACATTGCCAAGGGTAATCCCCTGTTGAACACTCAAGACTTCAACTTGAAGCGGAGATGGGACGACGATGTCGTGTTCAAGAACCAGGCCCGGGGAACTGAGCAGAAGAGGGGACCAGAATTCGTCAACGTATGTCTACCTTGGGATCATCTTCAAGTGGAAGCTAACGTGATGTAGGATTTGTTGCGGTCCGACTTCCACAAGCGCTTTATGGTATGCGCCCTTTTCTGGCTTCTTTTCAACGCCTACTGACAAAATCTAGTCTAAATATGTCCGGTAAAGCGCATACTCTAGTTCTATCTTTTTATTTTTTTTTTTTATTTTCTCAGGTGGAGACAGGCAAGCATTTCAGGCGCAATCTCAAGACTGTTTACTACTTTCAATAACAAGGATACCCAGCGACTCAAAATATCCTGTACTCGACCATCAGCTTGTACACATGGTCTAATTCAATCAATTGTCTTATCGTCCGAAATTATACATCGTAGAATAGATATAGTAGCCACCGCCTTACACGCCGCCATATACTGCCGACTGATCTGATTTGCTCTGATAGTCCGATCCAGCAACAAGATAGAAACAACTCAATCCGATTCAATCAGACAAAATGGAGTCTCAACCGACAGCCAAAGCGTTACACAGTGAGTGTTAATATCCTATTCCTCAAATCGACATGTCATACTAATGCGCGAGGACAGACCGTATCAACAGCAACATCTCCCAACTGCTCCAACGTTTCGAAAACATCATGGCAACAGCAACAGTACGTCTCTCTACTTCATGAGTCTAGCTTTCATATACCCTAGAAGCGCCACTAAAGGATGCAGGTCGAAAACACAAGCCACACCTCCACCGCCGTTGAAACCTATCAACTGGACGTCGAATCAACAGCTTTGGTATCCCCCCCAAACCCCCAAACTCCAGGCTCGAAAACGAACACACTCTAATCGCAACTTGACGCATAGGTCCGCGCCGCAGAAGACATCCTCTCCCTCACCCGTGCCATGAAAGAAACCTGGCTTTTCGGAAAACTGGATACACTGGGTGAAGATGAACGCGATGTTAAGCGGAGAGAGGAATTGGAGGGTGATGCGGAGGCTGTGCAGAAGGTTATTGAAGAGGGAGGTCTTTTGAAGTAATTCTTTTTTCTCTGGGTCATTGGGACTGGGCTGGTGTTTTGGTGTTGAATGGCGTTTGGATGTTATATCTGGTTTGAATTGTACGGGAGTATATATACTGTTCAAATAGATACCCTTGGAAAATACCTTTTTACATGATTAAGTTGCTGTCTTCATCAGTAGAAGATATTGTCTATAGCAGTAGCGGTCAAAATTGTACAACATTTCTGCGGAATCCTCGAGACTGTCCCTTTTCGTTTTCGGCGCGATGCTTACTGAGCAGGCCAGAGTGTATCTGGAGCAGGATATTCGTTCATGAGACGCGATGACATATTAATCCACCATTGTACTTGAAATTATCACTTGTATAATCAAAGTTTCAACTGATACATAACACCAGATGAGGTACATACTACCACTTTTGAGTAGATCATGAAGTACATAGCCGCCAGGATAAACCCGTTTATCAAGGATGCAACTTACATCCAACACAGGGCGCAGGACTCTCTGTACTGTAATAAATATCAGGTCTTGGTTTGCCTGTAACATTCAGATATCCCACAGCGCCTTTATCAAGACGGAATATAGCATGGTCCACAAGGGTATAAGTTCCCGGAACCCACATTTTCATATCCACGATTGTAGCACTACCCGGAGGAACATTGGTAGTCTGTACATACTGTCCAGGAGCACTCACAACATCACCATCACGGTATAGTTTTCTGAAATTACTCCCAATAACATGGAACGAGCTTGTCAGGTTAGGACCGGCGTTCCCAAAGAAGATACGGACTGTCTCGCCAACGCGGGCCTTGAGGGGTTTGTCTCTCGTTAATGCGGCCTCATGCCCATTGAAGACAACGACATTTGGTTCCTCGCGCAGTGCGTTGGGGTATGAGAACTCAACCTGTGACGATGGCCGTCCGTCATCCCCAACATCAGGCGGCTCGTGATAAAACTCGCTTTGCATCACATAATATTCATGATCCACTGGGGGGAGATCACCATCTGCTGCCTGCACGTACATGAGGCCATACATCCCATTGGCGATATGCACGGGCACTGGTGCTGCAGCACAGTGGTACATGAATAAACCCGGGAACATGAGTCGAAACCTGGCAGATTTGGTCTGACCCTCTTCGGTCGTCGTTAAGGCCGAACCCCCTCCAGGACCCAGAAAAGCATGGCAGTCGATGTTGTGCGGGTTGCCCGTTTCATCATTGTTCGTCAACGAGAGTTCCACCACATCGCCCACTCGAGCTCGGATGAATGGCCCAGGAACAGTACCATTGAAGTTCCATTGTTCATATTTGTATTGGCTTGTTAATTGTTTCATCTTGGTGTTAGTTGTGAGAGGGACTTGGAGGACGACGGGGTAGTCTCGGGTAATTTGAGGGGGGACATTGGGCGCGGTTGTGAGTATTGCTTCCTCTTTTGGGATCTTTGATATATCAATAGGCTCTTCCCCTGCCAAATTGCAACCGTCTGCATGCAGTAATTCTGTTTCTTTTGCCTGGGGCGTCAGGGTTGGATCAGGCCCTTTGAACGTTTGGGTCTGATCTGAATCCATCTGAACTGAACCCTGTTGGCGGTTGTACAGGGCCATGCTAAGAATAATAGGTGTAGATAGAGCAAGGAAATATCCCAGACGAGTTGAAGTCCCATTCTGATGTTTGGTGATCATTGAAACCCTTGTTGCCATGCTTCTCATGGTTGGTAGAGTTCGTGTCATGCATGACTGAGGGACACGAATTGCTAGAGCGCGCATTTGTTTAATTGCAGTCATTTTTTGGAATAGTGCCAGGAAGAAATTCTCACTTATTGTTTCAGCAGATCATGTAGAGAAAAGATATAATTATGAGTCTGCCGTCGGACATGGTGTCGTCAGTCTGACTCGTGACTGCTGGCCATGTATTTCTGGTGGAGGTTCATGGTATTAGATTCAGTTTCTGTAGTCACTGATGCTGCTCTTATGCCAAAGAAAAAAGAAAAAGAAAAAAAAAAAAAGAAAATTATGCCTGCTCATATGGCTCATTCTGTAACTCACAAGTTAAATGCTTTTGGAGAAATGGAGTCCTTGGATACATGAATACATTGGCATCAGTCTCCTTTATAGAGTGGCCATTAGGAAATATGTACATACATCATTGTACAAGGTCAAATGCTTCATAATAACGAGGCCGAATAGCACAATTAGGACTGGTCTTATACTCCCAGGGCAGTAGCATTGCTATCACCGCGGGGCCGATAAACAACCTCCGAAACTTCACCCACCACCATCACCACTCAACCTACTTCTCTTCTCAACACAAACCAATGCTCAAACCCAAAACTAAAATGCCTCTATCAACACCCCTAACCCTCATCGTCGCAACAACCCCAATCCCCCACCACCTACCAACAAATGCCCGCCCCAAGCTCGGAATCGGCCAAAACGGCACCCTGCCCTGGCCACGCATAAAAGCTGACATGAGCTTCTTCGCACGCGTGACATCGCGCCCACCCGCCACTCGCCCCGGGAGCACAAATGCAGTAATCATGGGCCGCAAGACATACGAATCTATCCCCGAAAAACTACGGCCGCTGGGGAAGAGAATTAATGTTGTTGTCACGCGGGATGTGGAGGGGAATGCGGGGAGGGTACAGAAGGAGTTGGAGGGGAAGAGGGAGAGGGATGCTAATAGGGCTGCTGAAGCGAAGGCACAAGGGAAAGCTGGGGGTGCGGGGACGGGAACGGAGGGGACGACGGATGCAATTGTTAGTGAGAGTTTGGAGGGTGCGATGGGTGATTTGGAGGGTGTGTATGGGACTGGGGAGGAGAGCAGGTTGGGGAATATATACATTATTGGCGGGGGAGAGATTTACGCTTCTGCACTGCGTTCTAGTGCTAGACTTAACAGGAAGATTCGCATCGTCATGACGAATGTGAAGAGGAAGGGGGATAAGGGATATGACTGCGATACGTTCTTCCCCGTCGATGATTTCAGCGCTGAGAATGGGTGGCGAACGGCTAGCCCTGGGGAGGTTAGTGAATGGGTTGGGGAGGGTGTTGATGGGGAGTGGAGGGATGAAGGGGAGGTGGTGATCCAGATGGTTGGGTATGAACGGGTTGACTGATGTTTTCTATTGTTTTATGTACATGATTCATAGATCATTCAAAGTAAATAGAAATGCAATCGCGTACTCCATGAACCAGAAATATGCAAAGGTACCAGTGTCAAATGTCAAAAATGCAACAACGCTGAAATACATCATTCGTTCTCCTTGAGAAACTTCACAAACGCTTTCTTATGTACCAGGCCCGCATACAGTCCATTCTGAAGGACACCCAGGTACCGCAGGCCCAATTTGGCAAAGCATTGATAAACAAGATCTATAGGTGAGTGGATATCGAGAGCAATGGGGGACTACATGGTCAGCTTTCTCTCAATGAACCTTCGAAAAGGGGAGGGAAGTACATACCGGATCAATGTATCTTGTAAAATCAACCCGATCATCCGTGCCATCATCCTCATCTTCCGAGCCACCAAACGACGACGCATCCGCAGTCATCAGACACAGTGCATTCTCCTCGTCTGCCACATTATCGAGCGCATATTCAAGATCCGGCGCTGGAATCAACCCAGCCAACACGCCGTGGCGCAGGATAGGCAGGCCGCTGTCCAGCTCACCGGCCATGAGGAGATTCTCAAGCTTCGCGCGTAGTTCTGTGGCCGGGACCCAGGATGAACTAGAGATGTCGATGATACGGCTCTTCCGTACGGGTCGAACAATATCTCCGAGTTCGGCATCGGATAGGGTTTGGAGTTTGTTGTCGAGGAATGGGTAGGAGTTCATGTCCGTCAACAGATCCTGCGCAAGTCAGCTTTTACCCTTTGAACTGTTAGAAAGTGTCAACCTACGTAAATACTGCGAGGCTCAATTGCATCAGCAGTCCACTTTGCACAGAGAACTGCCACAGAAAATGGTAGGACATGGTTCAAGCTCCCCGTCAGTTCAAACAAAATGACTGGCAAAGTCACCGACAAACGGGTCACTCCGCACATCGTAGCTCCAGCCGCAACCAACGCATACACACCAGGAGTCACACAGGACTCCATGCCGGTGTAAGCAGGACAAGCAGCAAAGGGGAGGTAATCGGGATACTCCACAGCCATGTACTGAACAACATGGCCGACGATCCGGCCCATCAAGCCACCTACAACCATGGACGGCACATAGATACCAGCAGGCACCTTGATGCCAAAAGTCACAATGGTCAGGAGACTCTTGATAACGAACGCTACGGAAAGGTAACGGATTATCTCGCCGATGCCCTCCGAACGAGGACATAACCCTGTGGCAATCTCCGTTTCAGGGTCGTCACACGGCCGCGCCAGTTCAAACAACAGTTCAGAAACAGGCAGCTTGGTATATCGGTTCCAGAAGCTGACCACTCCCGTCAACACGGCGACCAAAACGACCTCGAGTATGGGCCAGCGCTTGATGGCAGGAATCCGGCGAAATGACTTGGCCCATAAATTGGAGGCCTTGATAAACAGCGCTCCAGCAGCACCTCCGAGAATACCAAGGAAAATGAAGATGATCATCTCGAAGATTTGCCAGTCGCTCAGATAGCGGACTTCGAATAGGACGATCTTCCCTGTTCCGTAGGGATTCAAGAATTTAAGCGACAGGGCGGCAGCGATACAACAAAAGAACGTCCGAAACAGGGTCTTGGGAGGGAAGTAGTAGCTGACTTCCTCCAAACTAAACAGAACGCCTCCAATCGGTGCACCAAAGGCTACGGCCACACCGCTGGCTGCGGCAGCGCTCAAGACCTCACGACGTTTACCGTCATTGAGGTTGTACTTGGAAAACATCCGGCAGCAGATATTACCAACACATGCACCGATATGCACGTAAGGACCTTCCTTGCCCAGACTCAGGCCAGATGAGACACTGAAGATAAGAGCAATGGTCTTTACAACCAGGGTCTGGAGTCCCAGATAGCCGTGCAGAACGAACCCACTATTGATTACCTTGACTTCTGCCACGCCACTGCCAGCAGCTGGATAGTAAACCTTGGCCGGATGCGACGGGAGAGCAGATGGGAGGGCACAGAGACTCGACAGGGACTCGGGACTGTGGCTACCTACGTTCGACCTCCTACCACGCGACGAGTCTGCTCCGAGATTCTCGTCAAGGGTTGCTAGCGAAATAGTAGACGGCACAACCGTCTTGGTCAAGAGGGTCAGTAAGCACGAGGCGACCGACAGAACCACCACCCAGAGCACAAACATGCCGAAATTCACCCACTCGTTATTCTGACGTGTAGCACTCATGATAGACGACCAAGAATACCACTCGTTACAGTCCATATTCCCGCGACAGCAACTGCTCCGACTGTGGAACCATCTCGTCGTGCAGAACCCTTCCTTGAGATCAAAGACGAACCCATCCGATATGTCCACCAAATATGCGAGAGCAGCCGTAATGCAACCGATAACCGCGACCAGGATCCATCCTTGAGCACCATCAACACGGGCCAGGAGCCGGCCACGGATATCCTTCCTCTGTCGCAGTTGGCGCAGGCGAGCATTGTCGGCAATGCTATCATGGACCCAATCGGTAGACGTAAACTGATCGTACCACGCCCGCTGGTCCATGAAAGACGCAGCCAGCGGGTCCTTGAGCGACGGTGCCACACTTTCCGGGCGCTCTGTGTCCATGCTAGCCCGTCGACTAGCATACCGGCGGACCTGCGAGTTCGCGCGACTGGGGTGTCTCGAGCGGCGCAGACTTCCTGCCGCTAGGTTATGTCTGTCGTTAATCGTGGCATAAGAACGACCTTGAGATCCGGTAGGATTATCCTGCGATTTCCCTAAGAGACTACTCGTTTCTCCGAGTTCCCCTAAGGACTGATACCCCGAGTGGGGCTCCTCAGGTACCAAGCCATAACCCCGACGGTAGGCAGACGGTGACGGAGGAGCGGTCCGGAGGCGAAAGGGGTCATGGTGTTCGTCGGGCAGTTGAATTCTGGAAGGAGGTCTGTTGATGTCGGAGGCGATTGAGCGAGGCATGGTCAGCTAATGCGACGGGAAGCTATCACTGCTTCGGAGATGCGGTATCTAGGATATCTTTGAAGTCAGCACCAGGGTCCCTCCGATAGCGGTGGCGGTTGAAGTGCAAATAGAGAAAATAGTAGTCACACTGACAAGCATACTAGATCAAGGTTAGTACTACCAATGAGTAGTATCATCGAGGGTCAGAATCACGACTCGGGGCCGGGCAGAGGGAGAGATAGAGCGAGGGAAGGCCGATCCCGTGCGGAGGCTAGAAAATGGCGGGGGGAGTCAATAAAGAGAGAGAGAGAGAAAGAAAGAAAGAAAGAGAAGAAACCGTATATATGCTAATTATAACACTGGTATCTATATGCGAGAATCAAAATGAGGCAGATAAACAACGTTTGAAGCCTTGATAGCGCTGGAGAGTTTCGCCTATTGCCCGAATAGGAAAGACAGAGGTCAGCTGACCAGCATACAGGGTCGGAAAACACGTCAAATGGTCAGAATTGCACTGCTCTGATACATTTCGATGATCAGTGCCCCGCCAACACTCAATCATAGTAACTGGTTGACCTAGTCATGCCTGCTTCTGCGTCATTAGCATGGTCAGCTGCTGCATATGCACCATTTAATCTATTCCTCGTATGGGTGGAGGGCACTAATATATGTAGATCCGATCGTTACAGGCCTGAGCACAAGCTTAGCATTCGTGACATACGCTACATTCTTCTTATCATCTGAATGTCAACAGGCTAAGCGCTCTGCAACAGGATCTTCCACCACCCTGCCTCGACCCCTCCCGCATCAAACGCTGTCTGGTCGGGCTTACACTTAGTCCCATGCTCGGGCAGTGTACCGTTCGCGAAGTACTCCCGGATCGCTTTGATCGTGCACTCTGAACGGTGATTCATCACACCATGCTGTTGGCACATTAGCCGCATTCCACTGCACGTCGGAACGGAATGAAAACTTACCCCATGCCCCTCATGCACTAAAACTCGGCTGTTCTTAAACCCAGCAGACGCTTCATACGCAGAACTCAGCGGCGTAATCGGGTCGTATGGACTATTCGCCAGCATAATCGGGAAACTGGTGCTGATGTTCCTCCAGCTACCTTCGTATCGCTCCGCTGCATCCATCTTCCACCGAGCGCATGCCCATACCTGCGGCACGAACGCGTCCGCAAAGGTCCCCTGCTGCGACTGCGTCTGAATCAAGCTATACATCTCCTGGGTGGTGTCGGCCCGGAACCTGGTGTCGGAGCAGCCAATTCCATGGAAAGCTTGTTTTTGGAGGTTCCACGAGAGAGCCTCAGCCTGGTCAGTCGGGTTCGTATAGCCGATCCACTCGCGCGAAAACGCCATATGTATTTGAACCATGAGTACTGTGGATGAGCTGGGGTTGAAGAGCGCATTGAAGATGCCGAATTTCAGCTGGTTCAAAAGGTTCAGGCCCCCGGGCTGCCACCAGTACTGCAGGGGGAAATTGTCCGGGAGGATGATGGGTTCGTCGATCAGTTCCTGGAAGACCTCACCCAGGGCAGCGGTGAGGTCCTGAGGCGTGGTGTCAGGCCCGGTTTGGTTGGCAAATGGACACTTTTCAGGCCCAGCGACGATACACTCGGAGAAGAAATTGTTCAGGGAGTTGTCTGTCTGGCGGATTGCTGTCAGCCACGTGCCCGAGAAGTAGTCGTCCGCCAGGAGGACACTGTCGAGAAGCATCCGGCCTACACGGTCCGGGAACATGGCCGCAAACGTCTGGCCCAGGACGGTACTGTAAGACCGCCCCCAGAATCGTAGCATGCCGTCTTCATTCAGAGCGTCGACGATCTGGAGCATATCGCGAGCAACAAACGCGGTGCCATACAAGTGACCGGTATCCTTGAAGGTATCGTAGCAAGCATCGGCTAGGATACCTCCATCATGCCACGCTTTAGACTCCAGTAAGCTCCAGACGTCTTCCTGCGGCAGTGTCGTTACTGGTGTGCCGCGACGGGCTGTTGTGTTCGACTTATTCTCCGGTAGCTTGCATGTATATGGGATAGTATGACCGGTACCCCTATGCTGTTGTTAGAAGAACATAGTAATAGACATTCTGCAGATATTTACCGAGCGTCAAATCCAATGATATCGTATTGTCCACCCAACGTCTCAACATACAGCGGTCCCTGCTGGACCACTTCTTCCACGCCAGAGGAGCCAGGCCCTCCCGGGTTGAAGATGACACTCCCTTTTCGTGGCCTCTGGGTGGCATTTACCTTGACCAGCTGAAGGTCCAGCATTTTCCCATCTTTGGGATTGGTGTAGTCAAGGGGGACTTTGAGAGTCGCACAATCTATAGGAACCGTGATTGCGTCTTGTAGCGATTGAGGGAAGTCGAGGTCGCAGGGCGCCCAGTTCAAACTGCCCTTGGGAGTAGCGGAGTGGTTGCTGGCATGGGGGAGAGCTTCCACGATACCGTACAATAAAAGTAAATATCCTGCAATTATAAACAACATGGCGAGCAGAGATGATGTTCAGATAATTCCGTAAGCAACGGACCTACGCTGTAACTGGTAGTATTTATACTACTCCAACACGTCGTATCCAAAAAAGAATACGGTGCCCAGCGCAGAGATGCGTGTCCGCGAGATGGTTCCGTCAATTGGGAACTCGTATTTCATCTCGGCGTCTGGCTTGGCCCTGCTCAGCCTTGCAAACATTGGTCTTCTCGGGCACTCTGATGTCGCTTAGCTGGGTTGTTCGTTTCCATTCCTTTAAATAAATATGCTGCAGAATGATGTAATTGCATTGTGTGTCATTTATTTCAACATTCTGTATCCAGTCACAGCATTGCCTAAGCTCTTTACTACACCAACCAGCCATAATAGTAAGAGTATGTGCGATTTCGCCTGCCTCGTTATAGTTCTCGGCCTATTGAACAGTCAGCCAAAAACCAAAACATACACCTTGGATAGCCAAAACGGATTAAACCAACAAAATAGTCCACCAACTCAACCTCCTGTCGCAAGTCAAAATCAATTCAGACCACTCTGTTGTTCTCCCCGAGATCTCATCATATTTCTCTGCTTATTATCACCATGGAGAACCCCTGCCTAGTGATACCCTGGAGTATATGACGAAACCTATCCAGGTAATCCTGTGAAGGCTGGATAAGCCAATCGACTGCATGTCCGGGATGTGCTCGACGAGAATAGCGTTTGGGCGCAGTTTATTCTCATGGTGCTTGAAGAGCACTTGGCTAAAAACTCCAATAGTAGATAGAGAGCGCTTACTACTTTCATCACACATGTCTTTCCACAGGTACTTTGATAATGGTGTTTCTCAACTCATGCAACTTTTCGAAGAATGTCAATTCACCGGGCTTCATCAGCCAGCCCCTCATGTAGCTAATGAGCAGTAGAAATTTTGCTGTTATATATTAAGGCTGTGAGCATCTAACCAACTATCAGTGCCATTTGATGGTAACCCTAGAAAGAAATGAGACAATCTGTTTCCATCACACTTCAATACATTTCAGCCATAAGCATCTAAGAAAAGTAATAGTTTACAGCACGATATATTAGAAGTGCCCATGATCGTCTGTAATGCTCTACAGATACACTGCAAATTCAGAATAACTATGCTCTCTCTCACTTTTGCTGTTGGCACCTGCCGAGTGGCGGAATGAATAACACTTCCACTAAGAGGAACTGTACAGAGAGGAACCTGTCATATTCTACGGTCTAGCAGTAGGGCCTGCCATGTCTCCTGGGCCTTGTGATTATGTTCCTCTGGTCCAAATCAGAAATGATAAAACCGCTGTTGCAGAAATATGGGTCCAGGTATGAGGAAACAAACTCGTCGTTTGGTGGAATACCGAGGCTCGTGGTATCTGGCCCCCCCAAAATGGATTTTGAACGGCCTTCGTTTCGCATCATTTTTGCGCTTCAAATCATACTACTTAGTATAAACAATGCTGTTGATGAGGCGGAGAAAGAAGAGCCCTGAATACTCATAAAAGGTGCTATGGCCCAAGTATATGTGCTGGTAACTGCAGCCTTCGCAGCCGGCACCGTGGCGGGGCTATTCTTCGAGACCTTCATCTAACATGCTGCCGGTTCGTGGTCCGCCTATACATTCCCTACCTAATCTCATTATCTTGTATTTCGACAGCGACTCGTGGCCATGGACGAATACCCCAACCTACCATAGGCTCTCTCTCCATTGAACAGTACCTTATTCTCTGTTATGCTCCTATATAACAATTTTTAAACTACTGACTCGTGCCTTTCAGCATAACTGGGACCACCCTGTACCGAATCCCCCGCTGAGCAACGCCTTAATTTGATCCGCAACCTCATCGATCTGGACGAGTCCCTAAGTAATTGGTGGCCTTTGCTGCGAAAGTAACCGGCGAAAGCAGGGTCTTCTCACGAAAGCATACTCCCAACTCAGAGAAGCTTTACGTGAGCGCAAGCAGTCGGGATTTGATGAATGGAAGGGGAACCCACAACAGTGCATTGAGAATACAGCAACTGACTTACAATTTTATGTGACAGCTGCCTATATTCTGATTGCAGATTGAGAGGCCTTTCAGTCCAATCATATGCGGCTACTTTATGTGGATTATAAGCTTAATGTCATTAGAGAGAGCCGTGACGGAACAGACGGTGTTACGACAATGCTTGTCATCATGAATTGGGATTAGACAACTGTAGCCCCCGGGTTTGGGGAGCAGAGTATTGGTGAAAAATATCGAGTTGATGGAGGATTGGGCGCGCCGTTGTACAAGTTGACTGAAGAGGATTTGGCGGATCCTCAGAGCGATAGAAAAAAAAGGCTGCATGAATTCACCTGCCTGATATTGAACTTGATTTTGAAGCACGAGAGAAAAATGGATGGACATAGAATGGAATGGAGCTGGTCTGTAAATGGCGTTAGAGAGAAATTGATCAAGTCTCGTTTTCTCCAGACTATAGGAGGACCGACAACAGTAACAACGTCCGATAACAACAGCTAAACTACAAGTAAAAATGCTCACTCTTAAGAACATTGACGCCTTATGTGACTGGTAATTGCAGGAACTGCGCCAGAATGATAAATATAGCATGTAAGCCGCGCTCGACGCCGCGTATATACGAGCGTGCACCCTGCGAACAGCCTCGTACAGCGAAACCAGACACAATGTTGGCCAAAACAACGCGGACTAGCATGCCAAAAGTGCGCTCTGGATGCGCTAATTGCAAGTAAGTTTATTCAGATTCAATAAGGAAATGTATTGACCATCAGAACGCGCCGTGTGAAATGCTACGAGGCAAGACCGCAATGCATGCGATGCGTTCGCACCGGTCGACAATGCCCGGGTTATCTCAAAGAAAAACCAGATAAATTGCCAGGTATCAAAATATATAATCTTCCGTTCAAAGTACCCGGAAGTCGAGTACATCGCGAGCTGCTGCATTTCTACTGCTGCGAAGCAGCGCGTGGTTTGTCTAGGTTCTCCGATCCGACACTATGGACGGAACTACTCCCACAGCGAAGTCAGCATCAACCGGTGATACGACATGCCCTAGCAGCTCTGAGCTTTTTGTACCACGATTATATCCGCCAAGGATCTACCCCGTTGGGTGAAGATCCCACGCATCTGCAGGTGATCGTCAAGTCGCATCGGCAGCTGCGGGCGTACCTACTGTCATCTCGGGGTGTCGCCCGAACCGGCGTTAATATGCAGCCTTATATTCTATATACTCGAGTGTCTGGTAGGAAATGCGCAGCAGGCTATCTGGCATCTCAATCAGGGCTTGATGCTCTTAAAACGGTGTCGGACCGAGTACCCGGATATCGTCGCTGGATCGGACTCAATCTATACGCACTTGGCTGCCGTCTACGCACGACTGGGCATCCAAGCCTGCGGCTTTGATAGTAAGCGCACTCCCATCTTGAATCTTGCATCCTCCATGCAGGTTGCCGGATTGGAATCAGTGGTTCCAAATGACTTTAACACACTATCCCAAGCCGACGACGCGTTGAATATACTGCAAAACTGGACGGTGCACCATCTGGACGCTCTGTTGCCACACATGCAGCAAGCCGGCAAGGGCACTAATATGCCACCTGAGCTTATTTTCGAAACGCTACGGCTCGAGAACCAATTTCTGCAATTCCTCAGTGCCACTGCGAGCCTCGCTTCTGCTGCAAATGCAAAGTCAGACACCATTATGCAGCAACGGATCGTCTTGCTACAAACACAGGCGCAGATATTTCTCGCTATACTTGTGGATGCCAGCGGTGGCTTGGACGGGGTTTTCCGGGAGTTGCAGATCAGAGAGCCCAACAACATAACATGACCACATTCATAAAGCAACTTAAATACATGTTATCTCATTGCAATCTACTTCGACTTCTTCGCAAACCTCATTTTATCCTTCCCAAAATCAAAAACAGCCACGACACTCTTCAAAAACGACACACCCAAGATACTCACCGTAATATCGCCAACGCGCGCATCCTCCATCGCCGCAAGAGCAGACACGCAAAGCTCGTCGTCGATCCTCTGTATCAAATCTGCAGGATTATGATAAAATGTCTGGTTCCCGAGTTGCAGGCCGAAAACCGGAGCTTTCGCGTTGCAGTCGACCACATACAGCTTCGACAAGTCATCGAATGTAGCTGGGGGGTCAAAAATTGCATTGACAGGTTCAACAACAGCAGTCGGGAGGTAGGAGAAGTTGTTTCCTGAGTCGACAAATGTCTGGAAGGCAGTCGAGTTGTCCTTGTTCGCTGATTTTGAACCGTAACGGACACTCTGCACAGTTGTCGCTCACCAAGACCGCGTGCGATTTCCAGACGTGAATTCCAGGGGTATAGCCTGATAATTCTCAACCGGCACAATGGTCCACCGCGCACTATGTTTCACAGGCAGCAGTTCACCAAGCGACAAATACCCCCCAAACATTGTGGACACATTCTGTGATGTAGATGCCAGCGCAAGACTATAGTATGACTCCTTCAGAACACCCTGCTGGCTCATACTATACAGCAGCGGGTTATATACCTTCCGATCAAAAAAGTACGTGCTGTTATCTGAACTCGAAGCGTTACCCGGATGCGTGGACGTAATAGACGGGTATGACAATCCGAGTAATCCACTATTAACACCATCGCCCATTGGATTCGTCCGGTCCGCAATCCCGACTTTCTGTTTTTCTACTGTAAGGCTGCCCAAAGTGACCGTTTCATACGCTAAACCACCGCTAGCAATACCCGCGCCGTACTCGATACCAAAATACTGGTCCTCAACGCGACGATATGTATCCGAGTAGTCTGGGTTATAGGTATGATTGGAGTATAGGCATTCTGCTTGCGGGGTAGTAGAATTTGTGTCGTCGATGCAGGTGAAGCCGGTTTTCACCACGTAGGTGTCGCTGCTGCCGGTATCGACTAGGAGTTGGAAGGTTTGGTTACCGACTGTGACGGGGACATCGAATATGGTGCCATATTTGGTTGCTTTGAGGGGGAATACTGTAGAGGAGGCTGGTGTTCGGCGGGTTAGGGGGAGGGTAGTTGCTAGGGTTGTGCTAGCAAGGGTGAGGAGACGGAAGAGATGCATTTTGTTTTTTTCTGAATTGTCTCTATTATTCTCAAGCGACGGTGTTGATATTGATATTCACTAATGGAAAGATTCGTGGTGTATATTTACTGAAGCTCATACATTTCTAGTATATAAATAACTCGTATAGTTCGGGCCCGTACCGACACAGCTCGTATATTTTGAATATGCAGTACTTCGGATCCACTATATATTGATTTACTCCAATATTTTCATGGATCTCAATTATATGACGTATGTTGGATTTATTCTTATGCTGGCTTACGACCGTTGTTCTGGTAAAGGGCATGCACCCGAGTTCAATGTCTCCACACGTTTCCAACGACGAGCGTCAGGATTCTGCTAGTTCTCCGTTAGAGCCTCGACCCAGCAAGGGCCATAAAATCTTGAGATACCTCGCAAGTATTCATTTCGATCTCAGAAAGGTTCTCTGCTATTCCATTATCCAATACAACAATGTAGGCGCGACCATAAATCTCGCCCGGTTTAGGAAATGATGCTCATCCCCTCCCCTCCATTGCTATATACGAGCGAACAGTATCGCTGGAATTCCTTTGGCTACTAACGAGGACAGCATGTCAAGGGTTCCTTTTTAACATAGGGCTAAAGCATTTAGACAGCACATGCACCTGACCCACGCCAGCCCACAGTCCATACCGGGAGAAACCTGTCACCCCACCCGGACCATACATCTGCCCCTCTTGGGCCTTTATTGTCCAATCGTTCGCCCGTTTGGAAAAGGGAAACACTTCCCAAGCTGTGGGTGTCCCCACACCCCACCTCCACTTCTCCACGAGATCTACCCCGGATTTACCCATCAACCCGTCTCATCTAAATAGAAAATATGGAAGATCCCTGTAATTCTAGACTATATAAGATGTAGAAGACGCGGGGTAAGGTGGCCGTAACCATCTTTGTTTTTCCGGACACAAAAGATGTCGTTAGAGATGAAAAAGTCCTCGGTCGAGGAGATTGGTAATGGCAAGGCATACGCGGAGAACGTTGAACGGGGTCATATAAACACGACCGATATCAAGTCCTCTCTTTCTGAGTCCCATCGGGAGTATCTCCTTCAGCGCCATGGCACTCTTGATCTCAATCCGACTCCCAGTTCGTCTGATGCGGATCCGTATAACTGGCCTACTCGGAAGGTGACCTGGTTCTTTACCTGTGTCTGCATTGAGAAAGACTAATTGGCCGTCATTATAGAAACTAATCAACCTCATCCTCGTTGCCTTCCATGCCAGCATCTCCACAATCACAGCCTCCAGTATCACACCCGCATACAAAGACATCGCAACCGACCTTGGCGTATCCCTCCAACGAGCAAGTTACCTAACATCCCTCCAGATCGCCATTCTAGGCGGAGGACCATTTGTCTGGAAGCCTTTATCCCATCGCTTTGGTCGACGCCCCATCTTCCTGTTGTCCCTTATACTGAGCGCAGTGTCCAATATTGGCTGTGCAAAAAGCCCGACGTACGCGTCCATGGCAGCGTGTAGGGCTCTCACGGCGTTGTTTATCTCACCTGCTGCAGCGATCGGGAGTGCAGTTGTGGCGGAAACGTTTTTCAAGAGGGAAAGGGCGAAGTACATGGGTGTTTGGACTTTGTTGATTACCGTAGGGGTTCCAATTGGTATGTTCCGCCTTCAACGTCCTGCCTGTCGTATACTGAAATAATATAGGACCGCTCGTCTTCGGCTTCGTTGCATATCGCGTCGGTTATCGCTGGATATACTGGGTCCTGGCTATCACGAATGGCGTACAGTTTATCATGTACCTCTTCCTAGGCCCGGAAACGAGGTATCTCGGTGGGAGTGCCGGATATTAATCATCAACCCTGCGGTCTCAGTACCTTTCTCTCCGACGAATTGACCCCAGTCCCCTAATGTGGACGGAGTTCATTCGTCCTCTGTCCATGGCCAAGCATTTGAGCGTCCTCTTTCCCTCAATCATCTATGCCATGGTCTTCCTCTTCGGCAGCGTGCTCATCACAGTCGAAGTTCCTCAACTCCTACAAGAGAAATTTGAGCTCAACTCAGAACAACTAGGCCTCCAATTCCTCGGTGTGATCATCGGCTCCGTCCTAGGCGAGCAGGTAGGAGGCTCACTCTCAGACTTTTGGATGAATTCCCGCGCACGCCAGATACAGCGCAAGCCAGAGCCTGAGTTTCGTCTCTGGCTGAGCTATCCAGGTATTCTCTTGGCCATCGCGGGTATAATCGTCTTCCTGGTGTGTACGGAACAAGCACCCGCGGGCCACTGGGTTGTGGATCCTATTGTCGGTACAGCTGTGGCAGCTTTTGGAAACCAGGTTGTGACGACAGTTATGATTACTTATGCGGTAGATTGTTGTCCGCAAGATCCGGGGAATGTGGGTGTGTTTATCACTTTCGTGAGGCAGACGTGGGCGTTTATTGGGCCATTTTGGTAGGCTCACCTCTCCTCTCTTGTGCCTGATGTGTTGCTAATGAGGTAGGCTCCCTGGTATGTTTGAAAATGTAGGTGTTGCAGCTAGTTCGGGGATCACGACTGCTCTTATGGTTGTTTTCAGCTTGATATTTGCTGTGTTTTTGCATGTGTTTGGGAGGAAATGGCGGCCTAGTGTTGAATAAATATATGTTTCTCGAGCTTAGGTATCATTCATCTGATCTGAACAACATATACTCCCTGTTAGGCTGGCACAATGTTACATCATTAAGTATATTATCCCTCTTTGGAGCATGGGAGACAGGGCTTCTATCCGCTTGGCCCTACTTGATACAATACCAAGACGAGTCCGCATAGTAAGATTTTGATTTCAATTTCAATTTTTATATAGGAAATAGGTGATATAAATCTAGTGGTCGCCACCTCCGACCATGGTTGTTAGGTATTCACTAAAGGGATACCGGATACGTGGGATACATGCGGCGGGATACCACTATCAGGTTATACATAAACCCTAACTTCCCTAGCAGTCTAGCACACATATAATCGACCAAGACTTAAACCACATTAATTATTTTTCAAGAATTCCATTCACATTCAGATAATCACCAACATGAGCTTCGCACCAACCAACGACGGCCATGAAAATCTACTACGAAGTACACAGCACTATCGGCCCGACCCTAGTGCTTGTATCGGGATATATGGGCATCGCCAACATCTGGCAACCACTGTTAGCCAAACTAGGACCAAAATACCGCTGCATCACCTATGACAATCACGGATTTGACCAATCATTCAAGCCCAAATCTCCCGAAGCGTACAGTGTCCCCTGCCACGCCGCAGACTTGGGCTCCGTCATCAAAGCTCTTGGAAACCAGATCATCGAGTGTTTTGTGTTTATAGCTCGCTCCATGGGTGATAATATTGCCACTGCATATTATCACAGGAATCCGCACAATGTCGTGGGCATTGTCTACACGGGGGCGTACTTCGACGGCAAACTCGTCGGGAACTTCCTAACATATGACGCGCTCACATCCGGCATTGAAAGTCCGAGCAATTGTGTCGATTTCTACTCCAACATGGGCCTTGACAAGTCCATCGCCCTCGAAGCAGCAAACTGGCTGGCCTATGCACGCAGTGATGACGCAAAGGCGCTCTTGTCTTTCGAGATAGGGGACATATACTCAACTATAGATGTTCTCGGTCTTATCATCCAAGGCGCAAAGGACATGGCTACTCCCGTGGAGGGGTGTGTGAGACCGCTCCAGTAGGCGATGCCTTCTTGTCGGCTAGAGGTTCTTGATAAAGTCCGGCATTTCCCTCCAACAGGGACACCCGAGTGAGGCGAAGAGGTCGGCTGGAGAAATTGCTGGGGCCTTTCTCGGAGTTCCTTGCTTGGTGTTCTTGCTGCTGCTATTGCTAAGTGGTGATGTGCAGTTACCCATTTCTTTGTATATTGTGTTGAAATCTATAACCACGTTTAGCCGAAGGAAGGGATTAGTAACAATGGATCAATTGGGTTTATTTAGAGTTGATAGTTGATATACCCGAATGCATCTATACAGCCACACTCGATATGCAGCAGTGCCTTATGAGCCTCCTATTTCCAACCATGGCCCCAAGCAAAAGCAAAGAATCCTTATTTACGAGGTGGGGCTGATTAATCTCAATTTTTTTGGCCCCATCGTTTCCTTATTGATAAGCAGCCCAACCGCCACTCTATTATTATTATTTAATCAAGTTTATTGTCCATACCGAGCCCTAGAGCTATGACAGACCATTATCCGTGGACTTGAGGCCGTTAGCTATCCTACAGTCTCTTATCCATATAAGTTCCTGGGGCACTAGCCCCCTTCCATACTCTTTCTGATCCTTTTCCTCGCCCCAGACCGCCTGTTTGCGCAGGGCTTTCGAGCACTGTGCTCTCCTTGTGTTTCGTGCAGGATGGGTGCGGCCTAGGCTGACTTCAGCTCAGGCTACCCTTCCTGCTATCCTTCTCCTGTTCGAATTGCCTCTTCCAATGATTCCAATCCCCATTCATCATCTTTCTGGACCCTTTCTGCCGTTCGCTGTAGGTGTGCTCGAGGTAGAGCTACACTGGTACTAGCTAGGAATTGTAACAGCGCCTTGGTAGCTCTGGGCTCTCCCAGAAGTCGTCCTTGTGGGTGTTCCTCTGCAGCAGTGGGCCTCATAACTCCATCCAGCTCCAGATCCTTGTAGAGCTTGTTTCGTTGATGTCGCCATTTTCGGCATTCAAAGAGAAGATGGTGTATTGTCTCCCTTGATAGGCCACAATCTCTGCAGGTTGCATCTTCTTGGGCCTGGATCTGATGTAGATATGCTCCAACAGCTGCATGTCCTGACTTCAGTTGGAAATACCGGCTCGCTAGGTGTTTGGGAGCCACTGCGGCTGCAGAGTTGAGTCGCCAGTTCTTCTGTGGTCTATATGTTCGCTGACCTTGTTGGGATCGCTTGCTGAGCTCCT